GTATCATATAGCTTTGTTTAAAAATGTCATCAACCATAAAATTGAGAAAATCTATAGATATTAAACCTTCATATATTTTTTATATCAAGAAAGTAACACAGCTTTGCTAATGCACAGTAAAAAACCTCATGAATTGAGCTACGAGTTGTTATTGACCTTCTCTGACCTGAAAACTTTTTCCTGTTATGCCCATGTTTGTTCTGTTTAACAAAAACTTTATATAGTCTACACAACAGAGGAGCATTTGTTAACATTTTGGGCCAGGCTGAACAACTGCGCCGCTTATGTCACCAGTTTGCTATGAACTCTGGGTATATACTGCATATCCTAAAGGGAATTTTGCAGAGATACAGAGTAACAGAAGGTGTGGACCACCCCCCACCCCCACCCCCCTTATTATTCCTACTCAAAATTGGCCAAGGCAATTGTTTTACATAGATCAATGTTATATTCTGCTCATTTGCTGACAATTGTCAAATGTGTCCACATAACTGCCTGTTGTCCGAAGAAAATAGAGAGCAGACATTGATGACTTTAAGATGACTCCTTTTGTTTATCATTTTGTGAATTTACGTATCTCTTTATTTATTTTTATGTTAAAACAGACATATATTATGTTTTAATTCTAACCCAGAGCTCCTGATTCACTGTAAAAAGTCAACTGCTTTATTTCTGTGTCTAAATGGATATTCTATTGCTTGACTGCAATGCCCTGCCTGAGCCACACAGGCTCCAAGGGGGGTTTCTGGATCTTCATTATTTTAGAGTTTTATAACCCAAATGCCACAATTGCAGGACGCTGAAAAGTCTTTTTCTCTGATATTTCAATTTGTTCTCTGCTGTAATTACCTCGGTAACTCTCCATAATCATGAAAATTGTAGTTTATTGTTATTGTCAGATCAAGACTACAATAGCTCCAGAGGACAGCTCTGCAGGGGGGAAGCCAGGAGATGGTAAACTATATTTTTCTTAACTGCCTATTGTCTCTTTTGTAGATGAGGAGGTGGACAGAACATTATGCATGAGCAAACAATGTCATGTAAGCCACTACAACCCCACAGATTTAAACACCACCTGAAGTAGTAGCACTGATGATAAGATCTGTTTATGTGTTAGATTTCACAATTTAAAAAAAAAAAAAACCTTCAAGAAGTAAAATCATCACTCTAATAAGACAAATAGAAGTTTAGCCCTCCTCCTGTGTTAGGGTCTGCACTGAGCCGTTTCTGTTTTTAAATGCTCCATTTCAACAAAATAAAAAAGTTAAATTGGTTAAATCAGAAAATGCTCTTATTAAAATTATGGCACTTGTTGTGTTAGGGTTGCTGTTGACCCGGTTAGATCAATACCTAATAATCGGAGCAAAAACGGAAATCATAAGTGCATTGACAGGCACCACTCTGACAGTCAGATCCTCTTCCAATCATGTGAGATTTAGGAAATTCTCATTTTGCCATGTATTTCCCTGCACAAAAAACAACGTCGGGCATGTCCAGACATGTGAGATCAATTCAGTAGATGTCTGTGTGAGGGGTATACTGACAAAGAAAGACCCAGAGGCCCACAACAAAAAATATTATAAGCAATATTTCCATCGATGATGAAGCCTATCAAGGTAACCTTAGAGATGAGAACCAAATTAGATGATAGAGAATTGTTTGTAGTGTGATTTACAGCTGATTTGAGACACGGGTCGAAACCAACCCTTAACATGGTGGGTGTGTAGTAAAAGCTAACACAGGAGGAAGGTTAAACAGCAACGGATAGCTCAGGTATCTCAGGCACCACCCATCCACACAGGTATACACACACATACAGTGTTCATGCATGTAGAGATGAAAGTCTAAGTTGCATGAAGGCATCGAGGACATTCAAAGGAGAGAACCCTGAGAAGCCACCCAACACCATTCAACTGCCACACACATTAACCTTACACATGACAGTAAACCAATACATTATGTTCATATGAATGTAATTATGGCTAATATGCAAGCCACTCTGCCAACTCCACAGCAATATTGACCTGTCTCCTTCGATTACTCTGCATGTGGTGAACAAGAGTAGCCAACATCTACAGGCCACACTGTCTTCATTAGCAGCTGTGTTAGTTGGATTTACAAATACACAGCTGGAGGAGGATTCAGACTGAATATGAGAGTTTAAACCTCAAAACTCTGCGTCACCCGGTGGTCACGTGACTCTGAGACACTCTAGAAAACATGTGGCGTTCACAGCACTGTAACACATTCACTGCTTTACTGTGTCTGCGGCCATCAAACCACAGAAATGATACCAGCTCGGGGTCAAACACTAGAGCTCTCCTGTCACACAAAGGCCGCTAGCTGGAGGCTAGCACATACTTTCTCTGAGTGTCAGGGAGGCCATCCAAAATCCCCCTCAGACTACATTTCTGCACTCCTCCTGACCTTGTTTTGTCTGCTCTGTCCTCTGTCGTACCCCTCGCAGCCTCACCCTGCTTCTGACTAATGGATTAAGGTAATTATGACATGGCTGTGCCCACATTCTCTAGGTGGGGTGAAAATTGATATTCCAGCTTTGTTGTTCTCACCAAACTGTTGATGAAATTGCATCGCCTCAGAGCAATACCACCATGTCACGTTAGCAGAGATGTAAAGGATGGTTTGTGCTCCAGTCTTCTTTAATTTAAGGTGGATTTTTGGTCATAAATAAGTCCATGTGACTCTCCTCTTTTTAACTGGGTTGTCTGCAGGTGCTATCAGCTGCCAGGTATTCAGACATGAAGATATAGAAACAGAAACATGCTCAGGTTAGGGGCAGGTAGCACAAGTCTTGGAACGCAAAGAAAAAAGGGCTGATTAGACGGGCTTATCAAGTCCTGTCTGGACCCGAATGATCCCCTCAACCACAATGCACACACTACAACACACACACACACACACACACACACACACACACACACATATGTAGTAGACGGACGGCAAACAACTCGCTGACCTCTGCTCTCTCCCTTCAGCTGCCTCTATTGCCCACAATAAGACAACTCCTGCAGGCTGATATCACCTCCAACACTCTAATCTAAATCACACACATCTTTATTGCTGAGTTTGGGTTTCAAGATTTGGTTTGTTTACAATTTAAAGTTTATTTTTGTTTGTTTGTTTTTCTCAGAAGGTTATCACAGGCCATTGACAGATGTCTTGCATATCTGTGCAAACCAGGAGAAGTGAACTGTCACTGCAGACAGAGGGTCAGTACAACAGAAGGGGTCATGAGGAGTCATCTGACATGATAACATAATAATTCCAGAGTTATGTGATCATTTCTTTCAGTCTTTACAGAGCAAATACACCTGGGACATGATAAGACATCTACTAGTAACAATGCTGACTCAAACCTTATTGATCAGATCTTTGAAAACCTCTTTGTTTCCATCACTGTAGACGAAGACGTGCCATTTTCAAGCTTTGGTAAACCTCAGGCACCTGTGACATGATCATAAGAGTTACAAATGCAGGACGGTTTTGGCAGTAGAAAAGTGCAATACCGATTTATCACACTTCTGACTGTTATCATGAGATCATCTGTAACATCACACACATCAGTGATGGTTAATATTAAGTTGTGAAATATCTGGTTCACTCCTTTTTTCTGATTTTTTTCTGATATGCATCTTCTTGATGACTCACTGCTATTTAATGTGGCTTTCAGAGAACCACTTCCAGATTTGTGAGCGACATCTCTGAACATTTGTGCACTTATCAGGAGAAAGAAAAAAAGTTTGAAGCGTGCAAAAGTGGAATTTAAAACTGGAAATGAATCAGGTTTAGTTGCATTATAAGCTCTACTTAAATTTTACTTTTTATGTAAGTTGGAGATTAGCACTGAGGATTTGCTTTGTATAGTTTCAAAGCAAAACCTGGGTTATCCTGTCCTCTTTATGCTATATTCTTGTGTCTCGGGGAGCTGGTCTCTTTAAATCTTTTTAAATGTAGATAAAAGGCCCTAGAGGAAGATGAAGCAGGCTGTAAGTGCTTTGACTAAAAATGCTCTGTTCTGCGACTTCGACTTAGCTGGTTATGTCTGTATATGTCTGTAATTGTTTATCTGTAACTTTGTAAAAGTACTGCTGTCTGTCTTGGCGAGGACACGCTTGCAAATGAGATTTTTAATCTCAATGAGGTTTTTTTTCTGGTTAAATAAAGTTTCACTTATATTCTTGATCTCTTCGGTATCTTCATTATACTTCCTTTGTGTTTCTGAAAAAACTAAAGGTTACTTAAAGTTGTTTGATTTGCAGCAAAATGTTCAAAGGAAACTATTAAGGAGGCTCTCAAGGTTTAAGATTTTCAATGTTCAACATTTTGTGGATCATGGATAACTCTGACAGTCTAGCATTTGTGTCAAAAATCATTAAAAACACTTTAAAAGTATGTGCATCTATATGTATGAAGTTTGTGTAGCTTTTTGCCCTTGCAACGCAGACCTGCAAATCTGAACAGCATGAGTAAAAACATTTTTGTTTTTGCTGCAGTTGTCTGAAAACACGCCCTTTGTTTAGTTTTGAAAATGCACAAGTTTTAAAAATTACAAAGTTGACCTTTTATGATATTGTGTCTGCTTTTCCGCCTCATTTCAAGAACTTCTTCTTTTCTTCTGGTTTTACACGCTCTCATCACAGATCCTCTCCACATACTGGAGATCTCTTTGCGCTCTGCATCATCAATAACTTCAAAGACACAAAAGCAGCTAAATTAGGTCCGCCACTTTCTTCTGTCATGACTAATGAGCTCTCCCTTCGTTTGTGTATTAGTCTCGCTCCGCTGTGGCCGTACCCCGGGGAACGGGCCGCTGCTGTGCCTCCCCATGAACAGGTAAGCCCAAACAGATGACAAGGAAACAGAATAGAAATAGAAACAATGGGGTCCTATTTGACTTCAGTTGGAGCCAAACACACTGATGTACTAACTTGCACCTATTTATCCCTTTAAGAGTGCACTGAGTGACTGGAGTTTGTGTGTCTGGTTTATTTTTTAATCTTTTATTAAGATACAGCTCAAGAAATCTGTCTGTATCAGCCAAAATCAAGATGTTCCTTTTCATTATACATGTATACTCTTGCTATGACATCGCATTACCACATTAACCAGAAAGAAAGACGAAAATTGAGCGTTTGTACAACATTTATACAAGAGAAAGACTGGAAGACACCAGCTAAGCTTCGGTTCAGGCCAGCTATAGCTCCATATGGTAATGAAAATATACCCCTGATTGGCAGGATCATCTTCCACAGCTTTTAACAGCAGGGACATGACTGATATGGCCTGTCATTAAATAGTGTGCACCCCGAATCTAAAAATACACACCATCGCACCAATGAGGTCATACACTTAGAAAGAAGGAGAGAGAGAGAGAGAGAGAGGCAGGCTATGATTATAGGCTTTTGTCACAGGAAAGAAACGGTTATTTGTCAGCAGCATGTCAGAAGAGGCCACAAAAGAAATCAACGCTCTGACCAGCCAGAGACCGAGCCTTATGTCACTCTTTTCCCAAACCCATTTCATTATTAGTGAATGAGGAAACTGCCATGTGTTATTGGTAGATTGAATTTTGTCATAAAGCAGAAATGATAGGGTCCTCGAACAAAATAGTGAGACCTTAACTCAGTGAAGTCTGCATGTCTTGTTGACTGATTTGGATAAACACACAGGAATAAAGAGATCAGGAACTTTATATCAAGTTAAATTTTCAGTTCTGACTGCAAAATCTGCATGTTTCTGTATGAACCTGGTAGTCTTTTGTGGCAAATCTGTGAAATAAAACTATATCAAGATCATAAAACGTCATGTATTATTCTTGGGTCATGATTAAAACTTTCTGTTAAGACTACACGGTCCTCATGGTTCAGTGTATCACACAGTGAATGCCCACACTGCTTTGTGTTCACGTCGTACATGAGTCAATTAAAAGTAGGAGACCTCTGAACTGAGATAAAGGGCAATGTTCAAGAGTGGTTTATATGACTCCACAACAACGCCTGTGGTGCTCAGATAAAGTTGTGTTTATGGCTGTGGGACATAATATCAGTTTGGAAGGAACACTGGGTTCACTGGCATTCACTGGCACTGACAAGACTCCTGTCACTCAGGGCTGAGTCTCTTATGTAACCCTTTGAGATTCAACATCCCTCCGGTGAAAGACGCAAAATAAACACAGTCCTGATGAGAGTTTTCAAAACACAAAAAAGTGTGTTTGTCATGTCTGTATAACGTATCTGTGTCTGTTTATTTGACATTTGTGTGGATTACAGTGATTGAGAGGGAGAATCTCATGCTCTGATATGTCCAAAAGGTGGCAGTGTTGAGTTTTATAATGGTGCTCAGAGGCATGATGAGCTTCCTCAGTCCAGCTTTATGCTTTTTGTCAACGGACCCTGAACTAACCACTCAACACTAATAATGGCACTTGTTTATAATATAGTAATGACTGTAAAACAAGGATACCTGATACTACCATCACTAAGTTGAAGTATGTTTTTAAGGCAATGACAACATATTGTATAAATGTATGAGAATAAATTTAAAAGAGCTGAAATAAGATACAAAATGATGAAGTCTATAAGCAAACATTGGGGTTCTTATTTATTTTAAAACATCTATTATGATGCACTTTGTAGAGATTTGAAAACTCAGAAGTAACACTATCTATCTATCTATCTATCTATCTATCTATCTATCTATCTATCTAAACGTATTCTTGGATAAATGCTCCGTTGTTCATGGATTTGCAGCATGCACGCTTCACTTCTCTCCACTTCTCCGTCTGAATAGATTTAATACATTCATAATATAAATCATAGCTCTTTCAATAAACAATGGCTTGTGTTTTGCTTTTAGCAGACTAAGAGTTAAGAGTCCCTGTCCCAGCTGACAGTCAGCTGATGGCCTTTGACAGTTGAGAAAAGTTTTGTTTCTCTGGGCCACTAATATGTTAATTAGCTCTCGGAGTGTGCGACCCTATTGGCTCTTCGTCCGAGTCAATTTGCAGTTGCAGCCTGACGTCAGGGCGGCTACAACGCTTAAACTCTTCTGCTGTGTGATCCCTCTAAAAAATCGCCCCACCACCAGTCAGCGGCTTCTAACGTGCAGGCTGCATTCACTCCCTTACTTTCGGCTCTTCTCCCTCTCCGCGTGCGCAATGCATTCATGAGGAAACCGTAAAGTGTTAAATGTTTGAAATCCAAAACCGCCGAATTCACATGCTGAAAAAGGACTCCGCTACTCGTGCGCGCGGCACTGCTGTGTCTGTGCAATAGACTCTCTGCAAAGAAAAACTCCTCTCACACGCCTGCAAGAAGGACGCTGAAAAGCTCATTTTTCACTTTCAAGACAAACGCTCAAAAATCAAACTGGCTCACGTTCTTCACAACCAACCCAGTTTGACAGCTGCGCTTCACCCCGTTTGGAGGACTGTCAGCAGCAAGAGGATGGCATCAGAGCTGGCAATGAGCAACTCCGACCTGCCCACCAGTCCCCTGGCCATGGAATATGTTAATGACTTCGATCTGATGAAGTTTGAAGTGAAAAAGGAGCCGGTGGAGCCCGATCGCAACATCAGCCAGTGCAGTCGCCTTATCGCCGGGGGATCCTTGTCTTCCACCCCGATGAGCACGCCGTGCAGCTCGGTGCCCCCTTCCCCCAGCTTCTCGGCGCCCAGTCCGGGCTCGGGGAGCGAGCAGAAGACACACATAGAGGATTTCTACTGGATGTCCGGTTACCAACAGCAGTTGAATCCAGAGGCGCTGGGCTTCAGCCCCGAAGACGCAGTCGAGGCGCTGATCAACAGCAGTCATCAGCTCCAGTCCTTCGATGGCTATACCAGGGGCCAGCAGTTTGCTGGGGCAGCCGGAGCAGGAGGCGCCATGGCCGGGGAGGAGATGGGGTCCGCCGCGGCGGTAGTGTCTGCAGTCATCGCTGCGGCAGCCGCTCAGAACGGAGGGCAGCACCACCACCACCACCATCACCACCACAGCGGCAGCCACCACCAGGCGCAGGGCGTCCAGTCCAACGGCACCTCGGGGACAATTCACCAACACATGCGCCTGGATGATCGGTTTTCAGACGAGCAGCTGGTCACCATGTCCGTGCGTGAGCTCAACCGGCAGCTACGGGGGGTCAGCAAGGAAGAAGTGATCCGGTTGAAACAGAAGAGGAGGACCCTAAAGAACAGAGGCTACGCGCAGTCCTGCCGGTACAAGCGGGTCCAGCAGAGGCACGTCCTGGAGGGGGAGAAGACGCAACTCATCCAGCAGGTCGACCACCTAAAGCAGGAGATCTCCAGGCTGGTCCGGGAGAGGGACGCGTACAAAGAAAAGTATGAGAAGCTCATCAGCAACGGCTTCAGAGAAAATGGATCCAGCAGCGACAACAACCCCTCATCCCCGGAGTTTTTCATGTGAGTCTCCACATTACCGCGTGAAAAAGAATATCAGATGAGTTACTCACAGCTTAAAAAGTTTTCATTATCAAACTTTTTTTTTTTCATTTGGCTGAAACGCCTAGACCAAGAACTAATTTATCAACTTTTTTTGATTTTTTTTTTCTCCTTTTTTCATTTTATACATTTTTATTCAAACTAGAGTTCACTCATGTCTGCGGCTCTTTTTTAGATTTGGAGGGTTTAGTCGTTCGTGTTTTAAATTTTGGAGAAGCTTATTCAGAAACCTCTCATCTATTTTTTTTTCTATCATAAACAGTATATTCAGCTTACCCAGTTTGTCGACATTTTTCATCGTTGTTTATCAGACTTGCAGTGTTTGAGTAAAATATGATTTTTTTTTTTTAAAGTTGATCCAACTTTATGCCGCAGTACAAAGAGTGCATGCACGCACCAAGTAGCCTATAAAGTTCATCAACTTGGCCTTTTTCATCATTTTTCTTTGAACTCAGTGTACAGATTCCTGTCAGGCCTGCATCCATCGACAGTATGTTTTTGGTCTTTTATTACTTTTTTTTTGTCTGCCAAACTTGGAGGACTGCGAGCCCGCCGTTTGACGCCACCTCATCTCATGCGTTTGCTTGTTATTGTGTTGAGCAACGAAAAGACTTGATTCATCACAAACTATTCATTGTTTTTACAGAGATTTGTTATTGAACTGTACCTGCATGCTGGACATGTATGGTTTCTTTTTTTTTTTTCCTTTTTTTGTGCTTGAAGATGTCCTTTTTTTGTCGGATGACTCCAGCATGGCATTCATACTTCATTTATGGCCTCCTCACTTTTTTGGGACAGCAACAAAAAAGTGACAGGACTTCCCACCTCCCCCTACACCACCTTGTAATCTATACAAGTGCGTTTCAGCTGTGTTGAAGTGCACCACCATCGGCTGTCATTAGGCTGCAGTGAATGCGCAATGCATTCCTGCTGCTGGAGGTGGATCGGTGGGGGGGGAAAAAAGACTTAAAGGAAATGACAGAGCCCTGTCCTGGAAGTTAATTTGTTGCTTAAAGCTTATATTGTTATTTAAAGATATTCCACTCCGCATTTTTCAACCATTTTCAAAGCGTAATTTAAGTTTTATAATCCAAGTTGCAAAAGATAAGGTGCCACAGGTTGGAGCTTATAGATGACTAGTCTAATAATTATTGCTGAGATTACTGCAAAGAAGTGTTTTATTTTAACTTTGGTTTAGAGGAATTGGCTCGGCTCCAGTTTACACAGAGAGCAGTATTGTGCAGTGCTTTAACAGCGCTTTTGCAGCATGTGCTTCAGACACAAGTGTGACAGCTCCATTGGATACTATATTATAAAAGAAGAAAAAAGTATTGTTGGACTTAATAATCCCTCAGATGAAGTGAAGAATAAATTGCCATGCTTTTTGAAACGTGTCTTCAACGAGCTGACGTCTTTTGGACTGAGATGCACTAAAAAAAAAAGATCACCGCCTGTATTCATGTGGAGGAAAGTTCAATCTAAAGAAGTTACGAGCTTTTCGTAACATTTTGATACTTTATCAGTTCAGGAGAGACTGTTGTTTTGTCTTAAACGAACTCAATATTTGCGAAGCAATAACAAATATTATAATCGATAATGTCTGGACATTGTTAGATGATCAGGGATTGACACCCTGCATGTACAAAATGAGGGAGTTTCATTCGCCATTAAATCGTGAGACTATGTTAATTAATCTTCCTTCTTCTATATAGTATATTATATATATTTTGCTGTGCAAAATTATTTCACTCACTAACCATATGTGATGTTCATATGTGCTCGTTCTTTTTTCATTTCATACAATTAAATGATATGCAATAAATGTATGTAATTGTCCTCAACATGCTTCTCACTTTTCTTTTGACGTGTCCTGACAGTTTTTGTGTTTGGAGTAAAAATGAATCCAGAATCAAGACATGATGCAGATTTCTCCACAGCTCATATTTAAACACTGGTTTTATTCGCTGCTGTCGATCTTTTTCATGATATTTCCGCCAACATAAAATAAATGACGGGTCACGCTGAGCGAAGCAGAAACAACACTTTTATTTTGAAGAAACAGCGCACAGGTTTAGGCACTTTAGTACCAACATGTATGGGGGGTGACACAGGTCCGTTGTCACAGATAATGAACCACAATGAAAGATTTAGACACGCAGTGGACTACATTTGACTGCACTTCAGCTCACACACTCGATTATATTTCCCCTAAAACTTCCAAATTAAGAGTTTATGAACTAATATCTTACTTGTTATCATTTCTATGTCAATATTTCCTCTTCATTTCCATTCAATTTTTCTTTACAATCACATAATTCTATATTCTGTCATAACATAGTGTGTGTTTCTTACTTGAATTTTCTGAAGCATGAATTACATCCTCATTTGTGGTTATATGAGCCCATTCTGAGTGGTATAATTACATCCTGTTAATTTTACTGTCTGACATGACCTGAGATCAGTGAGTGTGACAGGCTCTCTCTCTCTCTCTCTCTCTGAGTATATGTGTGTGCTTTAGTGTGTTCACCTGCATCTCTTGTGTGTTTGTGAACTTAAATGAGTGTTAATGTGAAAGTGTGCACATGTGCTTTCTCTTTATTTCCTCTATGTGAGGATGTCATCTCTATTCAAATTTCTTCTCGTTCTGCACGCTGTAAATTTGCACCCTCTGCTTTCTCTTTCATATTTCCTCCTTCCTGATCTGTGTGTTCAGTTTGTTCATTATTTGCATCTGTGTTTTTTTTTCCAGACACCGCATGCTCTCTGTCTTTAGCCTGTCATTGTTTTTGCTTTCCTTGTTTCACCCTGTGTTATCCTGTTTGCTAGAGTGCCTGCATGTTGGTCTGGAGCGGTCGTGCCCTCAGAAAATGAGGGTTCAGAGAGGACACAGTCATGTCAGGCATGTGAGTGGGCGCTGGAGAAGGTGCCAATGTAAGTCAGCCACTGCGGTGGGCAGAGTGGCTCAGCGCCGCTGCTGTTCCAAATCCTGCATTACGCTTGGTGTTTAGACATCTCATTTGAACCGCTTTCTGCAGGACTTTAGCTCTGCACTGGTGCCCCAGCTGAAAAGGCCACTTGTCTGAAACAGGAGAGAAAGTATTTTTTTAAGTTCCAGGACAAGAAAAAGGCATGCGGGCATCTTGTTTCACTGTTCCAGGACAATTTGTTTGTTGAAACAGGAAGAGGAATGTGCCAAAATACACTAAGACGAAGGTTTCTGAGGACAGCTTCAGTCTGGATCTGTCAGCTTTTCTGCAACTCAGCTGTGAGCAGAGGATGTTCACAAAGGGCACCTTTCATAAAATCCAACCACACTGTTATGGTCTTAACACCAAATGATCAACTGTTTTCTTTACTATGAGCAGAAGTATTTAGAGTGTTGAAATTATAACTTCTTAAATTTACAAAAAAAGCCATCTTTTGCACCATCTGCCATGATGATGGGCTACACAGCTTATCCAAGAAAAAGGAAAAAAAAAAAAAGAAGAAAAGCGAGCAGCTTTAACCCAGCACTTGTTCTGGCTCAGTTCTGTGTGATTTCCTCAGAGGTGCTGCTGCTGCTGTGGTGGCTGATTTGCCCAGAGTGAGGGGAGAGACTGAGACAATAGTCGGGCTCGGGCTGAATTAAATGATTTTGCAGATGATTAATAGTGGTGTGGGCCGCTGGCTCCTGCGATGTAGAGATGATAAATCGTGAGTACGGCTCCGTGCAGCTGTGCCAGTGTTGGGTCTTAGCATGCACACACCATGCAATTTACAGCCAAGCCGCTCTCTTTCTTCCTCAATTTATCTAATTACCTCGATTTGATCTGAGCAGCAGTGCGGCTTTATTTTGATATTCCACATTAACCACAACAATGAATTGAATCACTTCAGGGAGGATAATTGTTTGCTTTGCCTCCTTAAAAGAAAATGTTTCACTTGCCATTTCAAAGAGGAAACATTTTTCTTCTTTATTTAAGAGCCAGGCTTCCCTGCTCCTCAGGCCGTGAGTTTGTGTCCTGGCTTTTCTGATGTGGCGTGTAAGAAGTGAACACTTGTTTTCTTTGTAAAGCTGTTAGACTCTTGAACATGTTTATTTGCATAGTTTCCTCCCTGGGTTGGATCAGTTAGACCTCTTATGGCCATGCCCTAGAACTAAAAGCATGCCATGCACTGCTAGAGAAGAAACCACACACAGCAGACTTGGTGCATGAGCACACAGACAAATCTGACATGGCCCTGGCTGCACAGATCTGGCTCAGCCTCTTTGTTTCACAGCGTGGTGTGTGCATCGTGTTCCTCTGTTTCAGGCATTTATAAGACTCCAGTTCAGTCTACAAGCTAAACGATGTTTGCGTGAAGACAGATCTAATTTGCAAAAGATGTTTCCACTATTTCTGTGGCACCAGTGTGCAATGGTTATGTAAGTGATAAATCTATCGATTTTCCAATGATGCACTCGTGTGGAACGTTGGAGCTATGCGGCCTGACAGCGTAAGACGATGTTCACTCAAGTATCAGCTCCCCATTTGACAGAGCCTGAATAAGAGCTGGATGAGAGTCTGACTGTTCGCAGACCAGACTTTACAAAGAGTTAAAGAAGGAGCCTCAGTGCATTTGTTGCTCTGTTTGTGTGTGATTCTGCATCTCTTGACCCACAACACCCGCTGTGTGAGGTTGATTAGTGCTTGTGTGTGTAATATGTGTTTCTGCATGTCTAAATGTTAAAGTGTGTGTTCCTGTGTGTGTCTTGTTGTCTTTTGGGGAGGAGGATGAGCAGAGGTCAGAAGTTAGAGCAGCTCTCAAAGTCATTAGAGTAATCCTTGCCCTGGGGAGCTCACGCTCATTTCCTCTGCCCAGAACCCTCTGAATGAGATGTACATGCACATCCGACGTGGTGCACTACACACACTGAATTTAAGACCGCTCACTGCTGCCATTGTTGTGCCCATTTCCTGTATTTGATCACTGTTTTAGAAAGTTCTCAGCTTACTCGACTTACTTAGTTCCCTAAATTTCTTGGGGTTTTAACAAATCGAATACCTTTTGTGCAAAATGGACTTTAACAGACTTATCCTTTCACTCTCTGAGTGTGGAGCTGTTTTATTTAGTAGAAAATGAGTTTAAGGACAAGCAGCAAAAGTTTGTGTTGGTCTCTGCCTAAAGAAAAATAGGCCGGTGTTGAATAAGTGTAAAGAAAATAAAAAATAAGCGAGCATCTGCAATGATTTAACCACTCATAGTAATAATAACAGCTATTGTGTGGTTGTGTTTGTGGCGGCCACGATGATCACAGCCTGCAGTTATTTTTGCCTCTCACACTCATGTCATTCACGGCTTTTATTGTGTGGGCTGCAAAGACACAACAAAAGAACTTGTGGCCCCTGAAAGCTAAACTCTATTAAATACCCACTGAGTCACTTAAAAGGCACTTTCAAAGCCAGTTTATATTCAGACTTAAAAAAAAAAAAAAAACAAGTATTAATCATTTGTTAAATGATCTCAGAAATGGTTAACTGTTACCTCTTCTGCAAAAACACAACTTTAAATAATAAAATAATCAGCTAGTGTAGATGGATTTTAGTGTATACATCCTGTATGCAAAAAAACAATGATGATTTGTGCATTAGCTGCTAAAAAAACGCAGACAGAAGACTCACTGAATGTGCAGGGGGAGAGCAATAACAGTGGAAAGGTGTCTCAGCACAACCAGGTGGCATCCACATCTGTGAATGCTCTGTCTGTCCAGGTTCATAGCCGATTCAGATAAAAAAAAAAAAACACCCTCTTCTCACTTTACAGAGCACATGAGAGGTTGAGTACAGAAACACTCGGTGCAGCAGAATGAAACAGACATCAGGGATCAATTAAGTAGCTTATTTTATCAGAGTACGCTCTGCTCTTTCTATACGTTTCCTTCGTTCTTTGTGGCAGAAAGTCACGGCGTGCTTCAAATAGACATTAAGCGGATACGCGCCGTGTCATTAGAGAGTTGTCCTTGAAAGACTGGCTGCAGGTTATGTTGGTAATGAGGTGGTCGGGACTTGCTGGGGTAATTTTATATGACTGTAAATGGACCCAAACCAAGAGCCCGTGACTTAAATAAATGCAACACCATCTCTCAGAAGTCCCACTGCACGAAAGGTGACAGAGTCGAAAAGAGAAATATGAAAGGGATTATGATCTTTCAAAGCAGCATACAGTTTTCAAAATCCTAAAAAGCTGAAACGTCATGAAATCAGCATTTTCATTCATTAGTCTTGCACTTTATGTTGTACCTCTCCAGCTAGAGGTGAAGAGCGTGTTGATCGTTATTGAATATTCAGCGACAGTAAAGTAATACATACATGAATGAGGATAAAGTGAAGCGCAGGAACAATGAGTTTAAGCTTATTCTTGCATAAACTGTGATTCCCTTCCTCATGTTTTCTCTTCTGCATTTTAAAAAATGAGCAGAAAAACAACAACGATGACAGAGAGCTGTAAAATTACAAGAAACTTGCACCTTCAAATGCAATATACATCATATGTACATAGTCACTGTTGTGCCTATTCAGCTTAACCTCTCCAGGGCCTTTTTAAAATCTTTTCCCCAACATTTTGCAGTAGTCGTCACTTTCAGCGCAGTGCAGAAAGTTCTAAAAATGTCTTAAAACTCAAGCTGTCTTAACTCTGAGGGAGTTTATAGTCGATGCTGTTTCCCCTGCAGGTTCTGTTCGGTTGAGCTCAGTTATTTGACATTTTCCGAGAGGCTAAAGGTTTAAGATGTTGTCAAGTGCACAGGGCTTGTGGCGCTAAGAGCTAACTTGTTCAGCTACATTACAGAGGAAACATAAAAACCCTGCTTTTGTCTGTTTTCTGAGCAGAGGTAATGAAAGCGTCTGTCATGTGTTTGCAGCAAGGCAAGACATTCCCATCTCCTCCTGTTTATTTGCCTGCATGATAAATCTCCTCCCTTTTACAACAATTAATTGTGTGTTTTAATGAAACCAGCAGGAGTAATGGCCTCACCATAAAACTATTTTGCCTTTTCTGTGCCACAGCGCTCTGTATGCTTAGATACTTAAGTTTTGTCTCTTGTGGTTACAGTGTTTTGATGCATGGCTTCTGCCTGTAGAATCTATTTGCATGCAAATTTTTACATTTCCCTGCGCATCAAATGCTTACTATGATACATGTAGTGTTTCGGCAGACAGACAAGGTGAGAGTGAATCTCGCTCTGAATGAATCTCCTTGTTTCTTTGTGATTGTTTGTGCTCATCCGTGTGTGTGTGTGTGTGTGAGAGTGTGTGTGTGTGTGTGTGTCAGGGTGGCAGAGAGCGACACACACAATAAAAGGAACAAAGACGGAAGAGAATAAAAAAGCATGTGTATTTGCATTGATATTCATTTATCTTTTCTTATGTGTTTTGTTCAATCTTATCTGCTCTTCCAGGTCGTCGAGAAAATTCCTCCATCTGTGATTTCCAGCCCCGTTCCTCCGTGCCCTTGGTTCTCTGAGGTAAAACACTTCAGTCTTGATCTTTCTCTCTCTGTCTTTTTTTGTGCATCTGCCTCCCTTTGTAAATTTAACTTCATATCAAGGAGGGAAGTCTGCTTTGTAAAACAAGTCCACAAAAGACTAGCTCCAAAAAAAGCTGTCAAAGTTAATCCAAATATAAAACACAATCACTGATGATGTTGTTTTGATTTTACAATGATATCCCTACACAATGAAATCCAGTTTAATTATTCATTAATATAAGACTCTCATATTAAATAGAGTGGATACAGTCACCACATATAACAGTGAGAGTTTTATAGCTGCTGCAGGCTTCCATAATGGAAACATAATGTACCACGGTTTGTCAATTCCTATTCATATGCTAAAGAGCACACACCTTCTTTATGTTGTCAATATCTCTCTCCATCAAATCTCTCTCTATCGCCTCAATGCTGCAACTTTGCAGAGTATTGTGAGCATTTAAAATAGTATTTCACTCACACGCATGAATGTGACAGTGTTCTCACTCATATGCGTCAACAGCACAACCAGCCGATAACGTCCTCTTATTCAGATGTAAATTGCGTGTTTAGATTTTTCATGAAAAAAGGTGTGGGGAGTGTTTGAGAGCAAGAGACAGAGTGATGAATACTCAGACAGAGAGGTAGACGAGCAGCATATTCAGTTTATGCATACACATGTTGTTAATTTGTGTATTCCTGTTATGATTTGAAATTAAAGAGAGAGAATATCTGAGCTTGGGGTCGTGATATCCCACCTCAGCGAAGCTGTATGCACCTGTGCGTGTGTGTGTTGTGTTTGTATATAGTGTTATTTACTTGATGTGTCTAAGTGAGGAGTGGGATCAGTAGCTGGCCTTTCTCCAGCTCCACTTAACTTCAGGATGGGACGCAGGACAAAAGCCATCAGGGAAGACAAGGACAAATCATCTTTAGATGAAGTGTTTTAAGTGCTCCGATTCTCCTCCCACGTCATCACTGTGAATTAGGTGCCCTCTGCTCCACGCCGAGGGGTGTGGAATATAAACAATGCCAAGAACGGATGTTAAACGAATGAAAGTGGAAAACCATGAGGGTGTCTATCTTAGTCAGCCTCATAAATCTCCGTTCCCCTCGCCGCGCCGCTGCGCTATATACTGATGCCCGGGTCTGACAACCTGCCAGCCCAGCTTATAGGGGCTGTGTGCTGCATGCTGTGGTCTAGTCTGGTCCATCCTCTTCTTAGCCGTTGCAACTAAGGCAGAGCCATGTCTTTGTTTTATGCAAATCCATGCATATGAGAAAAGGGGGGAGGGCGATGAGCAGTCTGGCCACGTAGCTCCAGGAGGACAGGCTGAGTGATGGAGACGGAGAGCCAGGTCTCAGTGTCCTTGCCTGGGGAAAGAGTGTCCTGACTCCGGCCAGCACTGCCTGCACACCACCTGAAAACTATGCAGCGTACACACACCCCGAAAAGCTTTTTCCCAGGAACACGTGTATTTACACTGCGAGGAAGTTGAGTTGGGAGCAGATAAAGAGAGGTTAACTCTGGTATGAGACTGCAAGTCTCACCTGTGACTTGAATGTATGTGTATGTGCAGCAAAGGCAAGCACACCTCAGGGGTCCTCCACACAATGAGACACAGGAGTTCAGAGCCCAGCAGGGAGCTGAAGGACCCAGAATATGCTGACAAAGATAAAACAGCAGGTGTATGTGTACTGTAAGTGTGGGAAACAGAGCTGAGTGTAAATATAGATTGGGGAAGCTGGCTTGTGTGTGTTTTTCTGAGTATTTGTATGTGTTTGTGATCATATCAGTACACTTTTGCAGGTATAGGCAAGGCCCCTCAACATACACAGCGTGATGGAAACTTGCTGAAAAGTGTCACCCATATACACCACAGCTCGTCACAATAGTCTGTTTCTCAGAAGCATCGTTTGCTTCCTTATATCAGCTCAGTTTATCTGCGCAGTAAATTACCTCTTCAGATCGTCTTCTAAATAGATTTGCTCCCACATCCTCTCTCGCTCAACCCTCCTAGGACCTGCGTGCTAACAGTGACGGTTGGCTGGTCGGAGGCTCTTCTATCACATGGAGCTCTATTTCTGGGTGCCAGGATGTTGGTCTCAGTCGTGGAGGGCAGATGAAATCGATCCAGATTGACCTGTCATGTGGAGGAGAAAATGAATGAGATAGAGGGGGGTTGCAGAGGCCAAAGAGAGAAGAAGTACAAAAACAACCTCCCGCTTCATATGGGTCAAAAGTCGGGGGATGATTTATTCAAGACTGGGTGTTACCCCTCCTCCTCCTCCTCCTCCTCCTTCTCCTCCTCCTCCTTCTTCTCCCTGCTCCACCTGCCTCTGAAAGGAGTGAGAAACTGGAGACTGCTCAGGAGGAGCTGACTAAATTTAGCCTGGGTGACCAAAGACACTGTGGTCTAACTTTAAAGTTAAAAATACAGATATCCATGTACAGTGAGATGGACAACAAGCACCAGTTTGTCAGCTTGATCCCAAACAGACTGAAGAAAGAGTACAGAGAGGCGGGCAGCTCATTCATTCATGCAATCTGATTATTTTATTCTACACCAATACTAAAAGATTCAGGTTTAAACCACAACAATAAGACAAGAATCTTTTTTTTTCCCCCTCTGACTGTCATGATGTTTTTCTTTCAAAAAGGACAAACAAACAAATAATCAGAGTGGAAGATTTATGGCTGCGTTTGTCTGTGAAGTGGGACTAGATTTAGCTCAGTGTGTTGGGCAGAGCTCCACTTTGCTAATTATTTTCCTGTGGCAGAGTTCTCAGCATGGCGCTCCTCTCTCGCTCTGAGGAGAGAGGCTCAGCGGTAAGTGCTTAGTCAGCCCTGCTCGGGGTGTGAGATACTGAGAGTCTCTGGTGGACTGTGGATGGGTGGGAAGGTGGAGCAGCAATGGACCGAGCTTTTACAACTAGTGATGACTCAATAGCTTTATTTCCTTAGCCAGAAAAACAAGTTTCAATCCATTACGTGTCCAGACTATCACAGTCTCAAGGTGGCAGTTGGCGTATTGGACGTGACCCAACCTAACTTGTGGCTGATCTAGCAGGAGGTGAAGAGGTGGAGTTGGATCGTAGTCCTAAATGAGCTTTATAAAGCAAAATGTGTAACTTTAATTCCTTCAAAATGAATAAGATATAAAAGAATTCACCACTGTGTAGTGTTGATGGATGAATATGGCACTCAGACCAAAACCTTTTCCCAACCTGGCTTCAAACATGTTTATTCCTGCAGTAGAAGTGGTCATTTCAACATGAGAGTGAATGGAACTTCCTGGGCTTTTGAAGTCAGCCTTGAGTGGACGCACAAAGAGCTGATGTTTTTAGGAGTTCCCATGATTCATTTTTCGACATCAGAGGTTACCGCTTGCCTACAGCACACCCATCTGTTAGCCAAATAAGCCCCTTCCCTGATCATGCCTGGTTGAACACAACTCAGAACAGATCATCATTGATAAGGAATTTTAAAAGCAGCAGATTAACTTGTTACAAAGGAGTTAGGTGTTTTATTCTTCTGTAACTATATGGACATCTTAAGGTGTTGTCAGCTTTTGAGGCACATCACGAGAAGACACTTAAAACCCTCAGCTTAAAGGAAGTGTGAGGAGCTTTCGTTTTTGTGTCAACTTTGGCGCCCCCTGTGGACAAAGCAGTCTTTGCTCACCATGTCCTTTACATGCTTGAATAGTGACTCTTACCCCTGATTTCCACCGCATCTGGAACGGCTGCGGAAAGGCTGTATGCGCCAATCGCAGCTGATTGTTTCCATTGAAGTTAATGCATCAATTTCCACCCGTTTCTTTCCGTCCTGCTGCAGACACAATCTACTGCTTATATGGTTATGTGGCTGTCTTCAAAGAGACACCTCGTTATTGCGCGATTGCATGTGAATCCATGGGTTCTTATGAGTTCGCAATTCCTGCTGTCTGAAATCCGCCACAAAATTCCCCTCACAAACGCGTCCAGTAGGAATTGGCGTACAGTAAAAATCGCTGCCTTTATGGATGCAGTGGAAACTGGGGGTTAGAACATTATTCCATCTTGCTGACATCTTACAGTTGAGTGTATTGTTTATCCTAATACATTGTTGTGTAAATTGTAAAAACAGGGATATGTTTTCAGCTGCTTACCCCCTCTCAAGGGTTCTCGGCATTGAAATAATAAATACTGACAAAATTATTGCCAATGGTTTTGTTTGCTTTTGTATATCATTAAAAAATATCAGGATGAGTTTCCATTCATTTCATAACCATCAACAAACTCCTCACAGTAACTGCCTAGTCTGAAACCATTTTTGACATTAGCACTAGCAAACAGAGGGCAATCATTTTAAAGCATATACTGTGACAGCCATGACTGAAGAAGTTAAAAAAAAAAAACCTTTCAAGAGTTAAACAGTTAAAAGTAAAACATTACAGATTTAAACGAGTGCAACCTTGAAACCAATTTCTGACTGATTAAATATATTACACAGGATATGTTTTGACCACAAGTAATAATGTATATATATATATATATATATATATATATATATATATATATATATATTTTTTTTTTTTAATTTTTTTTTTTCCAGCTCAAACTAGACTCAAGCTAGTTAGGACGAAGAGACTTAAATGTAACTAAAAACTGGAAAGCATGATTGTCCCAAGACTAGGACTACAAATACAACTATATCTAACAAAGCTGCCCAAACCTACACTGTTTTTAAGAAATTTAGGAGGTTTTGTTCCATTGGAGTCATATTAGAACAAAGCTTGACGTCTTAGGCACAGGTAAAAAAACTTCCTCATCATATAAATCCTCAATAATATGACACAGTATTGCTGTTGTTGAGCTGGTGGTTCTCTGTCAGACCGGATGCCATTTCAGAGGCCTAAAGGAGCCTGTCATTGTAGCAAATGCTGTTGTAAAAGTCTATTAAGCTCCAGACTCTATTCATAAGCGATTAGCACGGCGTGGCTAAAAAGGTATAAACACATCCTAATTAGTTTCTATTCTGTTTGAATGCCTGTGCCGGTCCTTCACTCATTCAGTCCTGATCATCCTGTCTGTTTCTCTCCTCTCTCTCTCTATTTATACACCAATGTCAAACTTGTCTTTCTGTCTATCTCTCCTGCTTTTCTTAGAGGGACATGCAGCTCCTCCTCTTCTGTCTGCCCCGCTATCCTCCAAATGACTCTCCTCCTCCTTCTAAACAAACTTAGCTTCCTTCCCCTCGCCTCTGTTCCCGACGTCACCTTCCCTCCCCTCCATCTTCCCCACCCCACTCCGCTGCCTCACACTGCACCTGCTTCCCTCTCGCTCCCTGCCTCCTCTCCAAACGTCACTTTCCCCCTTCCCTTCCTCCTCCTCCTTCTCCTCCTCCCCTCCTATTCTCCTCCTCGTTAGCTTGATGAATGGCTTCACTGCAGGGAAAGTGCTGATTTTCATCCCTCTGTCTGATTTCTGCTGGCTGTTATTAATTTCAAACACTCAGAGAAAAGCAAGTGAGTCAATAAATAAGGAAATGAACACACTTCATCCTGCCATACAGCAGCTCTCGCAGTCATTCACGTAGGATAGCGGGTCCTCTGTGGAGGCCTAGTCTGCATTTATACTGATAGAGTTCAGCTCCCCTCTTGAATCAGAGCATATTTGTTGAGCCGAAAATAAAAAAAAAGGTCCAGTCCGGCTGCATCATATCAAATGTTTCTGGAGTATCTTGCTTTAGTCAGACAAACAGGACCAGAGGGAGACAGAGCGGCACAAAGTAAATAGCTCTGAAGAGACCTGCAGTGTCCTCTCTCATCTTTTATCTTTCACACTCGTGCACCATTTAAGAAATGAATACAGAGAGTGACAACAGGCAGAGAGATAGAGTCCATGCAGGGTGAAAGAGAGGCAATGAGAAGCAGGAGCAGCACAGAGTTATTGCTGCACATTAAACGCTGCTGTCCGCACAGTGTGGCTCAGGCTCTATGTCTAAGTGCACATTACTTACATTCCAGGCTTAATGCATTGTGCTTGTGCCCGTTAACATCAAACACAGATAGCCTCCCAGACAGTACTATTCTATATTTTGTTTGCAGGCTGACAGAAACTCTTGCGCCAAAGTATTTATTCTTAACATTATGCGTTTAATTGAACATGACTGGAGTATTTAATCAAAACAAGATCACCATAATGCATGCACAGACACAGGCATTAAAGCCTGAGATATCATTACACTGTTTACCGAGTGATAAGACAAACAGTCTGCACGGGCGTCCTCTTCATACACACCCACATGTCCTTAGTTGTGTTGTCTGCTGAGTGGTCCCCTCTTCTCAGACTATTTTATCAACATTTTCTTTTTTTTTATCACAATATAATATTCATACTTCACAAATGTATATCAACAGCATAACTAAAGCTCCTGTGAGGAACATTTCAGTTGTGTCGATCAAAGAAATCTTTGCTTATCTTGTCTTCTACATGATTAATTAGTTACTTTTGGGAAAAAAAAATCTTATCCTGCTGACTATTTATCATCAAATTTATCATTTATTGTGGCTATTAAATTTTAATAAATAAATAAATTACATTATTTATTCTGCTTGGTTGACAACTACCACTTCACAGCAGTTTCAGGCTGACAAAATCAGGATTAAAAAGTCATCTGTCATGTTGCTGACGGTCTTGCTTGCTTCCAGATATCATGGAAAGGCGTCAACATGAATTTCATTCTGTTTGATCAACTCTTCACAGGAGCTTTAAACATGTTTACAGCCTGGTTTAACTTTTAACTTTTTTGCAAGTAATTAATTTTGATCATCTTCGGGAAAAGAGTTTTTCAAAAATGTACATAGTTTGGGGATTGGCAGATTGTACTGTCTGGTGTGTGACATGCAACTGTTAGCCCAGGGGTGCAGCAAGACTTTCAGACTGGGGTGCCTAAACTTGAGTGCTGATTTATGCAGATGTGGCCTATAAATAACAGCCCATAATTATCCTATCAATCTAGACAAGTCAAATTAACTTGAGACCACAAACATTTATATATCTAACTATTGTTACATTTCCTGTTTGGAGTGTTTCAACTATGAATAGTGAAAATATTTAAACTTTAAAAGAGACTTTCAAGACTCAACAAGCAGTTTTCTGTTGAAGTCACAATTCAAACTACCAATGAAAGAAAATGTGCTCCATTCAAACACAAAGTCAGCTACTAGAAGCCTTTTGCAACACAGCCCCCAAAAAGTTGTTTTTAAAGTTAGGCCTGGTTTCTGCCTCTGCATCAGACCCACGCTGTAGATGCTTCTGTTGCCATGAGCACTACATGCTTCTGTGTTGGAGTGTCTGCCTCACTCTAATGGCCTATGGCCACCCACTGGATCTGCCCCTGTGTAAACTGGGAGGCTTAAAGCCAGCCTCTCTTTGCCTGTGGTGAGATTGAGTCAATAAGGCTGCTGTTGGGCTTCATAATTCATCATTAAGAACTAATGGATAACAACACAGAGTTTACATCTATGTTTCACACAAACTATGTTCTAGACATACTCAAGTGTTTGGTTTATGACAGAAGAAGACAAAAGAAAGCTAAAAACGAAATATCTGAAAAGAACCTTTTTAGACTTCATGTACAATGTTGTGTCCTTGCACAAAGGCAAATTATAAATTTACACGGATACAAATGTACACAGCTGTAAATACGCCATTGAGTTTCTGTCATTCCTCATTTAATCTAAAAACAAATAAAACAACATGAAAGCTGAATGTCAAAAAAACTAAACCATCGCTTTATAGAGAGAGAGAGAGGAGAGAGAGAGAGAGAGGAGAGAGAGAGAGAGAGGAGAGAGAGAGAGAGGAGAGGAGAGGAGAGGAGAGGAGAGGAGAGGAGAGGAGAGGAGAGGAGAGGAGGGAGCTTGTGTTAGTAGTAGCTGCAGGCGTAGTGGAGCCTGTATGTCTGCTTCATGGCTCTGTGAGCGCAGACATAACTATTGTGTTTACAAGGCTGAGTTGCTCTTACTGTTAAATTATTGGGGTGGGGGTGCCTTAAAGGAGGAGGAACAGAGGGACCGGGAGGGGCGGGGGGAGTAAATGTTTGTCCCGCTCTCTCATAGTTCTGGCTAACCAGGCTCAAAGAATGCTCTCTGCCTTTTATAATTACAGAGTTAGAGCAGTGTCACCCTCAGAGAGTACACGGCCTCAGAGACCTGACAGCAGGGGGGGGAGGGGTTAGGGCTGAGGAGCGGCACACTTCTGCATGTAGAGAAGAGGCAGTTAATGGTCATGTGTCGTGAGGGAACTCTGACACAGGCACGCCACCCCAGACCGAGCCGCGAACTCAGTTGGTCACCTCGCTGTCGTGTTTTCTGTTGGCGTGGGAGGATGTGTGACCCCTGGGAAAGAATGTTGTGGTGAAGACAAAAACAGAAATTAAGAGTCCTGGTTTTGCTCGCTCTTTCTCAGAACTGAGGAAACCATCTTTTCTCTCTCTTGCACACACTCGCTCATAATCTTTCAGCCCTGCAACCCTTCCAGGTTTTTCCTCCTCTCTGCAACCTGGCCATTTAAAGGAGAGCGATGAGTTCACAGCTGATAGTCTCTGGTTGCGAGGAGCGGAGAGCAGTGTAGGATGACATTATCGGAAGCGGCTGCATATAGATACAAAAAAAAAAAAAAAATAGACACAAACAGAAAGAGAATACTATGGTGCACTTCTCTCAGTATAAACGTCTGTCTGCTTGGATTACAATAATGACCCCTGACAAACCATAATAAGACTCATCTCTGTGGGCAGCAGCCATGACCAAAGAAAAGAGCTCTGGGTTTACTTTCCAATTATATTACAATCTTCCAAATGAGACTCGTGCTAACAAAATAAAACACCATCGGCCTCCTGATGGGTCCTTAAACCAATAGGTCAGGAGGATACAAGCAAATGCATTTTAGCCGGTATGCCACAGCTCCCATTAGAGAGAGGGATGTGGAAGGAGGGTGATGGAGAGGGACAAAGCTCTCCCCTCCGTCCCTGCGGCTGAAGTGGAATAGTTGTGGTGACGGGTTGTGACAGCTAAGGGAGCGAGGGAGCAGGAGGGGAGTATCACTCCAAAATCCCCAGGACGCGGAGAGGAGGGAAGAGTAATTTAGGATGAACGCTCTCTGTCAGGCTGCATGTTTGTGTTGTCTTTCTCACTTTTAGACATGCACACAGGACTGCACAAGGGCCACAACAACACACACAGACAATAAGGCTTAATTCAACGGATGTCTACAGAAGAAACTGGGATGGGCCTGTATATATAAACTTATAAATCACAGTTACTCTTCTGTATTTATACACATACAACATAATAAATTCAAATCGATAATGCTTTTATTTTGACCTAAAATAAAGTGGATCAATCAGAAGGTATTTGCTGAATTTTACAGTACATTAAATCTTGGTAAATCTGTTCAGCAGTTACCAGTGAAACATAAACCAAGTCAACTCAAATAAAATGAATAAATAAATAAAAATGCAATGGACACAACCAACACAAGCACATGATTGATTGTTTCAAAGAGCCTGTGCATTTTCAGTCGCTGCAGCCTGTGGGACGGCAAAGTGTATCTGTAAGTGAGAGCAGAGGAGATACCCACCAATGGGCTTCTGACTCAAACACTGTTCAGACTGACGTGATAGCAGATATAGTCTTTTAAATGTAGACATAAGAGGTAAAGAACAAAAGGTGAGTAAAAACAGCAGCTCTTATTATTATCTGTTGACTATTGTTTTTTCATGGCTGATACTGATACCAATAACTTCAACTAAAGAGACTGTTAACAGTAAAATGTACAGCTTTCTGTCAAGATGCAGCATTTTGAATATTACAAAACACTCACAGTACAGTTATGTAGCAAGTGTGTGATGTCTCGCCTGTCAGATAGTGTTGTTGGCAGGATATTAGGTGAGACAAATGGGGTCTATCTGAAATAAAAAGTTAGATACCAGTGATTGGCCAAATGACGAACATAGGCTTCCATAATTGGCTGATTATCGGTCTGCCACTAATCAGTGCTGACATGAGTGTTTCACGGAGCATGTACAGAGACAAAGGCAGACACCTGGCCAGGTGTGGCCAAGAGTCAACATTTGGATACTTTGAGTGAGTGCAGTCCCACAGGCACAGGCTGTATCTGCAGCCTGAGGGAAGTCACCAAAACTCCTCAAACAAGAAATAACTGAGACAACAGTCTGGACTGAGATTTGAGTTTCAGTTCAATATTCTGAAGTCTGTTTTGATTTGTAAAGTTGGGGACTAATATCATGTGATCATAGTACATTTCAAAACAGATTTGACTTGATTTTAAATGACCTTAGGCACAGCACTGAAACCATGGCCTGGGGGATGTGCTTTCCTGCATGTACTTTACTCACTACTAGAGGAAAAAAGTCCGGCTAACTGGCCATGATCACTTCTTTTGCTGTGGTATTCATCCCAATTTGGCAAACATATGTTCATCATCCTTGTTGACGTTAATGTTTTCATGATCTCTGAGGGATGTTTTGGCCCCACTAGGACTTCTTCTATTTGGTCTGGAGTCTCTACATTATCACAACAAATCAGCCAATAAGTATTAATACTGTCTCCTTGGCTGGATCCCAGGATAGTGAGAAATTAGACATACATCAAACACCTCTGCCATCACAGAAATCTCCACACAGGACTGTTACACCGCCTCTCATTTCCTTCCTCCGTCTCTTGATAGTATCCCTAATAGACCTCTCTCCCTGTGGCACACTGCTGTTGCAACATTCACCTACTATTGCTTTAATGAGATGTCTGCGCTGCCGTGTGTATGTGTCGCAATGAGCGTGTGTATGTGTGTGTGTGTGTGCCTGAGAAAGAAAGATGTTAGCGATCCTTGTGGCCCTGTTTATCTCCACCCTTGTGTTAGAGTAGAGGGAGGTCAGAGGCAGGGCTGCTTGTATCCATCTCCATTCCCACGGCTGCTGTCTCACAGGCACAGTGGTCACAGGAGGATGAAAAGACTATGGATTTTTTTTGTCTCCTCCTCCCTACACTCACCAGAGTAGGAAGATTAGACAGAAGATGAGCACAGCCTGCCCCATTCAAAGCAGCTTTAAGCCCAACACTGGAGGCATCTGACCCCAGCTCTCTGGTTCATGGAGCACACAAGTGCACATGGGACACACACACGCACACACACACACACAAATCAGCTAAGGCGAGATTTCTTGGTTCGTTTTTCTGGTTCAAAGCGTGGTCATACAGTGCCTGGGTGTTAAACACTGAACCTTTGACCTCTGTGTATTAACACACACACACTCACACACAGGAAACACAGGCAGAAACAAGCACTCCCCCTCCCTCACCAGAAGCCCTCAATAGAGGCTGTTACTGCGTGAGTATAAAAAGATACCGGGGGGGAAACTTGACAGACAGAGGGGTGAGAGGAGTCAGGCGAAGAAGAGGAAGGGGCGGGATGTTTGGAGACAAAAGAAATTGATGCGGGCAAAGAGAAGCAGCGAGATAAAATTCAAAGCTCTTCTGCTCTCACTGGCAATTAAAATAATTTCTGTATAATTTGAGAAAGGCCTGAGCTGTCTTATCAGTTTCCTGATAAGCCTCCTCCTCCCCCTCTTCGTCGTCGTCCTCCTCCTCCTCTTCCACAGCCAGTCTGCATGAGAGGCCCATGACTGAAAAATGACACAGTGTGCACTGATAGCTGCATCCTGTCAGCCTGAATGCTCTTGCTTTTGCTTCTGCACACACCCTTAAGCATTCATGTGTTTGAACGCACATGCCATGCACACATAGGGCCGTTCAACTGTGAGGAGTTGATCTTTTTTTTTTTTTTTTACTTTTTCTGAACAATATTGGGCATCAGTTGGCAAATCACACTTCATGTCATAGCGGACTTGCTCAAAAACATAATTTTGCACCTTGATCTGGAGTAAGTGTGAACTGTGTGGCCTGGAAATGTAGAAAAAAATGCACACACAAAAAGAAAAAAACAAAACAAATCATGAGAATCAGAGCAAAAAAGGGTGAGAAAGCCAACTCTTGAAAAAAGTGTGGGTGAGCAACAAAGCCAAACCAAACAAAAAGTGAAACTTAATTTTATGAAGTCTCCCTTTACGAGGTTACTTGTGAACTAAAAATAGCAACAGATAAAAGATTTAGTGGGCATGCATGAAACAACAAACAGCGCTGACGGGAAAGGTGAGGAAGGGATCTTGCATATATTGTGAACAGATCTGATGTAAAGGGAGTGTATGTATCGTATTGTGGGAATAGTGGGGGCAGACCTTTGCAGAACAGAGAGGCATCAAGAAAGCGTCCTATGTGTCCCAGCTTTTTAAAAGATACAGTTAAACCGAGCATCCCCTCGAGGTTTACTCAGTTCCTCATGAACGGTCTCCATGGTATTGTTGGGGGTCAAACTGTTCACACTCTTCCGTTTGTTGGCTTGAGGTGACAACTGACTACAGACTTTCTGCTGCTTTACTTCGAACGACAGTGGCAGAAGTGGTCAGCTGTGGTTGTGGAGGAGTGTGTGATGGGTAATGGCGCAGTGAACGATAATGGAGGCGGGTTTGGTATAGCATTCAGTAGTGTGAACCAGTGGTCAGCTACTGTTTGTCACTCAGGGCTCCAAACTGCTTCCATCAGCACATGAGAGAGAGATAAGAATCAAGAGACCAAAAACAGAGAGAAAGAAAAGTGACACTTTCCAGCACTTTTTTTTTTTTTTTGGTATGCATGTAAAACCAAAAATTCTTAATCTCTAAATAATGCATTTGTTTACCTGTGTGTGTCATCGAGGTGTTACTGAGCATATGCAGAGCAAAGCGAGGTGGCAGCACGTCTGCGTCATTTTGGAAGTTAGCTGGTCGTCATGGACACACAGAGGGCGACGTTTCAGTGAACAGGAGGTGGGTGCAATGACATAAGCAGGCCGCAGCGTCCTTACTGTACACGCTACACTCCTAGCAACTACATATGGAGGGGTCAAGGGCATGCACACACTGACTCACACACACACACAGACGCACACACACACGCATCTTTGTGATTGGTAAAATAAAAGGATTTTAACCGTTTTGGTTTGACATGATCAGACGAATCATTTCTCTGGCTGTCGCGTTGTTTGTTTTCAAAAGTGAGTACATCTTTTTTCAGTCTCTGGAAAGCTACAGTACGACGCAGAGCACGTCTGCTTCCATACTCTTGGCAGCATCTCGCACACACACTGTGTGAGTGCTGTAAATAGCCAGAGTGTGTCGTGCATCTCTGCTGTGTTTGGACCTATTTTAGAGCTGACACAGGAAACAGGGCCATTCTGACAGCCACCCTGCCAGCCGGTACTGCACACAGCAGCCCCGGAACCTTCTGTCGCACACACATTTACTCACACACGCACACACACACAGACACACACACACAGACACACACACAGACAGAGCAGATTTTTCCATGTTAACAACCTACCGGCGCTTCATCCACCTCATAGACTTCCACGAATCATTTAATTTCCTTTTTAAGTCAACACTCCTTCTCTCATCTCTCTGTTCTCTGCCAGTTTTCCACAAACTCTGACTGGAAAGACCTTTAACAAAAGCACCCTGCTGCGCCACTTGGCGGCCCCCCTGTCCTCCACATCTTGTCTTTTTAGTATTGAACATTTCAAAGCCTGCGGTTCAGAGGTGATTTCACTTCTGAGCCAACTACTGCGGCGAGTACCTATCTGCTTTTTCTGCGTTACATATCCCTGCATAATAAGCAAAATGATAACCGTGGCAGAGGGGAGCTCAATTAGCCGAGACAGGTTTCTACTTTCAGCTACAGCAGACAGCTGGAGACCTGGCACAGCACACCCAGTTCATTTAGAGCTAATTCATGTAGATTGTTTGCTATTCTGCTTTATTGCTTTTAGACCATTGTGTGCTTTATTTAATTTAATTTGCCAAACAGGGTTATGTTCCTGCATTAAGCTTCTTTGTCATTTATACATACACTAAATATTTTAGGGTACAGAAGTCCTGACTCAGTGAGTTTACACCTAAATGAAGCTGCGTGTCTGTGATGTGACGGTGCTTGCTCATTTAGAGGCCGTTAGCACACACACATAAACGCCTCTTCAAAGGCTCTAGCGCTCACCAGTGTCTCATATTTGGGGTGGAAGATAAATTCTGCAGGCTGCTCCTGCCTTCCTATGTAATTATGTGCATGGTGATGTGCTTTTACAGCCTGCCTAACAGTCGGAAATTATCTCCCGGAAATGAAGTCCAATTAATTGTGGCACTTTGGAGGCATGCGTGTGTGCAGAAACACTGTAATGACACTTTACAGGAAATTGGCTCCTGGTGAAATATTTAATAAATAAGTTGGGAGGTGAAACAACCTTGTATGATTCTGACAAACGTTGCTGTTTATGCTCCTCTACACACACACACACACCTCCACTCATTTGGATGAAGTGCTCATACGTGAAGAGTAAGAAAAGAGTCAATAATGCCACAAAGCTGACAGTTTGAGAAACACTGCGTGCGTACGATGTCAGAGATTTGATTCAAGATGCAGACCTCCTCTTTCTCTCCCTCCTCTCCCCGTTTTAACGTCTTTTAATCAAGTGAGAAAATGTTGTGCAAAACCAGGCGGATAAAATCCTGTTGGATGAGGTGTGGGTGCACCCTATCGATCTCACCTAAAATAGGAGAGTCTATAAAAGGAAACAGCAGTCTTTTAGGGTCAGTGACATACCGTGTCACGCCACACTGAAACTCTATTGTAGGACGCGCTGTGATGAGTCAGCACTTTCAGAGAATAGCACCTTTTGTTTTCAGCCCCTGTGAGTCTGGGTGTTCTGCCCAGAACTCCAGCCCAGACAAAGCTCATTCATGGATTTTATTTTTCATCTCTCATACATATTTCATCATTTATTTCTATATTGTAGTCTGGATATGTACAGAGGATTCCAATTGAGTTTTTTTAACTTATGGTCAATTTTTTTGGTTGGAAAATAAAGTATTTAGATTCATTGGCATAATTTATCTGCAGTGTGGTAGACAAAAAGTACAATCAGATATGAAGACTGATGTGACATATGTTTCAGTGCATTTGACTCATTTTCTAAAGGAGTCCATGGTAATCCTATGAAAAAAAATTCAGAATTGAAAAAATATAGGATTCAAGGTTTGGGATTAAGTAATTTCACCTCCGAACACAAACATACATATGTCATTTTCTTTATACGAACCCACCCTGTATAATGCATCATCAGCACATTGCTAAAGCTTTATAAATGCATCTATAAGGCCTTATGCTCACTGCTTATAACACATCATAAACATTGCTGTAAGCTGCTTGTTATCACATGTAAGTATTGCCTCATTTAAACAGCTTTATTAATGTACTTATGATGCATTAGAAGATGTCAGTTTATCTAAAGTGTTACTGTTTTGTTAGATGCTGGTGTATCAGGTATCATTTTCAGACCAGCTTGCTAAGGTTTACCCTCCAAACATAGTCATAGTTCATCATTATGTTTAAGCAAAGCACTGCAAATCAGTTTTGGATGTTGTGATAAACATGTGTAAGAAAAAGTGTTTGTTAGTGTGTGTGTGTGAGAGAGAGAAAGAGAAGGTGTGTGTGTGTGTTTGGATTAACCTGGATGTGTGTATTTATGTCTTCATGCTTGTAACTTGTTCATTACTTTAGGTCATTTTGTTCTGCTTGATTACACACAGCAGCTTGCTGGTCACCGTGTGTGTGTGAGTGTGTGTGTGTCTGTCAGATTGTCTGTCTGATGTGTTGGGGCCTGTTGTAGCGCCATTGGGCTCGGCAGTATACGGCACGTAAATGGCAGCAGAGTGGTGTGAGTGTCAGCCGGAACGTGTGCTTGGCAGGCAGCGGCTATGCTATTAGCAAGCGCTAACAGTTTTATTATTAGAAAATAAACGGTGCGCTGCAAAACTCTGAATGTTATTAGCACCTCACCATCTGGGTCTGACAGCTGTGTTCAGCCACCATCATGGCTGAACTGCTAACGGCTATATCTGAAATCTGCACTTTTTTATCTGCAGTGCTTTCACACTCGTCCTCTGCGTGTCTGTCAGGGTGTCTTCCTCCCTTTCTCTCTTGTTATCTCTCATTGTTGCTCTTGCTGGTTTTCTTGCAGACATAAAGATAAGTGAGAGGATAATAAGCGAGCGCAGGCAAACATTCATTTCATGGCCTCACACACACAGAAATCACACAAGCAGCAGCAGCAGCTCTAAATTTTTCTCCTTTTTCTTCTCTGTGGCCTATAAAATGTGCATTTTGTCTTGTAGGGCTGCGTTTTATTTGTGATGGTAAACTTGTACTTATTGCCTTAATTTAGTTGAGTAAAAACTTTAAAAATCTTGCAGGAAAACCACAAAAGCAAATGTGGTGTTTCTCACTGCAGTCCATGTCTGCTCATTTGCAGAAACTTGCTCTTTTTCTTTTGTTTAACTTTAATAAACGTTTTTTTTTTTACACACAACATACCAGCAAAACTCTGCATCTCTGAATGCTGGGAACAACAAGTCATTAAGCTAAAGGAATAAAAAAGAGCTGCTCTGTTTGTGGTTGCTTGTGTGTGAACTCTTGCATTCAACTTCAGAAGTTTGCTGCTTTTTAAGCATGTGAGAGTATGAGAGTGTGTCTGCGCAGAGAGCTTGAAGAAAAATCTTCTTATGCATGTATGTTTTTGCTCCCCGATCACACAGCTTTGCAGGGCTTTATTTAAACAGATAACCTGCTACCAGACGCCCCCAGCATCCCCCAAAAACTCCCAGCTCCTCTCCTTGCCTCCCAGTCTTTCATAACAAACCCCATCGAAAGGAGACACCTCCAGAAATTAACACTCCTATTGCAGACGCTGCAGAAAAAGCCTACCCTACAGTGCTTCTCCTTCTTCTCAGAAAATACTTTTTCCTTGCTAAAACAGGGCCAACTCTCTCTCCTTCTAGGGGTGCGTCTCCAGCTCCCGACCTAATCTACATGCATACTTACCTTCCTTATATTTAGAGATGTCGCTAGCAGGCAGCGTGAAGGACTCTGGATGGCATAAGAATCTATTTCACATGTAGATGCACAGGGCTAGCGTACAGGAATAAGATTCAGAGCAGGCAAAGTGTGTTTTCAATTTCACTGACCCTCCTCGTATTGTGCCATGGTTATTCGCTGTCTAATCCCATTTATTCCACTGTTTCTTCACTGTCTGGAACACTTTTTTCTAAAGCTTTTCTTTTTAGTTTTGATTACTTTTGATGACCTTGTCTGTGCTGTTTAAGCCGGCAGAACAGACGGAATCATGCAGAGTGACTTATCATAATCCCATTCAGTTAAACACAAATCTCTGTTCAATCTTTCTTAAGGGAATCCTGATTGTTCGTTTTTGACAAGGAGGAAATCTTTCCTAAAACTGGTGGCTTTATTTACGTCATTTTGTTTTAAATGTAATTCATGGCAGCTAAATCTTTGTCATTTTACATTAAAGTTGCTTCATTTATGACTGCAAATTATTTTTTTCTTTGTCTCCAAATATCATGACAAAAATGTAGAAAAAGAAGCTTGTCACATTGATCTGACTGCTCTCTTCCATGTTGTTGTACGCACTGGAACTGTCATTTTGGGTCACTTTTTGCAGCCTATGAGGTCAAAGTGACTCGTTTTGTCATTGTGAGGAGTTTAGACCAATGTTAACATCGTCTCAATCTTACACTGATGCCTCTTAATGACACATATGATAGATGAGGATAAACAGTGACAAGGCTGGTTGTTTCTTTGAAGGGAATTTTGGTGCTTGTGTCAGGGTTGGAGTTTCTGGGGAGGAAAAAGCAACAGCACATACAATTTTTTTTTATCGCCATATGTGAGTGCATACATAGGACTGGAAAAAGATGTTTCTCTTCAGCCCAGAAATACAAAGAATGATTTTGAAAAATACAAAAAGGTGCAATAATGCTGTATAATACAGTAGGAGAGTAGTGTATGTACTTAATTTTTGGTGACATTTGGCAGAGAGAAGTGAGTTGGCAAAAAAAAGAGGATTTTCCCCCTTTCAACAAGCTTTGTTTGTCCTTGCTGATACTGGAGCAGGATTTGCAAAAGGTGTACATTTGTGTTTAACTATTGTTTTAGATGGAGAATAAAAAAGGCCAAAATGTAGATGAACAGTATGTGATGTTCACGCTGTCATATGAAGGCTTTCCTGTTGTTTAAAATATACAAAAGAGTCAGAGCATGTGCACGTTTATGTTATGACACCAGCGCAAACATCATAAAACCAGGCCTGTACTAAGTGACAGTGACAAATCAAAGATTACAAGATTTGTTGTTTTGAGGTAATAATGTCATGAAGCCACAAATCAGTGTATTACCTCATCACATCACAAAGTTGTCTAGAGTAATAATAATATTTAAAAAAAAAAAGTATTTCAAAGAAAAAACTGTGCTGTAATCATTTGCTCCCATTACAAGTGCATCCACATGTTTATGACAGTGGGTGATGGTGCTCATGGGAAATGGAGTTTTGATCTGAGAAAAACAGGACTGAATTCATCCAAAGAGGTCACCAGAATCAACATAATATAAAAGTTCCTCATGGTGGCCTCACATGTATACTTTCTTGATATTTTTGTGTGGACGTCATAAAACACAGAGAAAAAACTTTGCAGAGGAAAATGTCAACAAAGGACCCCCACCCCCCACCTCCGTCTTGTGTGTGTAGTAAATTGCTTTGCTTGAATCTGACACTTTTACAGCTTTGACAAGCTTTCTGAATAACCCTAGAGGAATACCAAATCTTACACTGCATGTCTGGTTTGCTTCTGTAGCTAAAGAGTGGAAGCAGTATTAAACTGAGTGCTTCATAATCAGTCAAAAACAGGGACTTTATAATAGCAAGATGACGTAGTGAGTCTATGAAGCAAGTATTGCCATAACCTTTCTTTCCATTCTGCTGTCGTCACATGGCTGAAGTGTTCACCCTTTACTGCAAAAACAGGCACCTACATTGTTAAATATGATAAATCAGACATTATTACAAAAACACCAATAATACATTTTTACGATATTTGCATTATATTTGGATAATATGTTGAGAAAGTTCGTATTTTTTGAGTATGCTTTTCTTTCATAATGCTTTTAAAATCCACACAATGTCGCATTATGGTGTGAAAGTGTCCAAACATCCAAGAATTGAGCATAATACAAGGGTTTAGGGGGGCTGCAACATTATTTGGTCACACAGTGCTTTACACTTACAGATTTATGGATGCACTTTGATGTGGACTTGAATTGCATATGACAAAAATACTGTATATTTGAGTCTAATGGATCTGGTTGCAGTAATTACTTTAATCTCTGCTGTTGGTTCAAAATTACAGCTTCAGTCTTCAGTTTCGGTAAAACTGATTCATATTCAGATCCTCAAGAGTAGTTAGAAGTGTGTTGGATCAGTCAATTTCACTGTAAAACTTTGCAGTAATTTAGAATAATTATGGGTTTGGAAATCTGGATGCAAGAGAGGGAGCAATTTACAGTTTTTTTCACTATGAATACTTTGAAAATGAGTCACAAGAGGCAGAAAAAGAGAGCTGTTTGGCTTTGAAATACACCACACAGCATCGAGCGAGTGTGAGTATATTCTTCAGCGCTACACGAACAGTCTAAACAAACAGTTTCTGAAACGATATCAAACAGCCTGCAGGCACGCACATTCATTTCACTCCTACTGAGGTTTGCAGAGACCCTTCCTTTTTTTTTATGCTGAGTGTGTTTGTGCAACTGAACGTACACATCTGTGTGTTAGGTGGTTAATGCACTTGACTTGAGCCTAACCACAAATCAAAGTGATGGCTGGCGAGTACCACATAAGAGAACAGAAATGAAGCAGATAAGTGTTGAGATCAAACAGACCATCCCCAGTTGAAAGCTCCCCTCCGGGGGCAGGAGGGCTGCGAAGCACTGCGCGGTGAATGTCTCATTTAGCAGAGGCACCGCTGCAACCGCTAACGAGGTGATAACACGGACAGATGATAAGTTATTAAGAGAAAAAGATCAGTTATGTCACTTTTTTCTCTGTGTGTGTGTTTCAGTGTAACTCTGTGTGGCTGTGCAGGTTTTAAAGGCATCTTTTACGATTAAACATACCTGTGCACAAGTTACTGAAATCGGTTGCATAGGCTGTGTTGTCACTGACTAACTTCACTTGTGTGAACTGAGATGAGAGCTCCACACAGACAATGAGACTCTGAGGACAGATGAGGAATGGCATTGATGAGAGGTTTCCGTCACCAGGCTGGCTGAGAGCCAGAATCTAATGTGAACTGTGGAGTGTTAGAGTTTGACAAGACTGAATGTTGTTTGTCTGGCAGCCAGCTCACTGCTTTGTATCTGAGACCAGATCATATCCAGACCACTTCGGCCTCCCACCCAAACACCCCCTCTACCATGTCTTTTCCAATGTAGTTTGACTTTTTGTCTTCCGTCTGTTCAGACATGTGTAGACGTTCATGCAGACATCGCAGTTTGCTCTTCCCCTCCCTCCTAATGACTAACCCTTATCCTTTAGATACTTTGTCCAGCTATGACAGACCCTTAGGAAATGCCTCATTTTCCCACCACTCTGAGAGGAGCTGCAAAACTTGAGAAATAAAATAATAATAATTTAAAAAAAAAACATTATAAGAGATCTTATAATCTCTAAAACAGGGTTGTCAAATAAACAAAAGATGTTTAAGTCTACATGTGAAAGCTTCTCAAATGTTTTGGGTTTTGGCCTCAAAGACATTTAGACAGGTGACTGACTGGTTTTGGGCTTGAGGTCACTAGCTCAATAGCAGATACGATTTGAATGCATCAATTTGTACTTTGAAAAAAATATATATATGTATATTGGAAAGATATTCTACATCAGAAACATTCTGGCCTCTATTTGTAGTTCAAATAGGAAAATCCACAATCTTTCCAGCTAGAGTTGGTTCAATGGTTCAGAACTCTCCATTTAGACCAAAACCAGGGGCTATAAAACAATATAAACTAAACAAACTGGGTATCATCTGAAAACAGTTGAGTATTCAGTTAATCTCTTTAAAGGGATGTTGAGATGGCGCGCAAGGAAATGGAAATCAATGCAGTCACATGATGATTGAAATTGATGAAGTACAAAATGAAATAAAAGTACTGTGCTGTAGGTAACTGATGTGCTTTGATATGATTGGCTGTGGACTCTAGAGAGTTAAACGTAGTTTATGTGGATGGTCTTTATTGAAAATGAAACACACAAAGACATCAATATGTACATAACTTAGGAACAAAGTAAAGGTGGTTTTCAGTTATTACATTAAATAAAGATCATAAAGAGTTTGAACAGCTTCCATACTCTCTGGATCAGATGTGAAGCTAATATAAGATTAGGTTTCCTTTTCAAAAGCTGTAAATCAAAGTTTAAAGAGACTAAATTTGGCTTTATAAACACAGTTTTACTAAAAAACATTTTCTGTGAGTCTTTGGGTGTACCAGTTTGACCAAATGTATTCCTGGTGGTCAGATTGGCTTGGGATCCTACACCTTATGCCAGGTCAAACTTAAAACGGGAAACTACATCTGCACTCCCACCCAGCCAAACTCTGAAAACATTTTTATATTAATGTACAGCCAATCATATTGTGTGACGTCAAGTGCAGGATCCTGAACCAATACGTACATACCTTCATAGCCAAATAGACGCAGCAGAGTCAAGTAAGCGGAGTCTAGTAGAAGGTGCCAGCTACAAAGTTAGCAAAAGTTTGCATTAGACTGATCAACTACAGTAAAAGCAAGAATTCAGTCTCTTAAACAGTGCCATGTGAAGAAGTAAGAGACACCCAAACAAATTATAGTTAACAAGCAGATTTAAAAGCGTCCTTGTCAAACAAGTGTGAAAGCCAGTGCAATGACCACGTATGTAGGGGCTGAAAGTTCACAGATTGGTGCTATCATCGTGTCATGAGCCAAGAATCCTGATTTTATCATCCTCAGTCTCTATAAAAGCAAAATGTTCCTGCATCAAACTCAGTTCTTCTTGTGTCTAAAACTGTTGTTGCAAGATTCTTCTTTGAACAGGAACTATCTCTCCAAAAGGCTATTATACCAGCCAGTGATATGAGCTCTGAGATTGCATGATGCTAAACCTCTACACTGAAAATACAAGCATCACTATTTCCTCTGTGGATTCATTTCGTATGTGCAGCTACAGATCCTCCACGGCATGCCTGGTTTCCCTCACATGTTTTTTTTAAACCGAGCTATCCCCTGCTAAGTCCGTGGATGGGAAGCCGCCTTTGTTGAAGAGGTACTCGTGGCCCATTGGAAGGAGCTCTGGGAACAAGAAAAACGATTGTGAACTGTTGCCACAGTGGAGTGTATATTTAGTCGAACATCCCACTGTTGGGCTCCCACTTTCTCTGCCTCTGTCATCATCTCATTTATCTCAGGTACTCTCAGTCCGTCCAGGAGCTGTGTTTTAGCAGCTCTATTAATGGCAGGGTGGCAGAATCAAAGACAGCTTTATAACAGTAATTCCTGCCTGCCGACAGCCAAATTGTTCTGAGGGAGAAATATTGACTTATCTTGTCCATTGTTCCTGAGGTACAAATTCAACCACAAAGCCATGAATACAATACAGCACATTTTTACACTTGAAATCAGGCTTGTGTTCAGCTCCCTCTCTCTTTGTGTTTGTTGGTGTAATGTGCCAAAGTTATTTAAGTTTCAAAGAGGATGGATTTGATAAGTTATGTGTTTTCTAGAGGAAATATGTGGGTATGAAAGGGTGGGAAAATGCCATGAATATTGCATTGAGGAAATGTTATTACACAAATGGACTATGCAAGACAAAGACTTTGATATTATCATAATTAAAAGTGAGCAGCACCATATGGTGAGGGAGAGGAGCTGCTCAAAAACAATCAAACTGAAAGCCTCTCAGTGAGAAGAAATACACGAAATGCTCATTTTTCAACCAGACGAACCGACAAAGTCTGAACATACAGTTTTCTATAACCTTCTCCTCTCCTCTCCTTCCTCGTCCTGTACGAGTGTGAGTGTAAGCCTGGTCAGTGCCCTGGGCCTGCACGGGGTCTACAGTATACTCCAGGAATAGTGCGGTCACGTGGCCGCTCTGTGGGATCTGTTCCCCTGGCAGGAAGCTGTTATATGGTTACAGTTATTTTTGTTGTCTGTCTGGGGATAGTTTTTACTGCGCACCAGAGGATCAATAATTGTCATAAAAAGACTGCGTCACCCCGTGCCCTCTCAGAGCAGGACAGTGAGCTGGTGTGTGTAGGTTAGCTAGTTGCGTATGTGTGCGCACATGTTTATTTTTGGCCAGGCGTTTGTAAGAATGAATGAATGTTTGGGTGCATTAAACTGTGCGATTATGTCTGCAAGTAGATGAGCAATGTTATGGTTTATTTCACTGACAGCATTTCACTGTTGAAATGGTGAAAGATGTTTCTGATGTGAAAGGAAATGAGCTGGTTTGTATGTGGTCTGATTTTCTTCAAAATAAGGACAACTTGATACGGGTCAGCCAGGATGCAGCACAACTTCACATCGCCACTCTGTGTCATATCTTCACGTTACCTCTTTGACCTGCTGCATCCGTCTGCTCTGCTCTCTGTCTGGAAGACCACACCACTTCCCTGTCCATAGTGTGTCTGCAGAGTATCTGTGTCTCTCCTATAGTGTGCGTCTGCTGTATACAGTATATGTGCCACCACAGCCCTGAAGCTGCAGTCGGCCCTGGGGACTCAGAGAGGAGGTCCTATAACAGCGCAGGCATCGGAAGCTGGCTCCTAGCTAATTGGTTCCTGTGTTAGCGGCACACAGAGACGGTGTCGGAGTCAGCACTTTCCCTCCCTCTTTCCCACATTCCCTCTTTTTTTTTTCTTTTTTCTCCATCCCTTCCAGCCAGCCAACCACAGATGCCGCAGGTTTGACATCCCTTCAGGACATGTGCCTGAGCTAATATGTACATTACTGGATGTGTGTGTGTGTGTGTGTGTGTTGACAGATGGTTTTGGGCGTGCTTTTGCAGTGACAAGTTAGACACAGAGTGGGCCTCAAAAAACAATTTCATGTATTTTCTAAATAAATACATAAATAAATATAGTGATATTGTTATAGAGACCCTTAGCAGCTAAATATTACAAGATAAGAGTCAGATTGTCATGTGAAGGATGACAAAATTAGTACCTGATATTGTATAAAACATGGAGGTAGCCTCTGTGATAACACCCTAAGGTTTCTGGGCTCCATTTTGATGTGCTCCATAGTGGAAATATTGATTTAACCTAACTTTAAGAAAAAACTGGAAACAGTTAAAACAAAGAGTCAGAGCTAAGAGGGGGTCCTAGCTTCAATGTATATCCATCTATATTCAACCTTGCCTCCAATGCTAAAAATGATGTTTAACTCTTGAAAAGGTTAAAAAGGATGTGTTATCACTTGTACAATGTATTTAAACAAAAATGTGAGCTACTTTCTCCCAACCATTTTCAAACCAGACATAAAGTAGTTAAAATTTGTAAGTTAAAAAAAAAAAGGATATGTTAACATTAGATCTGATGGGGGTCCCTTAGTTTTCCCAGCCAGCCTCTAGTGGACACTTGAGGAGCTGCAGTTTTTTCACACTTCCACACTGAGTTTGCTTTTAAGATTTTAACATTAGAGGCTGTTGCTTAGTTTGTATTAACAAAAGTAGAGCATCTGTTTAGACTTATAAATGAAGAAGTGAAGTTAACAATGACACATAAGCACCTTTCTCCAGGTGTTTAAACTTTAAGCTTTCTGGATAACATTTTACATTTTATAACTTTGGTTACAACGGTTTGGTTTAGTTTGGACCTTTAGGAAAAGATGTTGTTTAAATAAGTACAGATGTAAGCTCTAGTAATGGAGTGACATATTTCATAAAGAAATCAACCTCTCAGAGGAAGCAGGAGTTGATTCTCTTAACACTGTGGTCTGTCGGACCTATGCACCCTTCACACTTCATCAGCTGACTCTAACACAATCTGAAAACAATCAGCTTTAAGAATGCAGCCAGAAATCATCACAAAAAAGTACATAAAGCACCACCTTGTGCCACTGACCATGCTGCTGTATTTGGTGACTCAAGAGAGAAAACCCAGAGTGCTCCTTCTGCCCGTATACTGTATACCTGCAATTTTTCAGTCTTTATCCTCTTTTGTCCTTTGAATTGCTCTCAACCCACAGACACAGCCCACTCCACAGGCAGAGTAGATGAAGGTCACAGTGTAACTGTGTTTACATCACTCCTCCCTTTCTCAAACACACGCCAACAACACCTCTGCTGATGGCCCCAATGACAGGGGAGGTAGCCTCAGTCCAGGTAATCACAGCTTGCAGGTGTCTTGGCTCTGAAGTGTGTGCAGGGATGCTCCCTCTGCCTGTGTGTCTTTTCATACTGTGAGAGGAGATGACTCGAAAGTGTTCCCCACTGAGCTCAAGTTAACCTGAAGAAAAGCGGCCTCTTCCTGCTTAGATCACTGAGTAGATGTCTGTTCAGACCCAGGTTTGTGAAAGGACATCCTGCTATGATAAACACACAGCACCAAACTTTGTGAGACCAGGGTTCAATCACACTTACAAAGTAACATCCTCGACATCCACCTACTAAACAAACCCACTGTATGACTGTGGTATAGTACAAAATGCAAGAAGACAACACAGCTTAGTCCACAGGCAGTGCCAAAATTCATTTAAATTTTAGTTAAAATGTTGGATGTCAATAATAAATGTTAAAAAGTTTTGAAACTGTTGAGACTGAACAGCTTGTGTAAAAAGTCACAAGGCTTCCAGGAGAACTGCATGAGATTTGCTTATTTTAAGACATCACCAAACAGCAACTTTCCTTGACGAAACAGAAAAAAACATGATGCTTACCGACCACTTTGTAACCTGGCAACAGCGGAAAGCAGAGGAGGTTTCTGAAGTGCAGGGGCCCAAAGAGTTGGGAGGCCCTATGAGAGACAGTAGCTGTGTTGAAGTGCTTCAGACAGAGGGGGGAAAAGAGTTTTTTCAGACACTAATCTGACAGAAGTAGAGTTTTTAAAATTTGTTTGGAAAGGATAGCTGGAGAGAGAGAAAATATGCAGAGTAGAGATGGAGGGGAGACCTGAGGTGAGAACTGGGGACAATATACAGCCTTTAAATAAGCAAATACCCCATCTTTATTCAATATAAAACTCTCGAGACAACTATTAGGAGTAAGCTGCATGATTTTTTCTTTTTGTCAAGGACTTCTTGTGCATCATATTGCCAATCTGGCCCACTTGCAGCAGTTACAAGCATTGAAAATGTCTACAGAACTAGTCAGTCTTTGTGCTCGCAGTCATTTTTTCTTTTATGGGTCATAAAAAAATGTACTAAAATCAAATTTAGTCTGTTTCTCAACCATCTAAAAAACTCCTTTCGAGGGGTGTTAACTTTAAATAAATACTTAAATACTCAAACGGCAGAGAGTTTTGAGTTGTGGATATTTTCAACAGAAATGATCCGTTGCGTTGTTTAATCACCTCTAAAACAGTTAAAGTCTTGTTGCAACGAAGTAATGTATCTCATTTCTAGGATTCATGAGGCCTCTTTTGCAATGCAGAGCCACAACAAAGCTTTGTCGTCACTTGACTTTACCGTGTTATGACACTCACGAAAAGCACAAGGTGTAAATAGCGTGAGCGTATAACTGACACTCAAACATAGACACACACACTTGCACACGGTGCTGCTCCACCTGTCTGGTATTTTTACTGACAGTGAGGTTCAATGGAGAGTAGACGGTCCTGTTTTGGACAGACAATGTAAAAGAGGCTGTAGTTGCAGTCGACCCCTGGAGGGAGTGTTTCCTCAGTAGTCTCCTTGTGTGACAGACCCCTTGTCTCCTCTCACACTCCCCAAACACCGCTGTGGTCTCCCTCCAGCCTGACGACTTCAGTGCTGACCTCCTCTATAAGGGTGGCGGCCCCAGCCTGGCCTGGCCCGGCCCCTCTATGCCCCACTGCATTAAACATTGATGGAGCTGTAAGGGAAGGCTGGAGCCTGTCTCCTTACTGTGGTCTGGTCCTCGCCTTTAGCCAGTCTCTCTCCTCTGGCTGCAACCTGTCTCCTCAATTTCTTTTTTCCCTCCTTTAGTGATTTCTATCTTTGCTTGTGCTGTGGTTATTTGTATGTGGTGGAATGAAGCTGTCTACAGCGAGTGCTTAAAAGACACATCAAATCTGAACAAATAAGAGTGATAAGTGTCTGCTGCTTCTGCTGCTGCTTGTGGCCAAGTTGCACAGCAGTGAGACGTGACTTCCTGGAAATGACTCTGTGTGTAAGTGTGTGTGTGTGTGCATGTGTGTGTTTGTGTGTGTAGTTGATTCCTATTTGCATCTCTTGTCTATGTGCGGTGCATTTATGTTATGCATTTATGACTTGCCACAGAGCAGGGCTGTATAAAAGGAAGTGGTGGGAGACACAAGACGGCAGTTCTTTCCTTTCTTTATCAGTGTGAGTGTGAGTGTGTGTGTGTGTGTGTGAGTGTGTTCTCTAGTCCTGCCGCAACATCAGAACATGATCTTCACACCATGCTATCGTGTTATTTCTCAAGATGTGTAGAAATGTCGGATTAATTAATGTGGGATTCCTTCTAAAGATAGTCAAATAGCGCATGCGATTCTGTAACGAATATACAGGAGGAATGATTTTTATAAAAAAGGTAAATAAATAGATAAATAAAGGACCACTTCATACGAACAAATCCAAACACTTAGAGACCCAGAAAGAACAATCTTCCTCCACCCTGAGAGATCTGCCCCACAACCAACAAGTGTTAGAGTTCAGCAGCATACCAGCCCTGATACTGAGTCCTGTTAAGACTGTAAATGTATTTATAGAGCGCAATATGAGCCGGGTATGGGTATCAGACTGTGAGAATGAGACGTTGTAATCTGGCATTTGTGAGCATCAATGTCTGGTACTCGTGCGTGCGAATGTGTGAAATCTCAGCGCAATGTTTGGATGTGTGAGCGTGTTTGCTTGTGTGGATGTTTATTCATGGCAGGAGCAGGCTGGTGTTAATCGGGATCATGTCTGATTATGTGGCCATAGGGCATAGAGGGTTTACAGACAATGCTTGTGTGTGTGTTGTGTTGTGCTGGCAGACTGGCGTGCTGGGAGAGTCAACTGGCTGATCCGCACTGCCAGTAACGTGCCATGCAGCCCTGCAGGCAAACCTCCATTCAACAAAAGTGAGTACAGTAAGGATTTTCTTTTGATTCTGAACTACAAAAAAAAAAAAAAAAAAGCAGAGATGTGATCCGGTTTGCTAGCAACACAACAGCAAAACACTTAAACAAATGAGATTGTGATGAAGAGGAGATGCATAAAATGGTTGTGATTGCAATAAAACCTCCTTCAATTGATGCGTCTGATTTTTCCAGCCAGAGCAATCAGATGTGATAAAATCATCTGGATGGCAAAAGAAAGCTAGAGGATTCTCATTAATTTGCGCAGCTCTGACCAGTTGTCTCCTCCAAGGAAGGAGAATCACATGAGAATAATCCTAAGTGAAATAATCACAGCTCAGAGCAACAGCAAACGGGGATGAATAAATAAGGCTGACTAAATAAATGATCAGTGATTGTTTGGCTCTAAGTGCCGTTGCTGTAGCTCGGCATCCTGATTTAGTCGAAGCCTTCAGCAATCCCTCAGCCGAGCTATGGTCTTAGCGGAAGAGAAACGGCTAAAAAGCCCCATTCTTCTTCATACCTTCAATATTCAATGAGAGCGCTAATTGCACCGTGCTGAAAGAAAGAAAAAAGGGAGGGAGAGAGGCAGGGTGGGGGGAGGTGGGAGAGATCTACTGGCTAATGGTCCGTAGGGGGAAAATGAAGGAGAGGAAAAAAGGGGATTTAAAAGTTAGACATATCCTCAGGAGGTTCCTTCCTCTGTTTTTTTCTTTCTTTTTTTTTTTTTACCTGTGCGTCTCTTAGCTTTAATGCTAATGCTCATTAGCCAGTCTGTGTGATATCCGACGAATCACGGCTACTGTTAGCGACCGCCACCGCGAGCACTCAGAGCATCCAGTGGTAATGCACACACGCCTCTCTCTGTTGTCAGCCGGAATCCCACTCCGGCTTTTTTTTCTTTTTTTGTTTTACCTCAAAAGTTAGTTGGAAAGATATCTTGGAATATTTTTCGCTCAAGGTGCACCCATTTGTGAAGAAGAATAGGGGGATGCATATGCATTAAAAAGTCTTTGTGTGTATAAAATGCCAGCGCAGCACTTTAGCCTTCCCTCATCCTTCCACCCCCGTTTCTCCCTTTAATCTTTGGCGGAGTTATAATACAATAAGTCTCCGTAATCAGTGGATCTCCTCCCCTAGACTTATACCTGGGATAAATGAATGGATTTGAACAGAGAGGAGGGGAAAAGGAAAAATAAATGATGCAAACATTAAATTCATCATTACTATACAATTGGAAAATATATCTGTTTTAATGAGTTTTTCCAGTTGAATGCGCTACCGATGACCACAAGGGGCAGTGTGTCAGGACGTCCGTCTCCCTCTCTCCCCTCCAGTCAGCCCCTTTCCCTGTCCCCTGATACACTGCGACTGAAATCCTGCTGATCAGAAGTTTTTCTCATAAATCATGCCATCCACCAAACAAAGCAATAAAGATGTTTGTTTGCATTATTGAAGGGGAAGTATTGCCTTGGGTCAGCTTTAGCAGCGATGTGTGTGCGTGTGTGTGTGTGTGTGTGTGTGTGTGTGTGTGCAGGTGTTCCTAAAAAATACATGTTTGCTGGAGTGTGTGCTTGCCAAGTATTTTTCAGTTAAAAAAGTAATTTGTTTGAGAAAAGCATATTTTGTTGAGTTCACATTCTCTTTTTTCTCCACACAGGAGCCTGTAATGGTGTTTTTGATTGCTCAGGCAATCACTATCAGCGGTGTGTGAGTGTGTGTGTGTTTGAGTGTGAAGGTGGCTGTGGCGTTTTTTAAAGGGGGAGCATGGACTAAATTTATGTTGGGCTTCATGTCTGTGCTTGTGCATACCAGTTTGTGTCCTGTCAAGTTTCACTTTTGTCTTTAGGGATCATTTACAACTCTGGACAATTTTAAACAGTCCATTTGGTGCTATTTATATTGATCACTCAGGCTGCCAGGCACAGGCTCAGAAAAACAGACTTCCTCACAAATACACTTTCTCTCTCTCTTTCTGTTTGTGTCTGCCTTTCTCAGACAGCTTGACTTCTTTCACACTTTTTACGTTCATACAGATTTCTGCTTGAAGCCCTTTTTTAATTTGGTGTGTCGTCACATGCCGCTGCAGATGGTCAACTGATTAAATGAGGGATGTGTGGGGTTATCAAACATGCTAGGAGTGTCCCTCGCTGTATCCAGTATCACTATAGAATTTAACATGAAACCCTTTACCAAATGAATGATAGCTTATTTATATATAGTAACAACTGTCCCTAACACGACCCTTTGGCTTGAGCGTGCAATTTTACCTCTGTCAGTCACACAATCTGCTTTCAGACATGCACTGGTCGGTCTGCTGGAAATCCCCCAGCATCATCCAGGGGGGTTACAAGTGTGGACACAAATGCTGTATTTTATCGCCCTGAAAGCGTGCAGGTTTTTTCCCTGCAGCCCTTTCTGTAAAAGGCCTGCATGTTTATGTAAGCCCAGCAGGTTAGAGTTGGGGACAAATACCGCAAATGAGCAGGGTGGTGATATTGTCCGCACAGGGCAGAGTTTTGCAGACTATACTGCACGTGTTACTTGCTTGCATATTGTTTCCCAACTGCTGTGTTTCCATTGCATTAACACTGACTATCTAAAATGAATTGGCAGAAACCTTTAGGTCCAAATTGTCCTGAAATCATCTAGAAAAATCATTCAAGCACACGTGCTAACAGGGCTAAAGAGACGAGTCAAATAAGAGGTCATTTTTGACATAAATACTCCACCTGAACTTGAAAAGAATAATACTGACATTTAACTGTAATTACATTTGCTTTTTATTTTTCTCGAGTGCCTCATAAACTACGAAAGACCATTTCACTCGCATTTACAGCTAAAAATAGATGTGTGCAAATTGTAAAATGTATTTAGGGGCACATGTGCGCATTAAAAAAAATCAGCTGAGGCAACAAATGTTTTTTTCATGTAAATACTGCGGTGAAGTTAGTGTAAGGTTAGATATTCGACGGACCTTTACTGCAGATCTAACAGTGTCTTCTCACTTTCCATAACCGGGAATAGAAATAGCATTGCGATTAAATCTACTCGACACCCTCGCTGTCAATGCCGGGTGTTGAATAAGGGACCATCAATAAATTACCAGTTGATGTTCTCAAAAAAGCTGTTTTCCTTCAATAGCGTCCATGTCATGTGACCAATTGACCTAAAATTTATTTCAAATAATAGTACTGAGGTTGAACGATAAGACACACCTCTTCATTTCCTTAATTTGTCCAAAAAATTGGGGGTAAAATGGGTTAAAAGCAACTCTCATTGTGCCACTAAAGTTCTTTGTGTGTTCCTTACTTTTTCAACTTTGGAGCACATGTGCTCCTTGTGAAAAAACTTAGTGTATAGCCCTGAACTGATATTCTGACATAAGTGAGGGCACACAGAGTACCTGTGTAAACTCAAAACCTCCTGTTTGCTAATCAGAGCGCAACCTAACCCAGGTCTCTATCAATATGATCCTCCACTCAGTTGGTCAGTCAACAGCATTCCAGCTTAAGCCTGAACCTGGTATACTCATTAAAACCAAACCCAACTATTTGGTTTTGCGGTCATGGGGCTTGCATGCGATTCATCACGGCATGTGTTTGTGTGTGTGATGAAACTGTATAAGCCGGTCTCCAGTTGTGCTGTAATATAACCTGGTCCACGGGAGTCCGTTCTGGGCTCTTGGCTTTGCTCTTGTGGCCTTCAAGCATTCGGCACTTCATCTGAGGAGGACTTTGAGAGGGGCTTTTGAATGCTTTGCGTGGCAAACCAGCTTCTCTCTAAATAAGACGGTTCCCAGCTTGACAATGCTATAAAAACGTAGCACTAAGAGGCCGAGACTTACATAAAGGAAATAGGGTCTAATAGTATTAGAATAAATGACTGGAAAGTTAAAAACCTGAGTAGCTTTAAGACATTTAGGAAGAACAATATCCTCTCTGTACCTGCTTTAAAAACTTTTTATGATCCTGCTTTTTACGATCCTGTTCACTCTGCCTCTTCCTCCTCTGCCCCCTCCATCCCTCTGTCGCAGGGATGACTAATGGTAAATGTCTTTCTGGAGGGGGCGAGAAACTACCTGCTTTTGTTATCTTTACGCCCAGCAGCTTGAAGAGACAACCATCAAACATCACACTCCTGGTCTGACTCTCCTGACGTGGAAGGAGCTGGCAGTGACATGGTTAGTGGAGTGAGAGGACCCTGCATCCTGGGGCCTGGCAGCTTTATGAGCCCAGGGGGACCGTAAAGAGACAGGCTTCCAGGATTTCAGCTGATGCATGGGTTAGGGTTAGAAAAGCATGAAAGGACAGGGACAGGATGCCTGTTTGGTCAGAGTTCATTGTTATCAGAGCGGGGTCTTCCCATTCACAGTAGCCCTGGTAGAAAAGGTGATAGTGACGAATAAACTCCTACAAATGACCCCTTATTTGTCAAAGCTATGCCTCACAAAGGAGCGTGTAAAGATAAGAAAAACTCGAATAAACATACTGCAAAGTGGCAAGCATGTCCACTCTGACAGAAAAGGCGGTATCCTTCTCTGCACATACCTGTGGCGTGTTGCTGACGGATGGATGGGTCAGTGTTTGTTTTAGCAGCCAAGTCTTTGGACGAAAGGAGGAAGCTCTGGAAGAGCTGTATCAGTGTTTGGACAGATACCACTGGCCCCAAAAGACACAGGCCATCATCGGCCTTTGGGATAATGCAAACAGAGGAAAGGAAAGGCCAAAGAAACACTTTTCAGAAAGTCAAATTTGCGCTTAAACGTGCCATTGTTTTGTCAGTTAGAGGTGCGAGAGTGTTGTATATAAAAAAAAAACTGCAATATGGATAGTTTTTTTTTTTTTAATGCATCAGCGTAAATCACATTTTATATTACTTACGAAGACTCATGCACTGTTGATAAACCCCTGCTAATTTTGTTGCCAACAATTACCGTTGAGCAGAGGACCATTTTCACATGGCCAATGATTTTTTTACTGGGTGTCTGCCCTTGTTTCCCAAGCACTCATTGTGACTGGAAGTGTCCCATTTGGCAGGAGCTTTAACAGAGTTTTATAGAGTGATCCTCATTGTCCCAGCCTCCTCTTGGTGAGGAGTTAATGAGACCAGGTTGAGGAGGAGACAGAGCCACAGCAAAGGAGCACCGACAGGCTTAGACACAATGGGAACACACACATGGGCACATCTGTTTCCACTGAGATCTCACTGATGGAGAACAGAGACTTCACCATCTGCAGCTGAAGGGGACGTGCGCACACTCGCAGGTGCGGAGACAGACTTAAACATACAGTAGATACACGCAGGATTTAAACTCTGATTAAAACAAGCAGATCGGTGACTGAAAGACATTTTATCATGGGACAATCTTGTAGCAAACTTGCTGCTCTGTTGTCCTGACTAAATGCAACTGTCCGAACAGAGCCGTGGAGGAGATGAGTCAATGCTAGCCGAGACGGTGCAATCGCATGCTGTTCTTTCTAGACGTGTGAGCGCGAGTTACCTTTACAACCTCTGACAGTAAGTGTGAATCATGATCAGCGTACTCTGCCTCCCTCAAGAACCCAGTATGGGGGTTGTGACCATTCCGGTTTTCTAGTAATGTGTAAGCCAACCAAGATACAAGTTTTATCCTCCTTCTCTGCCCACTTAGTCAAACCAGCACTTCTTCTCTGTCACGCTTCTCTCCCTCTTCTCTTACAAAATAAGATATATTGCACTTTTTTCTGTATGAGCAATTATCTATGTTCAATTGCACATTTTAAGGTTGTTTCAGTTTTCAAAGAAGGCAACCACAGCCTCTCCACTTGCTTCTCACGGCTCCAGAGACCAGAGGGCGATGAGGGTGGGGGATTCCAAAGAAAACCTGCGGTAAAGGTGGTCTCACTGTGGTTCACGGGTGTGTGAGACTCTTGTATTGTATGTGTTTGTGTTCACTCGCAGGCATAAAAGAACTACATCTACAGGGGGGAGGCAAGAAAAGGGAGCTAGAGGTAGGAAGCAAAGTTTCTGTTGCCGCAGAAACCATATCATTTCTCACCACCTGAAAGTCACCGGAATAAGAGACTGCTACTGCTGCTGCTGCTACTGCTGTGCAAAATGAAAAAAATATATATACCAACAGACTCCAAAGATGTAAAATGCCCGCTGACATGTTCCGCTGAGCGAGCTTACATAATGAATGTGGGTTTTCAGCAAACTGTCTTGACAATGAATTAACTGGATTTATAGCAATAGTACAGAGTGACCCAGGCTTTCTGCTGTTAGAGACACAACACTAATGCATCCAGTTATGTAGGTGTGCTGGGCTTGTTGATGCGTGCAGTTGTAGTGAGATTTTATTTATAGTTATACTCTTTGACATCTCTGAAAGTGTATATTTTGGTGGTGAAATGGGTGTATTGAATCAATGTAGAGGAAGTGTTTTGAGGCCTGTGAGCAAATGTTGGTGCACGTGTGTGAAGAGGGAGGAAAGGATGTCAGAGCTGAACATCATAGGCTGTATTGTGACCATCTACACCATGCATGTGAGTGGAAAAGTAAAGCTTCCTGTTCATTTGTGTGAAGAAGGTTCATGCAGCATTTGCACGATTGCGTGTAGGAGATAAGACGTTGAACAAGTGTGGTTATAATAAAAGAAAAAGAAAAAAACTATCAGTACATTGAGGTCTGATTAATCACCACTTTAATGAGTCAGCAGTCTGTATTGACTTCAGGTTTCAAAGAAAAGGAATCAAGTGATCACCTTGAACAGAAGTGTATCTATATCCAGTTTTTATTGAAGGGAGCTTTAAGCTAAGCTGCTCATTGGGAGTCCTTGAACGTCTAATTTCTTGTCTTACACTTGTGTTTGTTTTCCTCAGTGACATGATTGTCCGATATGAGCTGCACCTTCCCAGCATTGCGGAAAGAATGGTATCTATTTCTGTTCCTTCCTGCCATGGCTTCGAGCAGGCATCCATATCTTACCATAACCCCATCGAAGCTCTCTGCAGACTCATATCTCTGTCAGCCTCGCAGAGCGAAACAATGCTTCCTGTTTGGTTTGTCCGACCAGTGCCAGCGCTCTCTTACAGGCTGCTAATGTTCCTATGTCAACTTTGACCCTACTTAACTGAAACCACCACTATCAGACCAGGTTCACACCACTCACAGGAAGTCATGCTCTGAACTCACGGCCTGAGCGATGGTTACAAAAGAAGGAAAACACACTGACTGTAACACAACCACGTAACTACTTTTAATGGAGGAGGCTGAGGTAAAAATAAAAACAAGGCAATAAAACGCAGTGATATCAGGAGACAGAGTGGTGTCGGTTTGAGTGAGTTATGTATAATTTATGTTGTGCTGTATGGGTTTGTATGCATTGTCTTGCAGCGCTCTTACCATTTAAATTTAACAAACAGTCTCATCTCCTGGAGTCTATCTGCAGAAACCATCATCTTTCATTCACGCTGTCAGATATGTTTTCTATTTGACTGTCTCATCCGTCCTCCTCCTTTGCTGGTGTAAACTCTAAACCGCTACACTCCCACACGGAGCGCTGCAGCCCAGCAGCTGAGAAGGCTGAGACGACAAGTACAAAATTTAAAAAGACAGGCCTCTTTTTGGCTTAGCTACAACAGCAGACACACAGCTAGTAGGCGCTAAGTCTCATGCTGAGTCTGAGGACAGACGACGTGAGCTCCTGCAAAGCTCTGTCTCCTGAGTTAGGATGCTGCGTGTCTGTTCTGCCGTTTCAACGCCGAGCGAACTGACAAAATATCTGTTGGGAATCTTTGAAGGGTGAGTAATGTAAAAGAAAGTGGAGAAGAAGAGAAGGAGGAGGAGCAAGAACTTGCATGTGAGCATCTCTGTGGGAGTGCACAAGGGAGAGTAGTCGAGATATGAAGAGAGAAAAAAAAGATGAAGAGGCTGAAGATATGAAGAAGGGACAGACAGCGCAGCAGACCACTGAGTGTCTAAGAAAGTGAGCAGAGCAGCAGCTCCATCAGCCTTAATAGAAACACGCACCGGCCCATTATGAGGAGGTGTTTGAGAATAAATCATCTAACAGGCCCCTTTTCAAAGCATTACCCTGTCAAACCCAATCTAACCTGCCTGTGTCTGCTCTCCCCTCCCATCCCAGCTCACACTGCACCCCCTTTCCTCTCTCCTAAGTGAGCAAAGCCGTTTGCCGCCTCAGGCAAGGGCTGGGAACATAAGAGCAAAGTCACAGCCGAGCCGCAGATTCTAGTCACCACCACAGTGTGTCCTCTCAGACTGACGGGGGGGTTAACTCCAACAATATGTGTTTGGTTATCCGCTGTAAAATTTAGGCTTTCAGAACCCACACCATTTCCCGTTTTAAGTGCATTTTGAATGAAGCATTTGTAAATTAATTCGTCAAGAACTTTGGAGAAAAAGAGCGTCCCAGTCTGGAGAACAAAAAAGGGAAAGCGAGTTTGCAGTCTTTGATGTGACCACTGCTTCAGTGAACATGGATGAGAACTGCTTTCCTCATGTCTCCTCTGTGTCTGTCACACAGTGTGGTTTTCACCACAAGACACATCCCCTAGCCTTCTGGGAACCATAAGGCCAACCTCCGTGACAGCCAGGCGAAGCAACAAATAGGCTAGTGCGGAGAGTCTGACCGCGAGAAAGGAGTTTCAGCAGAGGATGTGAACTGACTGTATCTTTAATGCTGCTTAAAGAGAGACTGCTCCTCTCTGCGTGCACAGAAGCTTGTCTCCTGAAATCAGATTTATGACTTTCACATGCACAGTTTGAGCCCTGCGAGGCTTTTTCCACTTTAATTAAGTTTGAAAAGTGTAAATCTGTGTTTATTTTTCATCTGCATATTCAGAATTAACTTCGTAATGACTTGGCAGCATGTCTGATACATGAGAGCTGCTTCGCACAGGTTTGCACTTCCGTTCTCACTTAAGGACAAGCCCCATTGATCGGTGGGATATGGGGCAATAAGCCCTGTGTGTTTTTCCATGGCTCCCTCCAGTGCTGAAGCAGGCTGATGCTTCGGGCTGCTGTGTGTGTGAGAGAGACGGCTGGGTCGGCTGACTGACAGCTCTGGATAAGGGATAGTGTGTCTGCCCTCAGTGCCAGCACAGCTAGAAGTGATAAACACCGGCAACCTGATCCAGAGACAAGAGACGCCTCTGCCTCTGACAGAGTTCAAACTTAATGCACTTCTATTCTTCTTCGCCAAGTCCACATTTGCTTGGCTCATCCCCGCCTGGCCAGGTGGAGGTCAGCGGAGGCTATTCCTGCAGTTTTTCAACCACTTCTGATTGGTTCTTTCTCTTGCCAGTCTATCTCATCCCATCACTATTTAAATCTGTCTACAGCTCCTGCTTTATAGCAGCCTTTCAGCGTCCATTATTCCTAGAGCCCATCCTATTCAATATTCCTATTGCGCCAACAGGACCTGAGCATTCTCTCTGCTCTGGAATATTTATGGAAAGTTTATTTTATCTGTTTTTTTTATTGCTACTCTTGTGCAAATCGGCCCCCATAGAGTCCCCAGTCCCTGCCCTTGCAGTAATGGCAATGTAAACATGGGAAAGTAATTTGAATTCTAACAAAGTGGAGATTAGCTGGTGACAGTTTGTGGCATGGGCGATTATTTCTAAAATAATCCTGTTTTGATATGCATCTGCGTCCCGGCAGGAATTTTCAATTTGTTTTCCCATTGCTGCATGTAAACAAGCTCTAGTGTCTCCTTATCATGGCGTCGCACGGACAAGGAGGGGAGCGTATGCCTGCCCTCCCCTCCATCCCCCACACCTCCCTCTCTCTTGCTTTCCTCCGTCTCCCAGCACAACCTGCCTCCTCCACCCAGCATCTGGTTAGAGGAGCTGAGCAGCCGCGCTTGTCTGGGTTTCAACAAGTCTCTTTATCACCAGCAGGTAGGGGGTTTTATGTGTGTACCTGCAAGTCATTTGCAAACATGAAGTCCTCAAAACGCACCCCTGAATATGTTCTGCTTGAGGGGTTCTGCCCATTCCCGGTTTGAATAGGCCAATATGCAGCATGGCAAAATGGCCTCCTGTCTGCCAAAAGGAGCTGTCGTACCCACAGGCCTGGGCCAGGTGATAAATGTTTACACTTTTGATTGTCAGCTGGGAGTTAAGGAAAGAATGGGGACTATTTATTTTAAATTGCTTGCTTAAAAAACACTTTAATTTAAAGTTGCAGACTTCTTCCTTTTTTTCATAAAGATTTGTGTTTCAGATGTTTACTCAAGAGGGGGGATTCATTCATTTCCCATGATGCCTGTGGAGTCTCAGAAAGTCCTACACAAGATGATATCAGCTGTTTACTTACCTGCCTTTGATGCGCATAGAAAGCCAGGGGGCTATTTATCTCTCGCTGATTGATTGCTTCTGCCTGAAGCTAATCAGCATGTAGCTCGTTGTGTCTTAATGTTTATGGGGATTATGGGAGGATAAACATAGTAATCCCCCATGTTGTGCAGGACTTCCAATTATCATGCCGCTCCACCAAAAATAAGGTCACCATAGATTTAACCTTTTAATGCAATATAAGCCAGCCGACATCTCTCTGCTCTTCATCTCAGCAAAGTTTAACCTGACTTTGGACCCACGTCTCACTCACAGGTGACTCATCTCAGCTGTAGTGGGTTGTGACTGGAGCTGACCAGCTAGGTTAGGCTGTGGTCAGTGCGCTGACTGAGGCAGGCTTCCTTACAGATAGAGATAACAGGCAGAGGTGAATGTCTAGTCCATGCTGACAGTCTGGATCGATTAGGGATGGATCACTTACACGCAGCGATCGTTACAACCCCGCCCCAGTGCTCAGGTGGAGACATGGAGCGACTCACAGCAGCAGCAGCAGCAGAGAGGTGAAGCTCCTGACTGAAATGTGCCCTTGCAGAGATAGAGGATCACAGTTTGTTATTTTTTATTACGTACTTTTATTTGGCGTTTGGAGTTGTTTATGTCAAGTTACTTGTCCAGCTGAAGTATCCTGATTGACAAAGACTGCATGATTGATACACCTCTTCTTCCATCGCCATTAAGGGTGTGAGAAGAGAGGATGCAGAGTGGCCCAGCTCTCACTGCGAGTCACCTCCACATCCTCCCCTCATTAATCTACTCTAATACATTCACTGTAAAGAGCTGCTTTCCCAGCGAAGAGCAAGCAGGCCTTAAATTACAATACAGAGGAGTGGAATCATTACTACCTTTAATGTTCCCAATCTAATTGAGGCATTAATTTAAGTAGAGTCCCCAGTGAGGATTATTCATAACTGCTTTTTAATTTAGAAGGGGGATCAGTGGAAATATTCCCCACATCAGACACAAAGTTCTTACCCTGGTTACCCTTTTGACTGCTCTCGGTGCTTTTTCTAAGCCCCCTGACATTCGCAGGATGAAGCAGCAGGATACACAGAGCAGAGAAGAGCCGCCTCTGTTACTTTAACAATAAAATACAAACACAGCGCAGCTCCTTTGGTGTGTTTCCCACTTACCCTCGCCTTAAGTAAGTCAGTTTGTGGTGCTTACAAGACATGGTTGCTTTTGACGTATTTTTGCTTGCATAAAAAATAGGCTTCAAATTCTTTTGCACAACACTTTATGTTAACTTTGTAGTGGTTTAAACTCTGTATTTTTGCAAATGAATATTCAAAAGCCTCTGCAATAGTTCAGGAGCAATGAAAGAAGTCATTTCAAAGAGAACTACACACCCGAATTAAAGTAAAGGAAACTGATGTAGCTATAAATATGGTTTCCAGATAAAGCTACAGTGGCGAGTACAGAAAATGCATCAACAATAAGAAGTAGCAGGCCAGGGCGGCGAAGAGAGCTGCACCTGCAGAGTGAAGTCAGCAGGACAGACTCAGCAGAGATGCAGCAAAAACCCTATTATTAAAGCATTATAAAAACAAACCAGCACAGTGTGCTAGTACAAATAAGAAATCTGTTACCAGTCAGCTGACGGGAGAACACCTGATATCATAATGAGCCCCTGATGAAAAAAAACAAGATGATTGACAGACTTGTTCTGTGTCCTGCTTTGTTTAATAATCCTGTTCCTTTTAAATTATTTGTTTTATTAATCACTGCACTTTTATTAGAAAATCTCTAAATTGTATTTGTTCCTTATGTATACACTAAAAAAAATGCTCTTTGCAAAAGCTGCATCTCAGCTTAACAGGGAGATACCATAAAAAAAATAAAAAAATAAAATAAATAAATAAAATAAGTAGTTTTGCTTTTAAACTCAGGGTATCAAGAGTATTCATGAACCAAAAAAATGTAAAAGCTGTGTCATTTTTATGTCCTCTCTTCTTCTGTCCAGGTTTTATTTACTATCCAGCATCCTATAATCTATTTAAGCTGTCCAATGCCTGGGTCAAAGCCCAACATGCGAACTGTGGAGCATGTGTAAAATGTTTTGGCAGGTTTCAGTCTGATGGGGACATAAACATGGAAGAGAAAATGGATGCCCTACACCTGCATTATCTAGATTTGATTTAGTGTGAATCCAGTTGGACTGAAGTCTTAATGTGTATTTTCAAAGTCTATTTTCAGTGGGACTAATGCAGTAAATCAATTTCTAGGATGGCATATCCATGTATTGTCATGATAATCTCAGCAGGTATATCCAACTACACCTTCTGAGCCACGCCCTCAAACTTTTTGGGGAAGTCTACCTTGGCTTTCCCACGGCAGGCACACCCTATTTAAAGAGAGGTGAGAGTGAGAAAATACTTGCATTCGTAGAGACACACACTGAAATCCACTGGATAGAAGAAGTCTGTTTAGAGCTGGATCCAAAACTTAGGTTTATGTCCCTTTAAAGCTCCAGTAAGGAACTTTTTGTTTGTGTCAATTTTGGTGCCCCCTGTGGGCATAACTATTCATCTTATCTTTCCTGACTATGTGCAAGTCATAATTTTGGTTTAGAAACTCTTAGACTACTTGCTGATAACAGTCAGATGCATTACTCAGAGTGGATGTTAGCTGTGGAAAAAGTCACAGTGTTGAATGATCTTGACTAACCTACCACTCCAAACTTAAAAGTGATGGTCTGTTTACTGTTGCAGGCATAAAGAGGTGACACCGTTATTATCAGTCAGTTTTACATTCAGCTAAAAACCCCTCACAGGAGCTTTAAGTTTTTGTTACACAGTTTAACGTGAGTGAAAACCTCCTTTTAAAAATTCTGTTCTGTGTGTGTTACCTCCAGGAGTGAAGATAAGTTTTCCGGCCCTGTTTCCCCTTTGAAATTTCATACTTAAACAGCGAGGCTCTGTGGGGAGGATTATTAGCGGTGGAGCTCCATATTGAACCACAGCAGCAGAATTTGGCCAAAGGGGAGAAATCAGCGGCTCATGAGACACAAGCATTTGAATGTTGGGACTTTTTAAAACACACAACCAAACAAGAGCACTTAAGGGACGAGAGCACGCACCCACGTACACAAACTGAAACAGGCGTGCGTGAGGCTGTACCCCGAGGGATGTGAGTCACACAGATACCGCCGCAGTCCCCCTGTGGCACTAGAAGCAGGCATGGCGTGCCATCTGGAGCTGGGAGGAGGGTTTGTTAGAGGGGTGTTGAAACCGAGTGGTACATGCTTCGACCGTGTGGCCGGCCATCTGGCTTGGCGTGCTGTGTATCAGTAACTTTGAGCAGTCCTGTATGGGAGCGGAGAAGGGGAGATGGATGGATGGAGACAGAGGGGTGGATAGCTGTAGGGTTAAAAGCAGCCAGAGCGCAGTGGCACCGATTTGATGGATGTATATTGTAAAATACACTCTCTCTCTCTCCCTCTGTTAGTCTGCATCCCTCTTTGGATTGATGTGCTGCAAAAATAAACTCTGTCCCGAATATCTACGCATTCATTATCTCACTTTTCTTTTAAGTCAGGGAGGATTTAAACGCACAAACATATGCAACATTTAACAGTTTAAACTTTTTGCAGTCACTCTCTATGTAAGGGTCCTTGTTATAAGCATTGATTAATAGAAAATAAGCTACTTATAAGACCTCTCGGACTGCAGGACGGCTGATATGGTGTCAGCATTTCTACAATTTCAGACAAGCTTTAAAAGTGATCAGTAAAATCTTAAAATCAATTCTGAAACACACAGGAAGCCAATGAAGGGAGGTGAGGACAGGAGTGATGTGATGTCGTCTGTTAAAACCAGTAAGAAGCCGAGCCGCTGCATTCGAGACAAGTTGGAGGCGACAGAGAGAATTATGAGTGATACCAGAGAGGAGGGAGTTACAGTAATCTAATCGAGAGACGATGGGTGCATGGATGACTTTTTCAAGGTTTGCTCGTGACAGAATTAAACTCTAGTATTAATAAACCCTATGACTCATATATAAACTGTTAACAGGTTTCTAATGAGAGCCTCTGGGTGTCCAAAAGTAATACTAAATGTGTTAATTTTGCTTTTATTAACACTTGTAAATGTTTATAAGCACCTTAAAAGGCCTTATTAGTGGCTTATTAACTGTCATTTCATGTGTATTACAAGGACCTTTATATAAAGTGGTTTTTTTTTGGTGTATAAATTTATCATTACAGTGACACAGATCACTGGTACACTCCACTATTTGCACATGGTGGTATCTGTTTCCTGTCATCCTGATATGTTTAATTTCAGTCTTTTTTGTCTTTTTATGGCGGTTAAGGAAAAACAAATCCAACTTTTAAAAAGTGGTAAAGGTGAGGAACTTTGGGAAGGTAAAAAAGTAACACAGCAGCAGTAACTTTTAGGTTCACGTTGAACTTTGTCAACACTAACAGCTGTTTCCCTGAGAGTCTAATATAGACAACACTTTTTACACTGCAGTTCACTGCCAAGTGGTGCGTTTCGTGCAGACGCTTTAGGGTTCTTTGTGTTCCCTACAAGAAGCTTAATGCTGCGACAAAGTGTCAGTATTTTGAGTCTTTGGGAATGGGAATCATCTGGTTTCTGAAGGCCAGAGTGAGCTGATAATCTGTTAATGTATTTACTTTAAAAATATATTCTAATGAAGTCTAAATAAATAGTCTTGACTGTTTGATAAACTTGTAACAGCTGAGATCAGTTACAGTTGACATTACTCATCTTTTGGCAAAAATAAGTGACCGACTTTCACTAGAATCGGCTTTTATTACGACATATTCTGTCCTTTGGCTTGATTTGGTTGAGGTGAGATGAATAGAAATAAAGAGAAATGAATGGAGGCTGAGCTGCAGATTAAGAGGATGAGCTGCAGAAGAACTTGACCTCCGAGATGTGAGCAGACCACCAACAGCCAGAGCTCAAAGCTCCACAGACCGAGAAAAACCCAGATAAAGAGAGAGAAAGGACAAGTGAGCAAGGGAGAGATAATAGAGGGAAAAGAAAGAAGATAAGGATTTATCTCATGACCCTACGTGCGGCCTGACTCATGTCTGCCTTAAGCCAAGTGTGAGATCCACTTCGCTTTAATATTTTATAGTTTCCTTCAAAGAGGTCCTGCTGCTCGTGCTCACTCTCTGTATGAGCTCAGTGCAAGAACTTAGACTTCCCACCTTGATCTGCACAGATCCCCTCTCTCTTTTACTCATCTTCTTCCTTACAGACTTCATTTCTCCACAACACTGACTGTCCTCTTCATAAAAAAAACACAAAATATCTGTCAATGAACAAAGACCAGGTTTTTGGCAATATGTAATGAAGACTAAAGAGGGACTTAGTCAGCAGATCCAGTCGTTCTCTGATGGTGCGAAAGAGAAACAGCCAGAGAGTAATGATTTTTTAAAAAATATGTACAGTATGTGTTTATGCTTCTGACCAATTACTGACCAGTCGAAGAGACTGAGGGTTTTTTCGTGAGCCCGATCAAATCTGGCATCACTTTAACTTCAAAGCCAGGAAGGGGTATAGAGTTCCTAAACACATCATGAATATTGCAGGATTGTAAAGTCACTCTTTCTGATCTGAAATAAAAACTTCTGAAGAGCTCCAACCGGCCTCCTCCAGCCCCCCTAAACTTACAGTAGCCAGGCGGGCGGATGGGCAGTCCATTAACTATTTAAATGCACACAGAGATGTGAGAAGCAGTGGCCAGCATTTTAATGAAAAACAGCGAGTGGATTGGCTCCTGACGGGACCGCTCTGTTTCTGATTACCATTACTACAGCTCCAGAGTTACATTCAAAGGTCTGGAAGTGATTAAAGTTACATTGATATTTTTCTTTTCCTCTTTTTTGAGGTTGTGAATGCACGCTCCAGTTTTCTGGACTTTGTGGCAGCTCCATTTTTATGTCTGCAAGTCAAGACAGTGACAAAGTGCTACTAAATTCAAAAAGGTCTGAGTCCATGCCAAAGTGTCATCTATCCTTCCTATTTCCCCTCAGGGAGTTCTCAACTAACCAGCCTTCACACTCCTATCTTGGGCACCCTGCTAATAAGGAACACCCAGCATTTAAGCCGGAAAGGCTCTGTCAGGGTTTCAGCTTCAAGGCTAAGGGTGCCCACACAGGGACACTGTGCCAGGTTTGAGATGAGGGATGAGTGTAAGAATATCTCACTCCTTCAGTCATTTACTGTTGAGGCCTAAAATTAGAGAGAGTGAGTTTAATTTAAAATCAAACACGCACAATCTCAATCCTGTCTCCTTAAAATACAAGAGACACTTTTTGATTCAGATTTTTTATACAGTGAATTAAAGGTATTACTATTTATGTTTAGGACACCACATTGAGTTTATGAATTTCACTGTGAATCTGGAGTCGTTGTGCGGTTTCTAAACTCTTAATCCAGACTGTGAAAGATTCAGAGAGCAGACAGCTGGTCCCTCGAAGCTGTTTTTGTTTCTGAAGCCGTTCATAGCAGCTGATTCTGCCTCTCGTCTTTTTTTTTTTATCTGAACTGGTCTTAACCCCCATGAACATGTAAAAAAGACCCCTGCAGATTAGAGAAAAAAACTCATGCATTGTCCACAGTTGCGATTTAAGGATACACAGATACATCTTAACCAGATCTGATGTTTCTTTGTAAAGCGTCGGCTCTTTAGTATTTTTACCCCTGAGATGTTGCAACAACAGCCACTTGAGCTCCCTCGGGCAGGGTGCTAAGTGGCTGAGAGGACTGGGAGATTCTTGTGTAGCAGACTAAAGACATGCCTCTGTAAACACACATGCATCTTTGCACCGCTCTCACTTCACACACGCTTTCGCCGGCAGAGTCAATAAACTGTTTGTTTTCAGTGTCTCTCTCACTTTCATTCGCTGTGTGTATCCCTCGCTTTGCTCTCTCTCTCTCTCCATGCCCGTGATATGAAATGCCTTTTTTTTCTCTCTCTCTCTCTCTGCTCTTCTGAAGCAGTGCTCAATCTTGCGCTGCAGCGCAACAGGAAGCCGTTTAGAGCACAGTCCCCACCATTGTTCCAGTCTGTTTCTCTCAAAAAGCTTTTATCGCTTCTACTAAGCGCTCTGCCAGGGGAGAAACAAAGATTTGTTGATAGTTTGCTGCTGCTAAAATTGCACCCTAGAGGTCTGCACGCTTAACGTGTGAATCGTGTCATAAATTAAGAAGGACGAGATGCAAACTTGGATGATGGAGGATGTTTCTGTGAGCGATGACAGCAGGGTCGTGTACTGTGGCAGGGACACTGCAGTTTCCTCTTTGTTATCTCAGGGCCTGCACTCGAGCTTTCCTGTTTCTCTCTAACTCCACTATTGTCTTTTCTTCTCTTCTTCAGAAAAACTGCGCCTTTGTTTGAGATATGTTATCACTGTGAGTGCTAATGTTCAATCTTAAGACTCCCCTGTGGAGCAAAGTGGTGTTACTGGTGAAAAATATCTGAATGGAAATACAGACAAGAAATGCTACTGTATGAACACAAGGGCAAACAGACTCAAACACAGCTTTTACCCAACAGCAATAACCATTCTCAACAAAAAAACAGGAGCTAATGTGCAATGACAACATGATTTTACGTTGATGAATGCTCTTGTAATGTCTATGTTTTGATATACGTGTGGAGGGGTGAATGTGTTTAGATGTATGTTATCTTTTTCTAGTAATCTTAGGACTTTTATTTTCATATGATGCACTGACTGGAGAGCACTTTTAATTTCATTGTACTTGGTGACAATGACAATAAAGATCTATTTTATCTATTCTATTCTATTAGGGCCTATTTGGTAAAGTTGGAAAAAATAGCGCTGGATTACGCAACTCTTGAATGAGCTTTTACAACTAGTTTTTGAATCATTTGGAATAATTTCACTATTTCACTGGATACATTTAAAAAAAGACAAAGATTAATTGTTCAAAAGTTTAAAAACAGCAGCCGTCCCTCATAGCTTAAAGTCTTCTCTGTTGTTTCAAGGGGTTGGTGGGTTGGAGAGAGTCTTTTTTAGACATCAAACCCCACTGTAAAAACCACAGTGTAATATTTACACTATGATGGTGGACAAAGCCACTGAGACCTACACCATGATGACAACCTCTGCTCTAATGTGTAAACAGACAGATGTACAGACTTCTTTCAAGTTTTTGTCTGTCTACTGAATGAACCACTGAATGGTTTTATTCATCTTGTTACGTGTCGCTTGTCCTCTCAGTTAGGTAACACAGATGTCATCACTTACACCTGCTGCTTGTCAAGAATGTTCCTGAATATTTCTCCCTGTGTTTCACGTAGCAGGGAGAAACTTATGGGAAGAGTGGAGAAGAAACTCTTAAAAATTCTAAGATGTTAGTTGTGTTGTGCATGTGTGCACAACATAGGCTGCAAAATACACTGATGTAGTCTGGGTGATTTAAGTTATCATTTTTCTGCCATAATGGAAATGAAAGGTCTTCCTATCTTTCATTGGCCTCAGAGCCAAAGAGGTGTCATTGCTGAGTGTCATCTGCACCTAACAGCTGCAGTGTACTCGCCTTTCTGTCAAGTCAGCTGTGCCTCTGATTCACTAAAGCAAAAACCTTAATTCCATTGAAAAAGATGTATAATAATTATAAAAAGAAAATAACTTCTTGTACAACGTATGTAGGAAGAAATCTGAGGTGTGAAGATCAAAACCATCTCTTGAAAGGTGGCGGCATTTTTATATTTCCTCTAAATCAGCTGTTTTGAATGAGTGTGTATGTGGTTTCAGGTGTTCTACAGCCAGCCTCAAGTGGACACTTGTGGAATTGCAGTTTTAAGCACATTTGCATCAGCTTCGTTTTTGAATATTGGAGGTAGGCACTCTGTAAATCAAGCTGAAATATGATACACTCTGTTCATTGTGTGATCTATGTAAACATGACTATTTAGAAAAGCATTATGCAGACCTCCATCATTAAGTTCATTAAGGAAGTACAATTGATGCTTTCTAATACTGTGAATTTAATTATCACGATTTTATCACATGACTTATTTTCTTTGATGATCTCACTCTCATACAAAAATTCTGACACATCGGTCGTACTCATCAGTGCGTCTTGTAATTTTCAGGGAAGTAATCTTGTACTGTGTTAAAATGAAATGAAAAAGAAAATAAGCTATCAATGGTCATGTAAAATCATTTCTGTACTCTGATTATGCAACACACTGGTGGTCAGATGGGTGTGACTGCCCTTTGACCTCTCCTCTCCTGCCCTGTTAAATGCACAGAGCCTAGGTCTCTGCCTTGACCCTTGCTGGGCTAAGCTGCTTTTGGATAATCAATGGACATAAGTTAATTGCCATGTCACAATGTCACAGACACCACACACTGGCCACAGAAGACTGTACGTGTGAGGGGGGCAGTTGTAAGAGGATTAGAGGGACCAGATGTCGGTGTGTTTAGTTGCGAGGTTTGGGTCAAACTGTACGGGTCGAGCCTCCAGAAAATAAGAGAATTCATGTTCCTGAAAAGTGTGCATCTTGTTCTATTAGGAGCCTTAGTTTTCCTGAGTTTAACAGTAATGAAAAGACTTTCAGAACAACAGCCAGAGTGTGTAGTACAGCATACGTTATCAAGGAGGGTTGGAAATATCACCCATAACTTTAAGACAGAGCTACACTAAAAGACAAGCTATTTTTTTTCTGCATAACATTACACTCTAACCTTTATGTAAATAATTTAAAGAGCTACTTGAATTATTCATCAAAAGTGGCTTTAAAGCTGGGGCAGCTCTCGATATGGCCCTTTTCCATTTTTTAATGTTCTTTACTGTAGTGACTAAATGTATTTATGGTAAAAGACGTCACTGTATTGGTTCATAGGTGCCTGCCTAAATACATAATGTGAATGTATGCAGTTTCCAGCTCGCCGTTAAGGGCTCGTTGGTGTTGCCACTGTGTCTGCATGTTGTTGCTGCACAGTGGATGGTGGAGCAAAGAGGCTCATGCTGTGGTATGATGCTGTAAGTGTGCATTTGAGTGGTGTGGGAGTAGAATAGAGGAAATAAAGTCCAACCAGATCTGAAGATTTTAAAAAGATTTTCTAAAAGAGCAACAAAACACATAATTTTGTATCCATGCTGTTATCTTGTTACAAATTAAGACTTTTATTGTGCTGGAGCTAAAAGAAAAACCGCCAAACTCAAAAAAATAAAATAAAAAATCACATCTTACATCAGTGCATTTTCAGTCAAAGCAGGACAAAGTTGAGGATGTTAATGTGCAGGAGTAAATTTCTGTTCTTCACTTAAGTCTTATGGGAAAGAGCAGCTAAGATTGATCTGTACCCGCCCCCGGAGCAGCGTGTCGGCCTGTGGCTGTCACAGAGACATTTTTAATGTACACTGTAGCAGTTGAGAGGCCACACAGGATATTACAGATGTGCTCCCTATTTAAACCCCTAAACCTCCAGCCATCATCTATTAAGCATCCATCACAGAGCCCCCGGTCCTCTCTGTGTGATGAGGGATGTAGCTGAGGAAAGACCTAGGCATGTTACCACAAAGGATTCAGGACTGGAGTTGTTCCTCTTCAGGCTCTCACCTGAGGATGGAGGCACCCAGCTGTAGCGAGCTTTTGTCACTCTGTCAGCGTCTCTTTTCTCGGTGACTTATGTCCCCTCAGGCAGCTGTGGGACTCCATTACCTCTGCGTGTATTGTGGGGATGTCAGGACCTCCCTGCGTGGAGAGCGTGTGTCTCAGATTGATGGGCAGAGGTCTAACTGTGACCCGGCTGACTTTCACTCTTAGCACATAGACAGATTTACATGGTGCAGGCATGAGGCTTTGCTGCACTATGGGAAGGGAGTGAGAGGTCCCCAGGTAGAGTTTGTAAAAAGAGGGAGGCCTTAGAGATGACTGATTTATGAGCCTGAGCTCCTAAGATTACTGGAAATTAGCTCCAAGTCTCTAAATGTACACACTGCGTCAAGAAGAAAAACTGAGTAATGTGACATTAAATGGCGAGACAAAGAAGAAGGGAGGGTAAGGTCTGGATGTCTGTTGACGTCTTCATTCATCTCAGATGGCACACTGGCAGCAATACGGAGATGGTTTTGTACGTTTAATCTCAGTTTCACTTCTGATGAGTCAAAGTGTGGTTTATTCCACCACACCCAACGGCTGTGCAATGTTACATCATTTTTGGAGTGAAGTAAAAACCTGCAGTTGAGAAGTTTGAAATGTAAAGTTTCTCTGATTTTTAAGGAATTAAGTTACAATTTTTCAAAAAACTTCATGTTTCCTTTAATGTTTTCCCAGCTAACTAATAATGAGTTCGCTTTTTGATAAAGATGTGTAAATTAAAAAAAAAAAAAAAAAAAAAAAAAAGAGAAAAAAAAGGTGGAATGATTTCATGTATAGTTGAACTTGAATGGGAAAATGAATCAGAACCCACATAACTTTTCAATGTATAATACAGTAAATTTACAGCAAGGTGGTGTATATTTGTCATATAGTTTATCCATTTCCCCACTTCCTTTAAATGACATATCAATAGATTAAAAAATCTCCTCTTTTCCTCAAAAGCCTATAATAATATCTCTGACTCCTGTATATATTACAGTTTGACTTGTGTGTTGGCTCCTTGAGTTGCTGTAGGCAAAAGAGAAGAAAAAACAGCAGCGGTTGAGTGTCACAGGAAGTGAGCTCCACTTATGCAAAGAAACAATAAACTACAACTAAAACACTCTTTTCACATTAATTAAAGAGAGCTGTACTCTAAAAAAAAATTCAAAACACTTTTTCTCTGCTTAAGATTGAAGCTTACTTTTGTTTGTTTGCAGCTTCATCCTTCCTGGGGTGTGTGTGAGTTTCGATGCACTGCCCACAGTGTCATCTACAGCTCTTTCACAGGCTACACACAGACAGAGGGGTTCGATTCATAGTTTGGCAAATAAAAATCTTTATCAAGTCCCTATAGTTTCTCATTAAGATACGCAATTTACCTATGTGTCTGTTTCAGACCAACAGAGAGCACAGGAGAGACAGCAATGTCACCACATCTCTTCTTTTTTGACATTGCTCAGTTGAAAACAGGTACAAATAAATACTCCTGTCTCTACACCTGGTCCCTTTAATCACACAGAACATTGTTTTCTTATCTCTGTGCTCATTGAATTGTGTCAAGTCACTGTTGCAAAGTATTACAATATGAATCGTACCGTGTTGTACTATAACATGTGAGAAAAGTCACATTCAAAGACCATGAGTTTGAAAAGCTTTTAGAGGATTTGACCTCAATATTTAACAGCAGGCTAATCCCAGACATAAGGCTGCTGTAGTCTTTGTATTCTATCCATGTTAACCTAACTTCCCTGTTAGATTCTCTGGTTTCCTTACTACAGCACACTCCAGTTGTCAGTTCAGTGGGTTGTGGAGGATTGTGGACTTTTCTCTTCCTCTAGAGAAGCAGCACAGCGCCCAGAGCTGAGAGCTGAGGGAGGCTCCGTAATCACTGTCCTGTCTCTGTGTTTCTCTGTCTGTGTTTTCTGTTCAGATTGGAGCTGACAGCCCGTCAGTGGAGGGAGGGCTTTGAACCTGAGGGCTCCTCTCTCTACCAAAAGGCTAATCACTACTTCAGAGCGGGGGACTGGCCCTAAACAAACATTTACTGCTGTAAAGACAGGGTCGGCCCCTAACGATGTGGGTCAGAGGTTTTTTTTTTTTTTTTTTTACAGCGTGGGTCTTTATGGAGACGGATGCCAGGGATGGACAAATAGCAGGACATTAGCTGTCAGCAGCAGCAACGGGAGCCAGATCTGGCTGCGCTTTAATAGCTGTTTGTTGTTGGAGAGGAAAAGGCTCATAAAAGTGGAGACTCTTATCTTGTGTGGACCCTGCGTGTTTGTGTCACAGCCAAGAGTGACCACAATGAGAGACAGGCAGGATAGTCCAGGCCAGGGATGGACTGCACTCAATCTGATAACTGCGGTGCATCCTCCACAGACTGAGGTATAAAACAACACGGCCACAGGCGTCTCTAAAGCGCTCATGACACCAGCAGCAGACGCGATTTGTCAACACAGTAAATACACTTTTGCGAGCGGGATGTAATGTAATGCTGTGATTTTTCTGACAGCATGATCATTTCATCCAACAAGCTTTTATTTGGTGACAGTGCTGAGGGTCTTTCTCCGCCTGAGGAGCCACGCTCTCCCGCTCCGCACACTCACACCTTTAACGACTTCTTAAATGTCACAGAATGTCAGGCGCAGGGATAAAAGCAGAGGACCTCCTCCTGCTCGCCGGTGATCCTCGGTGGGTTTTTTACTACGCTACAGTGCTGCTGGGCAGGACAGACGCGCTCAGGTGTGGCCTGGATTTCAGCACACCGGCTGGTGACATGATTTAATGCACTAGCTACTAAGGAGGCGAGTGAGGAGAGCTCGGAGTCAGTGGAGGAACATTGATTGAGCACATTGCGGCCTTACAAATGTACGCTTTGCACACACACACACTTTGAAGAAAATCGTACATCACAGGTCGTTTCCAAACACTTCAGATTATGAAGTATTCTGTGTGGCAGCGCTGTATCTTCTCTTTGTTCACAAGGATTTAAAATCAGTGTAAGTTGACTGAATATTCCCTGGGGTGCAGACTACTGCTGTGATGAAATAAGCATCAACTCTGCTCAATTTTCCATTGAGCTAACCAGGCAGCTCATCTCCATTAGCGTTAGTCTAACCAGCGCCGCTCTGGATCTCTTTAGCTGTGATCTCGCCAGAAGCCAGCTGGGTGTGTGTGTGTGTGTGTGTGTGTGTGTGTCTGCACACGCTTGTGTGATTTTGTGAGAGCTCAGTGCTCTGAGCCTTACAGCTGTGAGAGATCTGAGTGTAAGGCCATGATGGGGCTCCGTTAAGCTCAACAGCATGAGCCTGTATCAATTACGCTGCAACAGCGATACGGACACAGCGTGCAGTCTTCAAAGACAAAGACTTATGACCGCCCGGCGTCTCCCTCGGCTCCTCTGGCCACACAGTCAGCTGGATAACCTTCACACAACACACACTGACTGAGGAGAGAGGGGGAGACACAGAAACACAAATATTATTCACTCTCTGACTGCTTGATATTTACTCTCTATATGTAAAGCAGGAGACATGATAGTGGATTTCTTCTCTCAGCACGCTCTATACTGACGCTACATTTGAGGCATTCCTGTTAACATACTTTCTGTATTTTTTTCCCCTTGAATTTCAAGTCCAAGACAAAAATCAGCACCTCTTCCCTCCGAGGACAGTGTCATGCCCCGTGGCCCTCCTCACCTCTTGGTAGAAAACCTCTCTGTGGTCCAGCGCTCCTTTGAACGTCATATGGATCCAGTTGTGGGGCTGGAGACTAGCGGTATAGATGAGCTATAATCCATGTAGCTCTATATCTCCTCCCCCAACCTTCTTTCCGATACCTTTGTACGTCTGCACTCGATACAGCTCCAAAGGCGAGCTGATGCCTTTGAGGACCCTGACAAAGTTTCTGAGAGACATTCTGAAGGCAGAGCTGTCATGCTTAATATGTGTGGTATTTTCCTGCACTCCTGCTTAAAGAAATGACTGCCGTATCAGCCAGTCAGCTGTGGACTGTGGGGAGTGTGTAGATATGTGTGAAGGTGTGAATGGCGCGGTAATGAATGAAGGTAAATGGCAGGGTATGAAGTACTTCCTATCGTAATTTCACACTTGTCAGCTCTTGTGAGGAAACTTCACCTTTACACAAGGATAGCGGAGCAGACTAGGCCTTAGAAAACAAACAGTATGTGTCTGCATGTTGTGGGATGGATTCTCTGTGCGAAGAATTTCCCTTGCAAATAGATCCTACAGTCAAACCTTTGAAAAGAGGGCAACATTTACGCTCAGAAAGCTACTGCAGTTTACACAACACAGATGTTGAGTCCTGGAAGAGTGAGTTTTAAGGCAGTCAAACAATGACCTTTTTAAATTGCAATTCCTGACTGTGATCAGTCATGATTTAAATCTCACACTCGCCTTTCATTACCTTCCATTTTAAACTGTTTCTTGGTCCATTTTCCCCTCTGTAAAGCAGATCTTTTTAGCATCTCAAAATGAGAATCAAATGAATAAAATGAAAATTTACAGTATGATCATAACTTTAGGATTCATGCACTGCTACACTCACACACTGACATCCATTGATCCCCTGTTAACACTACATCATCTGCACTTTTCAGGAGCTCCGGTTCGGTTGCTCTTCTTGTTTCATACTGGCCCTGCATGCGTGAAACTACTGCTCCCTGTGATGGTAAGACATAGAGCTGAGTCACAGCATGCCAACCTGAGGACGTCCCCTAGATCCATCTCCTCCCACCATTTTTAACCACCGCTCATTCAGCAAGCGGAGTCATTGAGTTCTCTGATCTAGTTTCATCCACAAAGCTCTGACAGTTCTCACACCCCAATATTACAATTTTCCGGTTTTTGTGGTGTGGTTGTGCTGACATCGGTTTAACAAGTTGCACCTGAATGCTTAGCTCGTAGGTGGACGATCAGACTCGAGGAGCTGTGGTAAAATAGTGATTGCATGTGAAACAAAGTGGATGTTGCAAGCTGAAGTGAAATGCGTCATTTGGTGTCATTATTTCCCATCAGTAACAGGATGATGCTGCAGCAGCTGGACTACGGTGAGCCTGAGGCGACAAAATAGCTCACAGTTAACAGAAATGGTGCATCATTTTTGTCGGTATCATAGACCACAATCAACCCGTTAACACCGACAAGCCTAAAGGGAAACTGTGGTCCAGTATGATGAAGTTAATGGAAAACTATCAGTCAGAACATAAATGTGTGGAAGTCATAGGTACGTTTTAATAAGAGTACGGATACGTATTGTTTTATGTTGAGAAGTAGGGTGATGCAATCATGACAGACTGCTTCTGACATTTACCTCCTCACAGTTTTTAAATCAAAAATGAAAAACGTTAGGAATTTCATTCACTTTGATTGTGATCGTGTTCGCTTTTGTAGGACATAAAGAGGCATTACGGTTCATTTCAGTCAGTTTCATGACCGGTTAAAAACTGTAGCCCTAAACTTTTTCTAATCCCTCTGAAATGTTATGGTTCATTCAGGACATTTAGAAGTAATTAGATCTAAGTTGAAACATGGTGTTAAAAACAGCAACAGTGATCAAGATTTACCTACAGATACTAGTTTTTATTGTGAATTACATAAAAATAACACCTGTGGACTTTTGTCTGCTGTGTAAAAAGAAGAAGAATAAAGGTTTATGCTTTCTTTTATGAAATGTTGTATTTTTTTTAAATACATCCCACATTAACATTTATTCTCTGCATGAATTTGAGCTGCAGTCTGTTCAAAGCTTTACCTCGTACTCAGATTTCTTGTAAAAAATGCTTGCTCAAAGCTTTACATTGAATCAAGTGCCAAATATTTGCTTTTTTGGGGGGGGCTCAGTCAGTATATATCTGGATGTTTCTTTGAAGGTGCAGCACCATCTGTCCGGCTCCTTGTAAAATATATGTTACCTTTTATAGGAAACCGAGCTTTAGGTTTCTTTTATCATGAATATGTCTTCTTTACCAGCTATCGGTTAAAAACCTTGACACAAGATAAAAAGCATCCAGAGAAAATGAAGATAATGTATGCTGGAATCTAAAAAAATAATCAGTTAAGTTATCAAGCCTGATCTCTGCAGTGAGAGTGAAAGTGGCTCTGGGATTTTGTTTGTGTGTTTGTGTGAAGAGATAGAGAGTAGGGGAAAAGAAAGGGTGAGCAGAGGGAGGATATGAGAGCCTTCTCAGGGGACCTTAAACAAACTGACTAAAGTGGTCCTGTTTTCTGACCAGGCACAGAGAGGAGGAACACTTAGCACTGCTGGAGACTCTCTAAACAGCCACTGAGGAATTAGCCTGTTACTGGGAAACTTCACGGCTCTTGCACTGGGCCGCGTCCTCGACTAAGTAAATCAGAAAATAGAACGGGCAATAAACTGCGATGAGCAGATGCGAGCGTGCACACACACACAAACATATGTATCCTCTATCTGTACACACAGGTACAAAAGCTCAGGCTGCATGTATGACAACGAGAGCACAGCTGATGATGGGTGTCTCAAACCAGCACAGATAAACACAAAAACACAGGACGCCATATGTGCGAAGCTCTCTCTCTCTCGGTGGAGAAGTCGTAGATAATGAATGGGCCCCTCACACACTCCAGAAAAGTGTCGCCAGTGACTCCAGACAAGGAAAAATATGTTTTCTCACCGAGGAAAAGCGATGACCTTATTCCTTCTCTCTCTGCACTAGTATACAGTGTTCTTTTGCCTGCGTCGCCAGGTTCGGCCAAACAAAGATGAGCTTAAATTTAGGCCCCATGATGTCAACACAAACACAGGATAGAAAGTTCATCTTTAATTAGGTGTCCCCCCTTCTCTAAAGTTCATTTCAATTAGTCCCACCTCGGCCCCACTTCCAGGTCTTAGTGATTTGTCAATGCCTCAACTTCTATGTAGCGCACTGTGGTCACGATGCAGCGTGGAAATGTAACTCTGCGTGTGTGTGTGTGTGTGTGTTTTGCATGCGAGTTGCTGTTTGTGTTCTGTGTGTGACCCCGACAGAAAAAGGGACTCCTGTGTGTGCCCTTGACATTTCCTTCTGGTTCTGGTGATGAATTGCGGGGGTTGTTTACCAGTTCGGAGGAGGCGGTCGTGGATCTCTTCTTTTGTTCACAAACACACGCAGGAATGTAGAAAGACATCCATAAAAATATCAGAGGGAAACTTTTACTGTCATACTTATATAAGAGTGTATGTTTGTGTGTTATTTTCAATTCACTTCAATTCAAATGAGCTTAATTGGCAAAAAAAGGCTAAAAATATTGCCAAACCATGTGTTACTTTTTTCTTTTACATTAGAGCTAGAAAAGAAAAGAAAAGAAAAAAAAATCAAATTATTAATCTTGTGAAATAAAACAGTGTGCTTCATACTTAACAAAAAGGTTAAGTACCCAATAAATATTCACTTTTTAAGATTTGACACTTAACAGACATTCATATCAGAAATATGCAGTTTATTAATTGGTAATTAAAGGTTTTAAATCAGAGCAAATGAGAATTTTCTTTACTTTGTGTTGATCATCTTTAGCAGGATTTCTGAACTCCGAAAGAGCTGGCTGATGTGGTCTTGTAATGTCTTTCTCAATCACTTAAAATCACTACATCTGTGGAAAAATGGTCCAGTATTTTTCATGCAGTAGTGATAATGACAAACTAGAATTTTTTGATAAATTTCTGACTGTAAAATGTAAATTCTCTCCATCAATCCATGGTACCCTGAGGTATACCTTACATCTCTGGCTTCCTGTGTACAGTCACCATGGTTGGACAGTCTTTACGTCCCATGTAGGATCCTGAAGGTGTTCTATGTCTCCCCTGTCCATTTTGTGACACCCTCACATAAAGCCGATCAATCAGCTGTAATGAAACCCATCAGGTCACCTTTGAAATTTATCATTTTTTTTGTGTGCGTAAAATGAAACGCCCCATGATGGTATGGAAGCTAAATTTAGATTACCTATATGCTAACATATATCCCCCCTCCACCTCCCCTCAGGAGAAAAAAAAAAAAAGCTCTATGAATTATGCTGAGATGCAGCACTCATATTGTATGTTTGTGTGTTTGTGGCGGGTATCATCATAAAACTTGGTTTGACTTTGCTTGTTCTTGGACTGATTTTTTTCCTAAAGATGAAGAGAATCAGAAAGTTTTAAACATAATCTACGCTTTGTTGCTGATCAGCAAAATGAAGAAAAAAGAGAAATTGAGCAATCACCTGACAGCGTGACTTATCTCATTCACCCCGTGTGTGTGTGCGTGTGTGTGTGTGTCTTTGTGTGTGTGTTTCTGTCGCTCCCAGAGGTTTGAGGTGCTTAGCATCTCTTGTTTGCACACAATCCGTCTGTGATTATTGCCCGCTTCAGGCTTCACGCACTGTGATGCGTCTTTTCACAAAGCAGCTTCATTTGCATAGATTTTGCCAAGAAGCTCTCAAATGTTGAGGAGTGTGCTTAAAGAGGAGTTAAAGACGAGCAATCATGACGACACATCGTCTTGTTTGTGTTAACAGCAGGACGGATCAGGAGAGTTGCACGCTGTAAATTGGCTCTTCCACTTAAAGGTAACTTTTATGATTTGTTTTGATCTGGTTGGGAGGATTTCTTGCACTTAAGTGTTTTTTTTTAACAACACTTAAAGCTTTTTTTTGTGAATAGTCAGGCCAAACTGCAATCAAGGTCCGCCTGCACGGTTCATTTTCTGCAGATGGCACACAAAAAGTCCTTATTCCAGCATTTGCAAAGGAATACGCTTTTCTTATGCGTTTCCTGATTTGTTTATTTATTTCTTTATTTTGTTGTTGTCATTTTTTTTCTGCTGAACACAGCTGCTCAGGCCCCTCCATGCAGAAAGGCCCAATATGGCTCTGTCTGTAAATCGGAGTCCGGGGGCCACAAGACAGAAAACAGAGGAGAACCACCCGGCGAAATTTAGCGCACGATGGCTCCCAGCGGGCATCATTTGGGGACCGGAGAGATTTTTTTTTTCCTCCTCCTCGCTTTCCTTTTTCCTGCATGGTGAGCAGGTTGGAAGGCTCAACCCTTACATTGCTGCTGACACAACCACTCAGGGATGGCTGTAACAGCTCTCTTAGCATGGCACCTGTTATTGAGCCGTCAGTGAGAGAGAGAGAGAGAGAGAGAGAGAAAGAGAGAGAGAGAGAGAGAGGGAGGAAGGGAGGGGAAAGGAGGGGAAACAAGGAAGGGAGAAGGAAGAAAGTGTGAAAGTGCAGAAAGAGTGAAACTCAATTGTAATTTCAAGGCTGTCACAGTTCTGAGAGCCGGTAATTCTGCAGCCGTATCCGTGAGCGGATGTACTTGAACGCCTCTCTGTGCACAGACTGATCCCTTTCCTTTTTGTCTAGACTGCCTACATTTATACATTCATCACAAGTCTCCACAAATAAACTGATGAGAATTAGATCCACGTCAGGCTGCTCTGCAAACAGAGCGGTGCCTTTATGGTGGCCACACTTCCTCTAATTCTCTCATTACTTTTTGTTTGTTGTCTGGTTTAACACACTTTCTTTCCACTCTCTCTTTCTCTGACGACACAACTTGCCCTTTATGGTGCTTTTTTTCGACTGCATCAGTTGGTTTTGGCTTTTTCTTAAATGATACATAATGCTCTCAGCGATTAATGATTATAAATACTCCTTATGTCTGAGGTTTTACCAAGATAAACAGCCTACAGTACAGTCAGAGTACAAGCAGTGTCCTCTTTTTTCCAACACGAGGGCGACGCTCAAAACCTTCTAACATGGCTGCTGTCTGTTTTTTTGCACTCAGAAAAAAAACTACTTATAAGTTTATAAGAACAACAGAAAGAAATAGAGAAAGAAAGAGAAAGCTCTGGATTATTTTCTCTGTAAGGCAATCATCAGAGGTGCACGGCGTGTAGCTGTCCGTTCATGCAAAGCAGCGCCATTCCTCTGCAGAGCAATCAAAATGGATTAAAGCGAGCACGCTCCAGCTGCCTCCACGCAAATCAGATATGCCTGTGATGATGATAATCAATCCATAATAAAATAACACAACATAAATCTGATAGTGTTGTTCCAACACTTTTAATAACATAGATTTAAATATTGCCATGTGCACTGGAGTGATTTATTGACCAAAAAGTGCTATCAAGCTTATATACACCCCCTGTTTCTGGTGGCTCGCCAATAATACCATTAACTGCATTGTTCAAACTCATTATGTGATGAGAAACACAATAATAATCGCAGGACTACAAACGCACAATTTCTCCCATTGAGCTAATCACTTTTCCTACATTATTAGTCTCTCTTCCTCTCTCTCTCTCTCCCCCCTCTGCTCTCTCGCTCGCTCCGTCATAAATCCTGGGAGAGGCGGCTGTATAAATCCCTAGTCCTGAATTAGTATTGTAATTTCTGGTAGCCATTCATGCTTTGCCAGAGCAGACCTTGGAGTTATTAATCTGGGCGAACAGGTGCCACAGAAACAATATGCTGAGCGGTCTGCCTGTATACGCGGGGCTGACCCCACCCCCCGCCAAAGCGCTCAGTGCCTCCACGAAGAATTACAAGGTGTGGACTGGAGCCAAAGTTTAGTGATCGTAAAACATCTCAAAACCGGATTCAAGGTTTATCATTTTCATCTTATGTTCCTCAGTAAAAAAAAGTTTAAAGGTTTAAATTAGCATATTATGTTTGGCGGTTAGATGATAGTCAAGGGTCAGCGGTGTCCCTGCAGGATCTGTCCTAGGACCACTAGACCAGATTATCGTTTAGGTTGTAAAAATGAGCTTTTTGTTAAATACAAAAACATGACAGATCAGTTATTATTGGTGTGAAGAGTCAATCAGAAATGAGGAGTTAGAGTCTCTGAGATGAGATGAGTCGTTTTCAGGGTCCCATACCGTGTGATATCATGTGGTTTAGCACCTCTCTGATATCGACGCTGTTATGCCGCACATATGGCTCCCTGACAAACATGACAGATGAAACACTTTGTTTGCTTTTGTTTAAGTACCGGCTCCTCTCCTAATACCAGCCTTTTAAGTGATCAAAAAGGCCCGGCCATATTTGATGTTGTCTGCAGAGAGACGGGGAGGGGGGAGAGAAGGCAAAGGAAGTGTCATCCAGTGATATACAGCTCCAGTCCTCTGTCACACAGCGCAGTGTCTGCTGGGAAATAATCTGACATCTTGTGCTCGACACATCCAGGCGATGAGTAGAGAAGGAGGAAAGAGAGGAGGCGGGGGGAAGAGGAGATAGAAGTCAGAGAGTGACGGGACAAAGGGAGAAGAGAGGGGCCAGGGGAAGTGGGAGTGGGGGGGGGGTGAAAGGAGAGAGAGGACGCGATCAATTCAGCAGCCCCGTCTCCATCATGTCATCGCCTGTCAGCATAGATTTAAGAATAAAGCTTTTGAGAGACCTTCCAGAGCTACAGGCTGATCGATGCCTCGATGCTGTTGGCCCAGATGTCACTGACACGCACCGCACGGCTGCTCAAAACATAACAGACCCCTTTGTGACCCTGAGTTTGTTGTTGCACACTTTTAAAAAGGCCACCGCTTCATCTTCTATGTCCCAATCTACATGCAGGCTCCTCCGCACTCTGCTGAAAGTAGGTAAGTAGTTAGCCATGAAGCCATAACTTAAATATTCCACTGAGAACTGGGAGTGCATATGGGCAGGACCATTAGAGAAAACAGAGAGGCAGAGATGAAGATATAGTGACGGGGTGAATAAATCGAGTCATTAAGCATGTGTTTGTGGGAGCCGGGCTCCCATATGACAGCGCGGGGCGGCAGGATGCCTCTGCTGCCGGTCCCTGTAAACAGACAAACAGATTGGCTCGTTTGCCTCTCTCCTCTGGGCAGCTTCTGCCTCCTGCTTTCTGGGGAGCACTTAGGACTTTCCTCCCCTGGGTCTGCACAGAGACGGCTGCTGGTGCTCCATTTCAATTTATAGCAGGGCTTCTTTTAATTAATCTGCACCACTGTCAAGTGTCAGACTAATGTTGAAAGCATGATGCCAAGTCAAGAGCCAGTCTGTAAGAAGCCGCAATTGGGAATTAAATCTGTTTGAGTATTTTTTTTTTCTTTTTAAAGATAAAGAAAAGTGCAAGTTTATGTCTTAACCTCCCTTTTAACTCACTTCGTTGCTTAGCAGCATTATTTTTCAGACTAAGAGAAGGATAAGAAACCTTAAAAATTAAAAAAAAGATTTGTTTTTTCTTTATCATCAAAGGTTTTTCACTTTCAAAATGACTTTTTTTCTGTTTTGCACTGCGAGCCTAATTGGCCTATTTGGAAACATAAAAAAGTGCTCATGGAACATAAACTTTGTTTTGATCCTTTCAATGATTTATTTTTCCCTAAAACCATCAGGTCAGTTATATCCTCTCAGCGGCTGACATTTAAGTCAAACTCCAGAGTCAAATGTGCATACTTGCGGCTTTTGGACTGACCCAGCCGTCTAGGGCATCAGGACCGTCAGGAACTTTTTCCTTTGTGTTTCCCATCATTGCTGTCAGCCCAGACAGGAACTTTGTTCACTGTGTGTTTCCCATCACTGCTGTCAGCGAATAGTATGGAAAAAAAAAAAAAAAAAGTCATTAAAATAATGTTTAATGTTTATACGGAAAAGACGTGATTTTTGAGCCACGTTCAAAGTTTAAATGGCGAAGGCTTTAAGTTGAACCTGCTGTCGAGACTCTGTTTACATTTGCTTTTGTTTGTTCAGATACTTTAATAATAATAAAAACATGAAGCACAAAAGTAGTTTGTCTTTTTACATTATCATATAAAAGCATTAAAAGAGTATGTGAAATAAAAATAGCCCAGGAGTTAAAGTGTGAGCTAAATCTGCCAGCTGAGTGGAACAAGTTCATCTCTGGCCAGTGGAAAGAGAAAACCACAGCGGTTCCATTTCTGCAGCACAGAGAGGAAGATCTACCTCTGAGTTCAAAACTTTAGAAAAATCTAAAAAAAAAATAGACTTTCACAGATGAAACTCAGATAAAAGGCTCTTTTTTCCCTCTCTCTCTGCATGTATCTGTAACACATTTCCTCCTGTTCTTTGGACCCTCTCGCTCTCTCATTCATCTTTCGATTTCACTGCAAGGAGGGGGGCGATTTCATGAGTGATGGTACCCATCAGTGTAGTGCATGTGTTGTAAAACTGTCAGCCCCTGACAGATTGACTGACATGGTCAACCCTTCGATCACCTCCACAGAGAGGCCAGAGTGAGAGGGAGGAGGACGCAGTGTGAAGCACATGGACGGAGGGAGGAAGAGGAGGAGGAGGAGGAGTAAGGAGGAGGAGGAGGGGAAACAGGTGCATTAAGACAGAGCTGCTTTATCTTCTTTAGCTGTGTGAGCGCTGATCAAATCAGACACTAAACTCGAACCATAAAACAAACATGCTTGGTTTTAAAAAAGGGAAGAAAAGAAAAGTCTGATATATAGAGAGGGAGTGTTGCCGCGTAATTCTCGACAGCTGTTGATTCAAAGGGAAAAACTTTATTCGGTCCAGATGGTCTCAGTCAGTGGCAGAATGAGAGAGCTGACTTCATTGGCTCCAGCCATGTGTTTTTCCTCCTGACAGAAATTAAAACGGTCGTTCGTTTGTCACCGCTCACTACACAGCTTAAAATGTAGCAATGAAACGTTCCTTGGCGATAATGCACCATAATTACTCAAACGCCTGTTCTTTATCTGCAGCAGAGGGACGACAGAAGGAACATTTTCCTCAGAAGAGATTTGAAAAAAAAAAAAAAAAAACTCAGAGAGCTTGCAAAAGACAAAGCGCAGAGTGAAAAGTATCGAGTCGTTTTGAGCGGGAGTCCTTTTCTTACTTAATACATGTGCAATGTGACCTTTTTTACACCAAACAGAGGAGGAGAGTTTCCTGGTAGCACGGGTATCTCTGCCGGGGATCACACGCTGTAGTCAAGTGTTGTAGTCAGTATCAGGGTGTGACAAATGTATTATTTTAGCTGTTTGATGTGTATTGATCTCCTCTACAGGCTAACATTAAGGGACCTGGGGAGGGAAGAGAAGAGAGTGGGCGGCTCCGTACCGTCACACACACACACACACACATCTCACACCTCTCAAATGAGGTGAAAAACACACCGCTGTGGAGGCGTAGAAAGGTTAACGGTGGCCTCTGACTGCCAGTTAAACATAAAATCACTCATTTATCGGAAATAAAAGTAACAGTATCTCAGCAGAGATGAAAAGCCGAAACATGACAGAAGTTGAGTCACGGAGGAATGAAACTGACACAGAGCAGAAAATATGTCCTCACGCTGGTTTTTCAGGTAGCGCTGCACGAGCACAGAGTGGGTCAGGAAGGTAGAGAAAATAAAGCGAGGACGTGACCTGTGGTTATTTGATTCTACATCAACTCTAAACCCTCTTCCCCCAAACTGAACATGATTCACTGCGAGCTAACCGAGCTGCTCGATGAATCACATTAAAAGGGTATAGTCCACATTTTTGATTCTGAGTGGTCTACGCTCACCCACAGTCTGGGGCCACTCATGATAAGTGTGAGAGATTTCTCTGATAGATGTCTTTAAGCTCAGTTTCACTTCTGTCTTCCCCCCTTTGATCAACCTCTCTCAATCTTTCTCACACATGAATTATTCACCTTTTCTTTAATGCCTCTGATCTCTCTGGACACTTTCAGTTGTCTTTTCCTTATAAAACAGCACATGTATTTTATTCATTTAAGTTTGAAGAAAGGAAAAACAACCGCTTTTTAAATCTATATATCATTAAAATTGTTGCAACAAAAATACATGTGCTAATTATTATAAACCGAACAGTTATAATGTCAGTCTATACGGAGCTGGAACTCAAAGACAATGAAATAACTCCTCATATTCTGGCTGTCTTAAAAATGATGTCCAATGAGTGGATTTTTGAAGGATTTAATTTATGTCTCTAAAGAAGCACATTCCTCTTCACAACAAATAAAAACAAAAGAAAGTGTAATGAAAACCTTTTTTGTCACATAGTTTCTGTCAGCATAAGTTTCTCTGAAGAGGGTGTTTTTGTCAAATTTAATTCAATACGCCTTTTTATGGCACTATAACAAAAAAAAAAAAAAAACCTCTCGGAGTGATGAAATGGCATTTCAGTTTGCAATGCCATAAAACAATCAAAAACATTTGTCTGGTTGTTTCCAGCTCTACAGCACTTGCACAAAGCCGTTGACTTCACAGTGTGTGGGTCTGCGTGTGCAGAGACGGCTGTGCCACCACAGATTGTGAAATAGTGAGCAGTGCCGCTCTCATTGTGGCTTGGTCTATAAACACAGGATCTGATTGGGTAATCTTCATCTTCACTATGGTCTCTTTAACACTTAATTTACCTCAGTGAGGTGGAGAGAGCTCTCCAGAGTGACTCTCAAAATATACACAGAGATAAGAGCTGAGCACTTTCAATATGAGCAGGGGCGTATACATATAGACCCCTAAAATCAGTCAAGAAGAATAGACACTATCTGGGCTGAAGTACAAGAAGAGTACATGTGTGTTATATTTCACATTCTTCACTTTTACATGAAAAAAGTGACTCTAACTTGAATGAACGGTGACGACCACAGTCATTGCACAGCTCACAATGACACATGACCTCAAAAATGTGCCTCTTGTGTCTAAATACAGCCCACCCTGCCTCTCGCTGAATAAGTAAATTAAAAGCTGAACATATTATACATTTTAATTATGTCAACATGCCGTATATCTGAGTGTATTCTGGACTAGAGTGATAAGAGAGAGAAAAAAATCTGTGTCAAACAAAGGCAGCCTAAAATGAAAAGTGAAAAAACACACCCCCATGTACACTTGTTAATGATTCATCCGGTTGACATTACACGTAGGCCTTCAGAAACACAGTAACAGGTTTTTATTCAGAGAAAGGATCAATGAAAGGTTGTTTAGTTTCTGTGTACATCCAATCATCTGCTCAGCCAACCTTGTATGAAACAAGCGGTGTATTCACACGGCAGAACAATGAAAGGAAAGCACATACTCCACTTTTATTTTGATATTTTCTCTTTTTCTTCTCCTCTACAGTCTTTTAAAAGCAAAAAAAGGGGAAAGTATTCAACTTTCGACACTCGTTTTAATTTTGCACCGATTCTGTTGTGCAACTACCTGTTTCTGTGTGTTCATGTCTTTCTTTCTATATGCGCAATAAGAGAAACAAATAGTATAGAGAAACACTATTTTGAGAAAAACCGCGAGTATTTGCATCTCAGGATGTGTGTCACATGTGCGGGGCAGTCCCCAGACAGAGACCTTTTTATCTTAAACTTTCCTTTTTATGTAAACACAGTATTATGTTGATTTATTGTTAAGAAATGTTAAGAGTAACAAATCTACGACTCTGCTTAAACAAGAAGCAGAATTAAAGACCTCTCCCTTCTGTCTTTTTTCCATTTTAACTCGACGTAGTGTTATCTGCTTTCCTCTTCTGGTAATATTGCATTAGCTTTCCAATACTCGTGGTGTGTTTTTCCATCTTTCACAGATCAAGACTTTGTGGGCTTTTTAGATGAAAAATTATCAATACAAGATGAAGCATCAGCAGAAAAGCTGTGACACATTGCCAACATTCCTCTTGTTCCCGGTGCCAGCATCAATAATTCAGCCACCAGCTCATAACTTTATTTTCAATGCATAATTGAGGCCAAGCAGTGTTTTCTTTGGCCATTTATATGTTGAGCAATTTTTAAACAATAAGAGGAGCGGTCCATTAAGCTTTTAACATCTCCTCTTTGTCAGACTTCTCTAGATGTGGAAAGTATGGATGGTGAGGCCTCTTTGATGATGTCAAAAGTGTGCGTACGAGTGTGTGTGGTTGGGGAGGGGGAGTCTTTGAATAACTGAGTGAACACTGTGGTGAGTGAATGACAAAGTGCAGACTCCACATTATAACAATGTGGTTTGGAAAGGAAGGGGGTCTCGGGGTCGAGAGGTGAGGTTTCTCTACCTGCCTGGGTAAATGCTGTCACTTTTATTGCAGTCATTTTTGAGATACCTACACTACTTTTAATTATAAACCACTCTATGTGACTTTAAAGGGCCCTTCTCTATCCAGTGACTCATTATATGACCTGATTATGTTTCTCATTTGTGGTGTATTACTGCTTAATAAATATTGATTTACCATTTTAATTACATGTTAATCTCAAAACACATAGGTGGACAGGGTTATGGCCCTCTTAAGTCAAGCTGCAAATTTCCTGTTTGCAAATATTTATTGAGGATGGCATCCTGAGAGGGCCGTAAAAGTGAAAGGCAATCATTAAACAGAGAGTATCTGTCTACAATATCTGCACAAGTGTCAATATGAGCAACGCAGCTTGACCCAGCTGTTAATCAATTACTTCTACTACTTTACAGCTGGATTTATCAGAGCAAACCCACAGAAAGAGCAGTATTTATGTTCAGGATTTATCAATATTTCATTTTTATCTTAAGAAAGGTTTTCTGGAATCTGTACTACAATCTTTATGTCTATTTCACACTTAAGATCTATTTTTACAAGCTCTTTACCATCAGGATGGACTGATTTATTTGAACCCAGTGAGACAGTAAGAAACATAATTAGAAAATAAAACTGGATATATATGAAGTGTTTAGAAAAAAAAGCTTTAACACAGCCATGTTTAATGCAGTCCAAAATCAGCCAATAATCATAAGACTATCGCATAAAAACTCTGAATTGAAGTCTGACAGAAGATCATTTTTAGTAGACTGTATAAAAAGGTTTAAGATCCTTTGTGAGTCATATTGGTTAAAGTGGAAACTGTGCCACATTTTCTTTTTCGGTGTTCACACTGTGACGACCCTGAGACAGTTACCGCTTCATCAAGTCTCTCATCTAAACCTTGAATTATTGTGGCCAAATGAGCAAAAAGTGAAGTCGATGTATAATAGTTGAGTCTATTTAAGCTTGTTGATTAGGTCTCAAAAGTCTGGGAAAGGAGACTTTTGCTTTATACGCCCTGATCCTGGACTGTATGGAAATATGGTGTCAATTACGCCAATGCAGAGTGGACACGTAAATGTTTGTATAAAGTTTATTCATTACTGATAGAATTAAAACTGAAAACTCTAACTTTTTTTATGAAATCTATCTAAATGTTCACATAATTTACAGTAGACCCATTAGCTCTGGTGAAAAGGGTCTGTATAAACCTTAATTTTAAACTGCGGGTCATTTACTGTATTTCTTCCTTTTTGTTTTGCTAAATGATACGCTTTTTTTGTTTGTTTTTTGTTTTTTCTTTCTGCACAATAATGACTAAATGAGGAAAAGCAGCAGTTTAAAAATGGTGCAACCACCCCCTGCTAAACATTGTCATTATACTCTTTGTATCCACTCTTTGAAAATGGTAAAATACTTTGTACACTCAGCACACATTTTAGTGTTGTGCTGCTTTCAAGATTGGATTGAAAGCTTGGAATCTATCAAATGAGACCAAACAGATAAAAAGCCAACATTTTAGAGCTAGAGGCAGCCATAGTATCCACGTATAGCAGTCAAGAAATAATTACACATTCACATCACTTCCTGTAGTTACAAACTCCTCAAATTTCTTGGTATAGTCAGTAAAAGCACAGTACACAATATAATACAATAAACTAATTTATTCAAGTGTGTTATTTTTGTTGGGATGACTATCTACAGATTTACAGCAGTCAGTAGTCAGCCGTAAGGTTATACTACAGCAGTGAACCTCAGGAGTTTAGTATGCATCACTCCCCCTCCTCTCTTTCAGTCTCCCTCCCTCTCTTCCTCCCTCCCTTTCTGCTGCTCTTTTTCACTCCGGTTCTAAATGCCTCCATCACAAAGATATATTGAAAGTGAGAATGCATTAGGATGATTGGAAGCTGAAAGAGTAAAGCCTCTTTTTGCAGGGAAAAGCTGTAAATGAGGAAAAGTAAACAATATAATTTTAATCTCATCCGGCCTAAACAAAATAAACAGTGTGTAAAACATCAGCTTTAGATAGGAGTGTGGAGGGTGTGTGTGTGTGTGTGTGTGTGTATGTGTGTGGGTGGGTGTCTGAGAATAATCTGTGCAGTGTGGAGGTTTGCATGGCTTGTTCCTAACATCAAGGTTGCTAGTTTAATTGAGCCTGCACTGGACCCAGGGCTGAGAGAGCAGGCAGAGGAGCATCGATAAACTATGAAATGGTTCCAATATGGTGGATCGATGGGGCTTTGTGAGCAGCTCCCCGGGGGCTTTGATTTCCCTCTCAAACAACAATCCAGGATCTCTGCTCTTCAAAGGCTAACTCCATCTCTGCTGTTATTGTTGTTGTTGCTTCCCCCTCTTCCATGTTTGAGTGATGTCACTGGGGTCGATTTTATCCATGTCCATAAAGGCTCTCCCACACTTGAATCACCCGGGAGACGGCTTCTGTTGGTCTGTGCAATGGTAACAACGACCAATAAAGGTCAATCTCCCATGGTAATGGCCAATTGGGTTAGTTCCCATTATTGGCCCTCTGAGTAGTGGTCAACAGATGGAGAGCTGGCATCACTGACACAAGTTACACTCCAACCTTAAGGAGGCTCAGTTCTGTCTCCCAGCACTAACTCCCCCGTTAGCTTGTGTTGGCCCATACATCACTCCGTCATGTGCGGCTCCTGTATAAGCAGAGCCGTCGCTCGGCGTAGCGTCACAGGAGCGCTGCCAGGGAGGGCTAACCGTCTAACCATTTCAGCTAATTGCCTCATTAATGATTCACCGGTGTTAGGCTGCTCCAGCACTTCGCTGTGGGGAGCAAATTGTTCTGATTGGTTTGCCTCTGTCAATTATTGATGAGGCAGTGAGCTGAAGTGCTAACACCTGGCTTTGGAGGTCCAAATGGCCCTGCATTCCCATCACACACTCGGTTATCACACACCCTGGGACCACAGTCAGTCTTGAGGAGCAGGAGTCTTGACTGTTGCTGTTCTCAGAGTGGATGTAGCAGACCCCGGGGCGATGGCTGTAATCTCAGCTGTGAGGATATTAGCTCATAGAGCACGGCTCACTGCTGTGTAAAAGGTGGACATAACTGAGACCATGCAGCTCGCAGTGATTTACGCTCAGAGTGATAGAAAAACTGAGGAAATGAAAAAAAAAGCTACCACGAATAACATTGTGCTTGATGAAGAGTAAGCATCTCAACCAAAATACAACTTTTTAAGACTTGAAACTTGTGATTTAGCCTCTCAGCTAGGGATATATGCATAAGGATAATATAATATTTAACATTTTTCATTCTTGCTTTACAAGTACAGAATTTTAAATGATCTTCTGACTTTAAAAATATTACTAACAATGCCAAAATTTAACAGCCACCCACCTCTACTTGGGCTGTATGTGCAGTTAATGTCTGTAGCCCTAATAACTCTCTACATCAGGATGTTAACAGGCACAGATGACCTCAACTCAACTCAACTTTATTTGTTAAGCACTTTAAAACAACCACAGCTGTACAAAGTGCTGTACATAACTAGACAAAACAACAAGATAAAAACCAATCAAAAAACAATTAAAACAATGGATAAAATAAAAGCAGAATTAAATGTATTGTTTCAATGCTTTTAAAAACTAATTTATAAACATAGAAACAAATAACTAAAAACAAACCATAAAACACTAAAACAGGAGCCGAGTCTCATGGAGTGTTAAAAGCCAATGAATAAAAATGGGTTTTAAGACGACTTTTAAAAATGGACAGTGTGGGGGCTTCTCTAATTTGGAGGGGTAGCTCGTTCCATAAAATTGGGGCTGCAACAGAAAAAGATCTATCCCCTCTGAGCTTCCGTTTGGACCTCGGTACCTGCAGGAGCAGCAGATCAGCTGACCTGAGGCACCGAGCAGGGGTGTAGGGGTGGAGAAGCTCAGAGAGGTAAGATGGAGCCAGACCATTTAAAGATTTAAAAACAAATAAAAGAATCTTAAAATGAACTCTAAAATGCACGGGTAACCAGTGGAGGGAGGCCAGGATGGGAGTAATGTGCTCCCTCTTACGTACTCCAGTTAAGAGCCGGGCAGCTGCGTTTTGAACTAACTGGAGACGTGAGAGGGAGGACTGGCTGACTCCAAAATAAAGTGCGTTACAGTAATCCAGCCGAGATGTAACAAAGGCATGGATTACTGTTTCAAAGTGCTTACGTGAAAGAAAAGGCTTTGCCTTCGCCAGCTGCCTAATATGATAAAAACTGGATTTCACCACGGAGCTAATTTGCCTATCAAATTTAAAATCACTGTCCATCTTAAAACCCAAATTTGAGACGGTTGGCTTTAAATAATCTGCTAAAATACCCAAGTCTACAGGAGGGGTTTCACAAGGGCCACTGGGACCAAAGACCATCACTTCTGTTTTTTTTTCATTGAAATTTAAGAAATTCAAAGCCATCCAGGCTTTGATGTCTTCAAGACACGCCAGAAGTGGAGTGAGGGAGAAAGCATTTCTCTTGTTAAGTGGCACATATATCTGACTGTCATCAGCGTAACAATGAAATGAAATGCCATGCTTTCTCAAGATGGATCCCAGGGGCAGCAAATATAAAGAAAAGAGCAGGGGCCCTAAAATCGACCCTTGTGGAACCCCATACGGCAGTGGAGCAGAGCTGGACTTTGTATCTCCAAGACTCACACTCATTGTTCTGTCTGTTAAATATGACTTGAACCACTCTAGTGCAGTACCACGGACACCTATAAGGTAGCTTAGCCGAGCCACCAGAGTGTTGTGGTCCACTGTGTCGAAGGCTGCTGTTAGGTCTAACAGAACAAGAACAACATAATCACCAGAGTCATTTGCCTGGAGGATGTCATTAAAAACTCTTATTAAAGCAGACTCCGTGCTGTGGCGAGTTTTAAAACCAGACTGGAAGACCTCCAAGACACCATGCTCATCCAGAAAGGACTTTAGCTGGACATGAACAACTTTCTCTAAAATCTTTGAAATAAAAGGAAGTTTGGAGATGGGCCTAAAATTGGCCAGCACACTGCAATCAAGGCCTGGTTTTTTGAGTAGAGGCTGCACCACTGCATGTTTAAAACCTGGCGGAACAACACCAGAGGACAGACTGCTGTTTATGATAGCCAGAACAGACTGACCTATGCAGGGGAAAACCTCTTTAAACAGCCTGGGAGGGACAACATCACAGGGAGAACCAGCAGAACCTCTTAATATGCAGCTGTTTGTTTGTTTGTTTGTTTGTTTGTTGCCAGTATTTTGATCTTGAAAATGGATGTTAGTTGGCTGTGTCTGATTTGACTGGCCAACGACCACTAAACTGAGGCTATAAGCAGCACAAGCATGTAGACTTAAACTTGGATGGAGGACTGAAGCCAGGTGGTGCTAGCTTAACCAATTTTAGACACGATAGCCATTATATACGTAGACGCCTCCTAACATGCAGGAGTGTAATCCAGCGTTGCCACTGTATAGGATGGGTCTCCTCACTCCAGGCTCACATAAGAGCCAAATGGAGTCAATGGAGACTGAGCAACTATGCCCATATTTGTGCACTCTATGGTTGAAAAAAAAAACGAAGCTGTATTGAAACCAGATCATGTAGAAATACATTTCACAAGTAAGACTGAAAAATAGTTTTGGTTGTTTTTACCGTGTGACAGGGTCCGGTATCATAGCTACATCTCTGTCGTTTGTAATAAACAAAACTGTACGGAAATTGGGCAGAAATTCTGAGACTTAATATTAATATGGTTGGGCATTCCTAGCTACCTTAATGCACTGGGGGGCGAATGGGGGACCTATCCAAGATGGCAGCTGCAACGATATGAGAGCTCCAATAGGCAGCATCAGTCTATGAGGCATCTAAGTGTATTATGTCTATGTTAGACACCGCCCTCAAATCGCTTTAACATAGTTTGCTCCCAGACCCCGTGATCCTATGTTAAGCTGTACTGTATAAATGTTGCTAAGTGTTGACTGTTTCCCAAGTGCTTTCTGACCTTTAGATTGGTTGGTTGGTCAGAATGTAAATTTCCGTTTAAACGGGAAATTAGGAAATTAGTTGCTTAGTTATATCCCCACTCTTAACCCTATGGGAAAAAGTTTGCAGAGGTCATAATTATTAAAGAAGTAGGGATGTTTCCTGGTCCAATTTCATATGTTTGTCTTTCTGTAATCAAATCAGTCTGCCAGTGAGAGAGGATGCAAGTTTGAGGTGCTGCAGTAACGAAGCCCAGGGGCTAAACCTCATGCATTCTACATTGATGATACCACAAATAAAAGTTATATACAATGTCTAAAAAAAAAAATGAACAGCCTGGATGGAACTTTTTTTGACGCTTTAAAAAAAGCTGCACCTGGCTCTATCCGTTTTACAGTATTTCTTTAGATATAACACTTGGTGAAATATCTTACAGCCAATAACTAACAACATCTATAGACAAATTGGGTGTATACTTGAATAAATTTTACAGGCATGACTGGAGCTCTAATGCTATGCAATGTAATGTCAATACTTGCTTTGTTTATGGTGATTTATGATGGGTGCAGGCCTGGCACCTTTACAGTAGGGTCATGTAATTGGATCTCCAGCACACAGTAGCTGAATTCCACCACACTCTGTATGTCTAATGGCCCACCCACAAAGCGCTCCTTCTGGCTACATGAATCATCCCTGCACAGGCTGCAGAGGGGTCTCTCCAAACTTTGTGTGCTGTAGACACACTAACAGACAAAAGAGCGAGTATTTCCAGAGGAGTAAAGCATGAAGACGTTAAATAAAGGGAAGTAGACATGGAGTAGACTCATCCACACTGAATCTGCTCGTCTCTCTCTGGCCTTAATTGAAGCTGATTAAAGAGTCACCCCCTGTGCTGACGCCACTGTCACTCTGAATCTGAGCCAAGTGGGTTTGCCATGTACACTCACAGGGTGGTCACTCTGCCTTTGTTTTTACACTGGCACCAGTGACAGCAGAATTCACCCCACCCCCCAAATACACCGACTGTGACTCACTGTGTGTCACCATAAAGCCTGGTCTGGGGGTCGTAGTTACAGCTCATAATGTGGACTTCACTCAATGCCTCATGAAGTGCTCTACATGTGTGTTTGTGTGTGTGCATGTAAACACTACACACTAGTGTGTGAGAGGATTCTGGCCTGAGTCACTCTAATGAGTTTTCTTCTTTTCTTTTCCAACCCCTCGTTTCTTCTCCTCTCCTCTCCCTCTTCCTTTCTCTTCTGTCAACAGATAACCCGACAACTGCAGCGATGACATCAGAGCGGCCGACCAATCGCGAGCAGACACCTACAAAGCACAACATTCAAAAATGACTTCACAGAACAGAAAGACGAGACCTGCTGAAATCCCTCAAAATCCCCACAGCGAAATTCTTGAAAGCCTCTTACCACTCCTGGTTCCCTCCCTGATATTTTACCTCCAGCTTTTTTCTACAAAATACGATAAAAGAAGAAAAAAACAGACAGACTCATGATCATGAGATGGTTGAGACGCTGGATAAATACACTGGAAGGACTATTTTCTCTTTGGTGGGAGGATCCTTGATGCATGCTTCTGTAAATAGATCATAATAACACCCTATTCTTATTCCTTATATAGGAAACATACCAAGTCACTCTCATCTACTCCATCAACCGTCATGCCAGTGTATCAATGACTCATGGTTTAATATTTCCTATATGAAGTCAGTAATATTCTTACCTCCTCAGAAACCATGTAATTATCATTTCCAGTCTCATTTCTATCTATTTGGAGTGATTTGGACTGTAGAAAATTTGTGCTTCCTATTCTTCTTATCTCCCTTCCTTACAGCCTAGTCTTCCTCTTAAATATCCACATTAGTACATGTAAATAGAGATGAATGAAGACGACAGCATGGAACAGATTATAGTGTATATTTACCACTCCCTTAGTAGATCTCAAACCTCAGTATGTGGATATTTTAGACCAACTTTTGAAAAGTTTTAAGAACCTGTTTTCTGATAGCTACAGACGTATAGTCCCAGGTATTTTGACACTTTCCTGTGTATATGAATAGATAGTCATTCACTCCAGGTAATGTGATTCCTTGACACTCTTACAAGGGTTATAAGGCAGCAGCTACTTTGGCGTCATGTATCAACTCAAGCAGGAAATAAACCGTCAAAGAGGAACAGCAAAATGATCACCCGAGCTTTGAGTCTAGCAATCATCCGGTATTAATTTTTATATTTCTTTTATATGTTCTCCCGATATGTATATTTTTATTCTTTCCAGTTGCAATAATCCCCCTCTCCGTCCCCCTGAGAGGGCTGTAACTGCTGTAGCAAAGCTGCTGTTAACACGAGAGGGCTCTGATCCTGAGCCCACACCACCTATTTCATAGCAATGTAGACATGAGGACTCTGGTTTTCATCCTCTGTGGACTCTGAGGATATCCAAATGGACTGAGAGATATCACACCAAGGAAGACCTCAAAGTCTGCACCACCTCTGGTGAAGACAGGAAACCTTTTTTCAAGGACAACAGGGAAAATGCTACATTGTTGAAAGCCTCATCTCCAACACCGTTCATCCTCTACCTCTCAGCGTGTGCTGTGCATCATGTAAAACCATGACTTACCGGTGACCCCTGCACCCCTCTGTTCCCTATGGTCCTCTCAGTCCACTCTTGTGCTGCATGTCTGCAGAGCCTCATGAGGAGAGAGAGTCGCTCTGCACTGAATGCTTCTGACGGACGCACGAGGCGAAAGGGAAAACAAACGCTTGTACACTTTGACACACTCATAGAAGTGCATGCAGACAGGTGCACAATCATACACAGCGCCACTCAGATATGTTGCTGTATATATGTACACTATATCCACTATGTATAGTTTCAGATGCTGTACTCTGCATGTTGACTTGTAGATGGAACGTGACCAATATTCATAGCAGAGGTTTTGCTGGTTTGACTCTGTAAACCAATGCAAGCTTTTGGTAAGCTCAACATCTCTGTACTTTCCGAAAACAGAGAGTAACATACCAGAAATGGTTGCTACTGCTACTTTTTTTTTTTTTTTTTTTAAATACATGCCCTCGTTTGCCAAACAGTCACCCTGATAGGTTTAAAATTCTTTGAAGAGGCACATACAGTAACCTCCTCTTTGATGTCAGACAGAACCTGGCCAGGGCGAGCGTGGGTAGCTGAAGGAGGGAAGGTGGGGGGGAGGCGAACTGGGGCGCTCCAATTAAGTGGCAGCACACAAAGTGGCATGGGGCATCCTGCCAGCAACTGTCTATTCATCCTATGTCAAAGGGATTTGCACATCCCAATGAGTCTTTGCGCTGCCAGAGAAGTCCAGAGTAGAGAAAAGAAGGAAGGCTCAGAAGGGACAATGAAAAGAAGCTTGAATTTGATTTAAAAAAAAAAGAAAAAAATCAGGTTGCGCAGCGCTCATGTAGAGGTTTCCTCCTGGACTGTCCACATAGAGACTCATCTGAGCTGCGGCCACTGAGGAGAGTTCAAAAACCCCTCGACCCCAAACTGTTACACCGTCATGCAGCTCTCTGGTCTGTCACAACCTCACGTCCTATTTGAGGTTAACACTGTGATAATGAGCTCGGCCCTCAGCTCCACCAGATGTTCGGCCTCGTGGTTAAACACTTGTTACTCTTCTTTACCAGCGATTCTTTACTGCCTGAATTCTGCAGCTGCTCTCTTTTAGGCACATTTGAGAGATTTGAGAGGAAAAGATCAAATAATTAAATCATAAGACATCCAGTTAGTGTGGCTTTTATTTTTGTTTATTCTAACAGAACACAGGCACTGTAGGTTTCTTAAATTGCATCTCCTCTTGAGCAGCTGAATCACAAGTTTAACATGCTGTCAGAGCAGCCCGATTCACACATGAAGGTGTTTACAGTCACCAATTAAAACAACATGAAAATATGACTTGGCGGTGATTAGTTAAAGAAGATTTCAGAAAAAGGAAGGATGAAGATGTCACTCAAACGTGCTGTTAGAAACAAGACAGTGAGGGAGGGGGGGCTGATCTTTCCTGAGCCTCAAGGCTTTCCACTTTCAGAGAAGTCAAACAAAGCTCTGTGTCTGTACAGCTGCACACAGATTATGACAGGTTGTTTTCTGTACTTTTCAATGAGAGGAGAGGCGACAGTTTGTTCTTTAATCTGGCGGTGACCCTGACCAGGGTCAGTGCGCGTACTTAAACATCCGTGGATGTAAATGTTCATACACATAGAGGCACATCCTTGCTCTTTCTCTCTCTCTCTCTCACACACACACACAGACCTACACACACCATGCTAATCTAAACAGCACGGCTGTATGTAAACAGATCGTCGACATAATGGGATTGTTCAGTGTGCAAACAATAAGCTGTTAGCGTAATCACAGGTCAAAGATATATTACCCAGAGGGCCACGCTGTAGGTATATTAACATGATGGATATGTAGGAGGGAGGAGGGGGGCAGGGATACGGAGGATATAGAGCGCTACTGATTCAGATTTACCCCCTATTGGGCCCTGTCCGCTGCCTTTCTCTGCCCTGCCTCCCTCCTACGGGCCCCGCTTAATCAGCCTTCCTCATTCTCTCCTTGCTCCTCTCCCCCATTCACCCTCCTCTTCTTTAGACACGAGGTCCTTACCTTTCTTCAGCGTTGCTCTGCTCTGATACCTTCATTCCTGGCGTCTTTCCTCCCATTTCCCCCCTTGTTCTTGATGGATTTTAATCTCCTTCAGTGAGGCGCACCATTCATCTCTGCGGTCAGTTTGAGTGCAGAATAAAGCAGCTCCTCAATCTTCTTTTTGGATTAAGTAAAGTGGGGTGCATGTCTGATGGAAAAACACTAGCAGGACAGAAACAGAAAGAGACAGGAAGAGCATCAGGTTAGAAAAACACATCCAGTGATTAATAAAACAGCTGTTGGTTGATAGCTCTGTAATCTACACTGACGCCTGTTCATCTCTACCTGAACATGTGTGTTTTAGTGAGTGCCATGTTAGTCTAGATAAATCCTGTACCTTACCCCATTTCACATCCAGCTTATTAACTTATCTGTTTTATTTGATTACCATCTCGCCCATTCTTTCAACTGGTTAATAAGTCTACATCCACCAGGCTAAACACTCCATTAGTGTCATCACTGGCTGGCATGTGTGCAAGTGTATGTGTGTGTGAGTGGACCACTGAAGCAGATACACATTGGGGGCAGGCAGAGTAAACACCGGGGCAGAGCAGCGGAGAGAAAAACAACCTGTGTGACAGACAAGGGGTACAAAGGTGGCCGCTCTGATAATGACGCTAATACTTCAGATCCTCTGTCTCATGGATGGTTGGTTCGAGGTGTTTGAGGTTCTTGTACAGACGGCCTTATTAAAATATCAAATAGTGTGGCTGTCACAGTGTTGAAGATAGCCTTCTTGTTCAAAAATGAAGTATGTGTTGCTAGAAATAAGCAACTAGTTCGACCATGTAATCAATTGTAGGGGAAGTAGTGGCTCTCCTTGCTACCTGCCACCCCATCATAGAGAGGAAGATGAAGCCACAGCAGCAGAAAACTCAGTAACCAGCTCGTTCATTAGCTTTTGCCACAGTGTGAGTCTACTACTGCAGCTCAAATCACGTCAAAGGAGAGGACAGACACAAGTTAAGCACTTTACCAGCACCCAAATAAGCTTCCACGCCAGTTTGATGCTTTTTTTAAACACAATCACAAATGGCCTATTGCAAAGTAGTACATCAACTGCATTGACTACTAAAATTAAGGATTGATGCCACTCTACCCTTGTCTTGCCTTTCCTAAATTTGACCGACAGCTTTGTTTTATTTCCCAGTTCTCCATGAAAATCACAAGAACATCATTTCCTTATTGTTTTGGTCAGAATAAACATGAGGAGAAATTCTGAAATCATGACAGCTCCACAAAATAATATGAGTATCAACATTTCAAACTGTGCCTGCAAGCAGAGGCGTTAAATTGGGGGGAGTATGCAGGGCCTGTATACCAGAGGGGCCCACAAAGATAAAATGATGCAGACGGGGGCCTTAAAGTCTACCTTTGTAAAGAGCCTATAAAACCCTATAAAAAGCTATTTTCTCTGCAAAGATGTAAAGTTAGTGTCAAGTAGGTGAATGATTTGGTTGGTCTAAAAACTACTCTAGATATCCTTCACATTTTACATTACAAGGTGGAAGGAGCTGCTTGGATGCCTCGGTTTCTTCTAGTTTTATTTTTCAAACAGTGAGATGTAAGGCTTCATCACAATTACAAAAAGGGACGGGGAGATGACATGCAGCAAGGGGTCATGGCTGGGAGTCAAACCTCTGACTGCTGGGTCACAGCCTTGGAGGTATGAGGCACCAGCTTAGATTACCAGGCCAACTGGTGTCCCAAGAAAATATCAGCCATTTAAAAATAAAACAGTGTTTATAAATATTTTAAGGAGAGGTTAAACATGACTCCTAGTGTGCACTGTCTTAAAGGAAAGGGGGAATAAAATTAGCAAAGTGCAGAGCCAAGAGGACAAACATTAAAGTATATAGAAAGGTAGAAACACAATCTGCGGCTCTAGTGGTGGATCAATTTAGGATGGATACCTAAGCTCTAGTGGCATGATCTCATTCCCATGATACTTTTTTAGGTCACTGTCTCTCTGATTTGCACCTCTAACTTTTAACAGCGTTCAAGGTGATTCCCGCTCTTTGAGCTTCTGCCATGCTACCTAAAAGACAAAGCATGGCTTCTTACAGACAAAGATGAATCAAAGTCTCATCAAAGTTTGGTGAGACTTGTGTGCGCCTACTCTGAGTGATAATGTTGTCATGATGAAAATTAAAATGGGAAAACGTATGAGAAAGAAAGGAAAAAAAAGGCATAAACCAGCAGCTCCTTTCACATACACACAACACTGCTTTCCCCCTCTCGCTCATGCCTGCACATGAACACAAACGCTGTTCCTGTGTCTGGTGGGGTGTCACGATTAACAGTGACCTCAAGCCAGACATGGTCGGGGTTGTGGGAGTAGGGTCAAAGGTGAAGGGATTACAGTGAGGCAGTCCATGTCAACTGCTCGGCTCTAATCCTGACCCCAGACTATTACAAAATGAGCATCGTCACATTACTCACAGAATTACTGACTTGTTCAGGAATTCTGACTGACAAAGAACTCGTGAAAGGCTCAGATGTAGCATAAACAGTGCGACACCATGGATCTGAACGCAGAGATGAGAGGATTCGGCCTGCTCTAACAGCCAGACAGCAGCAAAGACAGATCAGACCTCCTTATGTCACACAGCTAATGACAGGGCTGAATAATGGACCCTTAAAGCCCTTACTCCCACCTCATTTTACCCCACACATAAGCTTGAGCTCTGTTAGCCGCCCGCCCCTCACTGAGATGAGATGGGCTCCCAAGAAGATTTGGGGGGTCGGAGTGAATCGGATTATCCAATATGCCTCAATTCGAGTAAATGCTCTGAGTTGACCTGGATGTAATACCACTGATAAATGCTGTATACCAAATCTTTAGCTGCTGATTAGCTAACGGAGGAAAACATCCTTTTAGCGACAATTAGCTGCAGGGAAATGGCCAAATTCTTCAAGTTACTGTTGTATTGAAATGCATCAAAACACAAACAGGCTGAGTTTGTCATAGGCAGTAGGGACTTGAGACAAACACCCAAGTTGCCACTATAGAAATAAATAAACAGTGAAGTAATAAATCGCCAGAAGCTGTGGACAGGTGGCATTTCAGCCTGCGCCGTTTAGCTGTGCAGTCTGCTTTCTGACAGCTTGATTTAGACTCTTGCACCTGAGCCAGAAGAGAGAGAAAATTAACTGCAGGAAAAACAGCTTAACTGGATTCCAATTTGCCTGCTTTGAAACACAATTGATGAAGCTAATGGATAGGAAAAACACAGGACTGACTGTTTTTTTAAGCTTATTGTCATCATGCAAAGACTGTCATTCAGGGTCAGGTGAACAGGGGGGGAGTTGTTTGGACACCCCCTCACTCTGTCGTCTGAACGCAGCGTTGTTTTTCTGAGACTCTGTCTTTAGGGTGTAGAATAAAGATTAAAGTGGCTCAAGGGGAGATGCTAGGATACATGCTGTTCTTCCTGCTGTGAACAGGGTGTAATCCTTCAGTTTTTTTTGAGAAGTGAAAAGTTTGGAAAGCCCAGAAAGTTACACATACATCCCTTCTGGCCCCCCTACAGAGCAGCGAGTGTGACACAGCAGGAGATAACCATATGCTATCAAAGTGTTCTTCAAAGCTCCCGTCTTTGGTCCACAAAATTATACAGTATCATCACATATACCTGACAACACAGAAGAAACATAATTATGCAGCTCAATGCACTAACAGGAGAGGAAAACAATGGATACCTTAAAAGTATGTTGTAAGAAATGTGCTGCCTTTCAACAATGTGAATGGGGCTGTTTTGAGTTTCTCGTCTGCACCGACTTTTTAAACTTTTTCCTAAAAAGTATCCATGTCCCAATAATGTGGGTCAGCTCATAATATTGTATTTACATGCTTTTATGATACTGCTGCTGCCGGACAATTAAAAATTTATGATTCCTATCACAATGAGCCCCTGCTCTGCTACCAAAGGTTAATTTGTGCTTGCCTCTCATTTCAATTGTACCGCAGTAAATGTCCACATTATTTCCCACATGGGCCAGGACCAGGGCTTTGATTATCCAAAGGTAGCCCTTGGTTGGCTCTGTTATTGTCAGAGGGGTCGTAAGCTGCAGTAACAGCTTCTGGGGTCTTATTGCTATGGCGATCAGCCCCCTGCCACTTGGCCTTCATGACCCCAGTCAAAGATAAGGTTTATGGGAAAGCACATTAACATGCTCCTGCAGTCACCTCGCTCCTTTATCAAAGGCAGTTCTGTGAAATCAAGTGTTTATGGACCCCCGGTGAGGACACAGGGCTGCTGATTGCCTTTATTAGAGGTTGAGTGTAATTGAGCTGGAGGTGGACACAGGACCTGGAGTAGTGGGCAAGAACTGATGGTGTTGTACTGATGTTATTCTCTCTAAATGAGCAATATCTTTAATGGCTGCAACGCCCCATGAGCCTGTTACTGCCCCCTGGATTACAAATATTGTCTGCAGTCTAAATACCTATACCCACGTCTTCCAGTCCTTCTAGTAATATGATGATTATTTTAGACTTTAAAAAATTCCAGTAAGTTCTAAGAAGGCTCCTTTTTCCATTGATTTTATTATCAAAAACAATATAAGATTCATCAATAAATTATATATTTACTTTGCGTACTGTTGCAGCTCATTTTCTAACCCAGGACACCCATAATACCAGAAAAGTGGATTAAATATTTCATCTAATTTCATTTTTTTAAAGCTCTACTACGTTCTGCAGAATTTCACTCTACAGTATTGTCCTTTGGGTTACGCCAATCCTAATAATTAAATTGGTTGATAGTTGGTTTTTTTTTATTTACTTATTTTTTATGTTCTTGCACATGTGTTACATTGATATGGGCCCTATTCTGTGGCTGCAATCAACAGTACAATAAAAGACAAAAATAAATCCAGAGGTGTCAGTGGTGTGCGCCTGCTTACAGCCTGATCACTGCTGAAAGATCCTCTCAGTATGTCTGCAATGATGGATGGTGATAGCCCTGTGTCTTTGTACACATCAGGGGGGCCCTACTGTTGTCACTGGACAGATAGTAGGGAGTGAGAAAGAGAGAGATGTAGCTGCAGCTTAATGTCCTTCTCCGGTGCTGTGCATGCTCTTTCCTATTTGCTTTTCCCTTCACGGCACGGTTAACATCGTAAATTAACCTTTCTTAGCCCCCTGTGCTCAGAGACTGCTGCGCAATACAGACAAAAAAGGGGGAAAATAGATCTATGTTATGCAATGCAGTAGCCCTGGTCAGAGATGTAGCTTGTTACAGAATCGAGTGCTTCCCTTTTTTGAGTGTACAGGAATAAAACAACACACTTTGTTCAGTCAAGCAAACATTCTATTTTATGTGCATGTCCTGTGTACTCTGCAAATCGGTATGAGGCTGCTTTTTGTTCTCCATCCTAGAAATGTAAATGAACCACATGAAAGAAAACGTATTGTAGATCCTCCTCCTCTTCTTAGTTCAATTCTGTAAATAGGATGTAAATACCAAACAGCTATGCATGCTAATATACAAGCAATTTGTTCAGGTACTTTTGTAATCCAGACTTCTCATATGGCATGTAACGAAGAAAAAAAAAAGAAAAATCAAACATGGAAAAATGTAATAAATTGTGAACACAGATATGGTTTGTAAACAACTTCAAACAGGAGAATATATGTCTTTGCTGTTAATGTTTTCTTACTGATAACTAATGCATCGGCCTGCCATTTACTACAGTGCTCTGCTCATGTTACCTGTTATCTTTTTTATGTTTTATAAGGTAGGGCTGAGGCAAAACGGACCATAAATCTCTGGTTTGTGGAATTGTTTGGGGAGGGAAATAGAAAAGGGAAGAATGACAGTCTCTCTTTGTATTTTTGTCTCATTTTCACTGCACGAGAACATGCATTCACGTAATAATAAATTACATATCCTTAGTGTCTAACACAGCCGATAAAATGCCATGGCAACAACTGTAGCTTAAAAGCAGTAGAAACTGGGCTGCCATTTGAGTTTCCACACCAAAAAGACAGACCACCAGCTTTAAAGTGTGCTTTTATTCTGAAAAGGCATACTATGTATTTCCAGTTAACCAATGCAACAACATTTAGCAATCTGAGAAGCTGGTTCGACTCATTCCAAATTTTCCAAATCATGACTTGCAAGGGGGAGAGATTTTAAAATTGTCAGTTTTTACTTACACTATACCTGCTAACAAATAAAGATTGTCTATATGCCAAATTTGCCTCTGCCCTAGCAACTCTAATGTGACATTTGATGAAAAAGCAACAGGAGGAAGCAGGGGGAAATCTTTTTGGTTTCTAAGAGTGTTTATTTTCAACCATGTTAGAACCATGTTCAATCCCAAGGCGCTCATGGTAGATGGAAGTGTCTAATTTTTAACCTGTGCTAAAGATATTTTAAATTTAATAAATAATTATTGTAACAAGAAAGTGTCTGGTTTCCTTTTGCGTACTTTATTCTTTATCTTTTACAGATTTGGAGAACATTGAGAGCCTTTTGAGTGGGTCTTCTGTGTTCTGGTTAAGTTTCTTACTTTATTACTACAGAGTCTTTTCATTCAGTATATTCCTGTGGAGATATGAAAGACTGTACAAAAAGGCAGATTACCAGATAACTCCCCAAAAGAGAAGCCAAAGAACTTTGAGCTTTGCCCACTAACTGGCTGCCATAAGAGACACCACGTTTATTAATCATTATGCTAATTCACTATATGTATGTCTGTGTTCTCTCTCTATTAGGTATTTTAATTTTGATAAGTTATTTGTGCTATTATCGGGGCAAAACAATCTTATGGGGAGCTCACACCAAGTGCAAGTAAAATGATCTAAAATGATCAACTCACATTTACTCGCTTCATTCGCGCGTCAACGGTAATTTCAACGGTAATCCCTGCCAATTTAACCAGCTGAATCAAGTGATAGACAAAGGTTTTTTACAATTTACCAGGTAATCTGACCTCCTCACTCACTTGCCACTCACAACCGTCCGTTTTCATACATCACCCGGCAACCTTCTTGCTGATTAACTATCACGACGCGAATATCCACTCAAGATGAGACATTTTCACCTTCTGCCCAGTTCGCATCATTTGCGCCGGCAGAATAATAGGAGCCTCTAATCGCGTCTTTGCATTGACTTAACATGTAATTCATTTGTCCGAATGATATTACTCACACATAGTGTGGAGACAGTTAAGGTGCTGCAAGTGAAAAGCTGCAGGTCCTTGAGTTTACACTTCAGAATGACACCAAAAGCTTCAAAAACCTTATTCGTACTGACTGTTGATTTTTGTATCCACACATTTTTTTTATCCCTGCTACACACTATATGGGAGTGAATTTTTCATCACTTATCTGTTTTATTATAGTAAGACCGGGAGATAAGCGAAAATTTGCATAACTAGGGGTGTGAATGATGTGACTGACTAGGCAAGTGGTAGCTGTTTGCCGAGAAGCTATGCACATTAAAAAAAAAATTCGTTTAGCTTCACTTTTGTACAATAGGAAGAGGCATGAAATCCGTTTTTAATACAAAGAAACCCCGGCCTAAGAAGAAATAACTCATTACTTTTGGCCCCAAACCACATGAGCTTGAGATGACAGGTTAAATTTTATTTCACAATTGTATCTCAATTTTACAGGAAACTAAGGATTATCTGCCAAGTAAAAGTATTAAATTTTGTGATACTGGTTGAAGCATTGTTGTGGTTTCTCAGTTAGCTTCCTTCTTGCCTGTATACAAGGCCCCTGCTAATAGTTTTCTGAAGGTTATCAGACCTGGTTTTCAATTAATTAAAGCCTCTCACAGTCTCACAGAGGGAGGCAAGACGTGGCTGTTAGTGTTTTGCACGTTCCAACAAATTGTTTACAAGAGGACACATTCAATTAGTTATTTCATTATGGCCCAAGGTGTAATCAATTGACAATGCCGATAACAAAGCCACATCAATTTGTGGGGCGACTCCAGCACATTTCTCTAAATGATTGAGGAGCACTTCTATTTTAGGCCCTCGAGAAATCTAGTTTGCTTTGGCACTAAAGTGGAAACCCATTTAGCGATGCACTATCATCAGATAGAAATAAAAGACTTGTTTCTGTGTTAAAAGTTGTTTTAAGTCTGATTGTGACCTCAAATACTTCCACATGTTGACTGTGTCTGGTGAGGAGGAAGGGTCTGTCCTTTTCTTTGCTCCCTCTCCTCTTGAGTGATGTATGGCAAAGAAAGAAAGAAACACTCGCTCTTTCTCCGCCGCTCTCCTCTCTCTCCCCTCCTGTAGCGTAGATAAACAATGCCAGTGACAGTCTCTCATCACTCAAGAGGCTGAATCTCTGGCCCTGACCCGATAACATCAAGTGTGTGTGTCACCTGTCAAGTGGCTTCTGTCACACTTCAGTGGGAACTCAAAAACGAGACTCTGTGTGTATGGGTGTGTGCGTGCAATGTTGAATGGGGGATGGGGTTGTGGGTTTAAGAGTGCCTGTTGGCATGCAAGCACAGGCCTCTCAAGGCATGAGTGGAGTTGAGAGTGGCAAAAAGGGAGGGGGGGTAGTTCTTGTGAAGGTACAGCAGGAAACTGAGAGAGACGGAGGGGGGAGGAGGCGTAACGACCCAAATGAGAAGGACTTGTGCAGACACTGTGAAACTATCTCATTTTGTAGGCTCCGCTAGTCTCATTCTCATGTTCAGAACGGCCAGGGTGATCTGGGAACGCAATTATTTTCACCTATAAAAGGCAACATATGCCAAGATCATAAAAGTTCTTATTGGACAGTAATTTATTAAAGCAAGTCATAGAAATGGAGAGAGGTAGGGCACCAGCTATAATGTGAAGGTGTCGTTCTGCTTCTCATTAAGAGCCCCAGTGTCGGTGAAATTCAATACCCCAGGTGCCCGACACTGGAGGGGTGGACGAGCTAAATAGGAGATGTCCTCTCTTTATAAGATCCTGGAGGGATGGGGACATTAACAGTGGCCAGAGTGTGTCCAGACTCAGTCTCAGTTTCTTCATTGTTTTGTTGTAAACCTGCATGTACTAACATGTATAATTAAGCCCTCATGATGTTTTATGTCATTGTAGTTCTTGCATTTATCAGCTGTTCATCTGTAACTCTCCAGACTGACCTGAAATTTTCAGAATTAATTTCGCTGGGAGCATTTTATTCAATCTTACATGACAGACTTTGGGAGACCATGGAACAGTGCCTGTGTTTTTAATTATGTTTTTGCAGGTCATTTTCTTCTTCTTTATTATCATTTATTCTAGTGATGTGTACTGTCAACCTCTTGGCCAAGTCATTCTTGTAAATGTGATCTCGATCTCAACGGGTTCTTACTGGTTAAATAAAAAAAATAAAAAATAAAAAAAAAATGCTTGCAAGGGAAAAGCTAAAGTTTATCCTCAGCAGTTGATGGAGGCCTCACTTAGTTAAAGGCAAAGAAACCTTTATATTTATTTTATCATTCCTTAAAGCTCCATTGAGGGTCTTTTGGTTTGTGTTGGTTTTGGCGCCCCTTGTGGACAAAGTGACATTTGCTGATTTTGTCCCTTACACGTGTATTAGCGCTTCTTTACATAACAGACATTAAGCAGTCTTTGTATCACACACTGAAAATGTAGGCGATACCAGCAGCATGCAGTTAACCACTTGGTTTGACCTTTTTTGATGTTGTGTTTATATTTTTAGGTCATAAAAATACACAATTATTAGATTTTATGTATTTCACAAACCGTTAAAAACTCCTGACAGGAGCTCTAAGTAGTGTTGTCCTCATTACTCGGACTTTTGACATTTTTAATACACCTCATCTGTCATCTTCAGTTTCTACACTAAGTAATGACTGACTGTCATAATAAATGGTCAAATCAAAGCAGGGTTATACTTGAATTTGTATACCTTTGATAAAATACATTGTGTTTCAAAGGTTTCTACCTTCTGTGGAGCTTTACGTCAAACAATACTACAACCACCAAGCAGGACACAGCTGCTATGCACAAAGCAGATCTGGTATCCTCTAAAATGGAAGCCTGATCTAAGACTGTGTGTTTGTTCCCATATTGTTCATGTTGAAATCATTGTTGAGCTCTGAATGAGCCGTAATAAACCATCATTGTGATCCTCACAATACTGAATAATGTGGATTAGCCATAGGGGAGCAGATTATATAGAGGAACTTATCAGCATCTTTTTATTATCTAATACACAAAGTAAGAAGGTAGAGGAGGGGGCGATTATGTCTACTGCACATTTTATCCACAACAATGAGAGCGTGTGTTCCTCTGTTCATTTGTTGCTCAAGAAGAACGTGGAGGATATATGCTATTGTCTGGGCTTATTGTGATGGTAAAACACAGTTTTTGTTAATGTAAATGATTGTAAATGACTCCTCTTTCACACAGCAGTAAGGGTTTTTGTATCCTTTTACTGAAATAAATACCATCACAAATGAGGCAGCACGAAACAAAAGCAGAACAGAGAGAAACGGGCAATTGTGAAGGAGAGAGGGAAAGAGAGAGGGGGTTGTGTTTGCCTATTGTGTAATGTCTGGCAGTGTGCTTGCATGTTTTTGTTGTCTTTTACACTGACAACCACAGCCACTGTCAAAGCACAAACTCAGAAACACACCGCCTGATGGGCCAGGTCCCGAAAACTGTGATAAAAAACTTTACTCAACAGAACTAGAAAATACAATGTTGCAAAACTTAAGTACAGTCAAAAAGTTACGTTCTTACGAATAAAAGGTTAATTTAGGATTTTTTTTATTTTTTTTTTTATTTTGATAAATCGATTAGTCCAGAAGTGCCAGATTGTGGAGAAAATTTTAAATTACATTTCTCAGAGGAAAAAAAAAGTTAATCTTAAAAGCATATTGGTATAAAAATATATAGATTATAAATTTAACTCCCTGATTTTTGCTGCAAATATCAGCTGCACTTCCGACTCAAAGGATTTGTTGTGCAAAGTAGTCTTTGCTTAAGTTGCCTTTTTGAGTTGTGTCTGCTGACAAAAAGCTCACCCTGCTGACTTTTGAAAGTAAAATCTTTCGAAAGTCAATTTAAAAGTAAAACTTTTTATTTGCAAGGGGGTCGGTGTCAGCAACCCCACACTCAGGTTTTAGGCAGTAAAAAGTGTAACATGCAAATCATCAGCCCTGTTCCTGGTGGCATGTTCGCTTTAGATGTAATGGATAGGCATCAGTATGGATTTCAGTCTATTTTGTAAACATCGAAATAACTCCTCGTAGTCGCACTAAAATAATCATGCAATAATCTGTCTTTCACTATAGCAGAGCTGACACAAAAGGACCAGTAATCACTGAGGAAGAAATGTCAAGAAATTCAAGAACTCTCCATAATTCAGGATTTTAGTGTCTTAAAGAACCAATAAAATACAGGGCCAAAACACCGCTTTAAAGCATAAAACACTGGGCC